TTTGTGTTGCAAACTTTACAAAAAGTCAGTCCAAATTTTTTCCAAAAGTTACTTTCTGTTCTAGAAGCGAACATCCACAGACATTTGAATATTGCTTTACAAAAATACATCATATACCATGAAAAATACCAAATGTGTCCACTCAACCCAAAACTTATTTGTACAAAATGTAAAAAAAATAAAATATTAAATTGAATAAAATAGATAGAAAAAAAGTAGCTATAAGATATATGCTTGAAACATAAACAGATTAATGACAATGTTAAAAACTCAAACCAAAAAACCCTAAAACAAAACAACAAAACAACCCCAAAAACCTAAAGACAAACAAAACAGATGAAAATGCAAAGAGTAGAGTGAAAATGAAAATTTCAAAATAAGCAAATAGAAGCAGTAGAGTATTTGCATTACATGGGTCTCAAGAAGATGTACGTGTGACCCATGAAGTTCCACGTTAGAATTGATCTTCAGTAACCCATGCTTGTCGTAAGAGGTGGCTCGCTGACTTACACACTGCCGCCATTTAGCTGGAACATTGCTGAGTGCAATAAACTCACTCACTCACTCACTCAAGAAGATGTCATAAACAATTAAACGGAAAAGTTTTGGAACCAATATTGTTAATACACTGACAGGCCAATGGACCGATGTACAAATAGATGTCTCTGACAACTTATTCCCCGACATTCAACACAGGAGGATACAAATATTCTCAAACTGGTAGGACGTTGGCATGTTGGACAGACAGACCTTCACTGAAGAAGATAAACAAAACTGCTTCTTTGACGAAAGAACACTCTACCACATGCTGGCAAATGAACAAGCGAGAAATCAAGTACAGCTGCACGAAATTGTTTTTAAAAATATGGTGCATAAATGTGTCAGAAACTTTTGATATATACCTTGGTGATTATGGCAATAGTCAGTCAGTAAGGACAAGCAGTCACGACCAATAATGGTGATTAGATACAGGAAATAATAAACTTCTCACAGAAACAGGTCTATTTAAAAAAAAGGATTGCCAAAATACATAAGTAACAAAAACATCACAGATCTCTTTTTAGTTTTTAATTAGGAAGTCCAGACTCGTTTATGTAAGAGTGCGTACAAAAATATCTTTTTGTTGTTTTTCCAGCACACTGACGAGATGGGCAAGACATGTCTTTGGGTTCAGTCTGTTTATGTTTGTGTTTTATTGTTGGTTTACTTTTTTCCCGACAAAGCTAAGTAGCATTAACCTACATTGGTTCAAATGTCTTTCCTAAATGCTTCAGACGAAAAGAAGAAAAAGCCATCTCAATCAAACATGTAATTCAAAAGTTTAGACAATATTTTTATTTTATCTAACTAGATTACACAAGACAGGTGCACATAATTGTATAAATATTTACAAATGAAGAAATATTCACATTCTAGGCCAAAGTAAACGGAAGATAGCTTATCAGGGCAAGACTCATAGATCAACCAATCATTTTATCATGTTGGTGTAACGTAACCTTTCAAAGGATTGGAGTGACTTAGAAGACTGGGCCATTTTGATCCCCTGATGACAAATAAGGCAAACTAGAATAATAACAGGAATATGTTGGTATTGCAGATCTTAAAATATAATGGTCAAGATGATATTGGTTAGTAAAGAACTGTGCACAGACCTTATAAAGCTGAGTATTCCTTACAATTCTAAGAAAATGTTTACAGCAGGCTGTTTGTATCCACTATTCCTATTTCACTGTCCATGGTTTTCAGTGTTGTGAAACACACTAAATAACCAGATTACAATCAGACAATCACAACAAATGATTATGACAGTAAGATCAATGGTCAAAGCAAGTTTACATTACGGAGTATATCATCCACCTGTTTATGTTATACTCTACTCAGAGTGAGTGAGTTTAGTTTTACACTGCTTTTAGCAATATTCCAGCTATAGGTGAGGTGAAATTGGGTTTAACGTCGTGCTTGAGAATAATTCGCTCATATGATGACGTGCATGCGTGTGTATGTGTATGTGCGGCTGCTTGTACTAGCCCAGACTGAAGCTGGTTTTATAGTGCTAGCCCACTGAGATACCATGCCGCAGTGAAGCATGAATACCCCACTCAGACACATTATACTGACTCCGAGCTGACCAGTCCTTGTTGTACCCATTAATTCCGAGCGCCAGGCAGGGACCAACAAGTACCATAACGTCTTTTTTGGTATGACGCGGTCGGGGATTGACCGGGCGGACGCTCTAACCACTACACCCAGGAGGCGGTCATTCCAGCTATATCACAATAGGGGAAACTTTACTCAGAAACCCCTGCAGGCCATGAAACTTCAGGAGCATGTCGATACTCATACCAAAACTCATGGTTATGTCACTAAAAACATCTTATGTCAAAATCTGTAAGAATCATCTTCTCTTGAACCACAAAGTAAACTAGATATGACAATATGAACAAACCAATTCATTTTTTCCTAAAATGCATCAGTTGATGCAGTTTGGAATTATTCTTCTGGAAACTACAATCAGGAAGTGTAACAGGAATTTATGTTGAATTGGATGGACTTAAAAATTAATTTGATATATTTAAGTCCCTGATGTTAGTTAGGAGAGAAACATCATGTGTTGGCCAATTTCTGGATGTTATTGAGTATTTGAAGCACGAAAATTCATTTGGAACGATGGCATTTCAAATATCATAAATTATATCTTCAAAAAATGTGGAAGGAAGTTTAAAATTTGTTTACTAAAGTTTTCCCTGCACATTTCCCATTCAGCTGACGGGTGAGCAACAGTGCCTTGGTGCTATTTCTGTGTCACTGTATCTCCTTGCCCTCAGGTTTGGAGCAGTGTCAGACAGTCCATAGAACATAAACAAGACTCATCAGGAGGTGACACATCCCCCTCAGCTGTGTGCAAGTTTCCCAAAGAAGTATTGATCACTTTTCTGATATGTTCCTTTAACAGACCCAACCCTTAATTTCAATTTTAGGCTTATTTCCCTGGAAATGTCAAAGATAAAATTTAAAATTTCATAACCTGCAGAAACCACCACCTACTTAAGTCTGCTGATATGAGCATTAAAGTTTTTAAGTGCTCATTCTGAAACAAATACCATCATGCCTTAGGTCAACTTGTTCTCTTCACCGTCAGAACAGTGACAGTGTGGGTGTCTGTAGGGAGGGAGTTAGATATAACCTTGGCTGAAACTGTCTCCTGTTTCATAAGAAATATAGGCTGGGGAGTTTATAGTCTTACTGGAAATCCTTCCATTTCATTGGAACAAGGGTTTGGGGGAAAAATACTTTGGCCAGAAACTCACCACCCCCACACTCTGTGATGTAAGTCAAACAAAATCAAAGTAGGCAGAAAATACTTGCCTAGGTTGCCTTGTTTGGTCTTGTCTAACCAACCCTTTGGAAATGTCTGGCCAGTGCCAAACTCTCCCAAGGTAAAGATCAGTTGAGATACTGACCAGAGGGGAAGTCTGACCTGCTACCAGAGGCTGTCTACATGACAGACTAACACTGAATATTGAGAACCCCATCATCGCGCTTTATCATAACACAGAAAGCTAACACTTTAAAAGTGAAGATTAAACTATCAAGGTTATTTGATGGGATTGAGCCCTAACTACACTACCAGTACATGAGGGGAGTGCTGCACGGATATTGTTGTAACCTGTTAGGCGTGCATACTCCACTGTGTGAGGAAGCTTGGACATATCTGTGGAAGATCCCCTGCCGTGCTTCTCAACTTGCCTCCTCTTTGATACACATTGAGGAAATAAACATTCCTTTTGGTAACATGCCCTGAGAACATGAGTGGCAGTGCTAGGGACCAAATACATGTACACCAGAAGCCAGAAACTGGGTTTACTTGAGAGCTTGTAGATTGCAAGACCTTTAAATAATAGATAATAGGATTGGATTTATAATTGAGCCTTGTGTGAAATCATTAATTATAAGATATACATGTGTGTGTTCTCTTTGGACTTCAAATGATGAATAAAGAAGGACTTGCATCTGAAAAAGGTCACTGATTATAGTAGTTGTAACAAAATATAAAACCATATTAATTTATTTGTGTCAACCACAACAAAATTATTAAGCCCTAAAAAGAAACATGTAAATAGTAAAAGGTACTAGTGTTGAGAATCGGAAACCAAATACACTATCGATTATCGGAGGACTGTGGTGAACGATTATCGATTATAATCGAAATGTATACATATTTAATGAAATCACCAGTTTGAAGGATTTTTCCCCAGGTTTTTTCTAATAAATGTTCCTTATAACTAATACTGTCATGCAATGAAATGCATGCATGCAAGAAAGACACTGGAATTGTAATTAAACAATAAAAGTAGTTAAAATTTACAATGCGCATAGCTTTACGCTGTTGAGTGCATGTTTGTTCGTGAATATTCGTCAAATTTAATCGCTAGTTTACTTCATTCAAGTGTGTTAAACAACAAAATTCCAATCAATCAAAAATATGTTTTTTTACAATCGATAATCATTTAAACCCTTCTTTCGATCGATTTTCGATTATTTTCGATCATCGGAACACCACTAAAAGGTACCAAAGGAAAGTTAACATTTTTCATGAATAGGTGTGAGAGTGAGTGCCTGGGCATGGTTTAACACCTTTTTCAGCTTGCCAGTTCATCCCGTGATAACAGTAAGTGAGTGAGTGAGAAGGACTTTACACCACTTTTAACAAAATTCCAGCAATATCAGGGCAGAGGACACCAGAAATGCGCCTTACACATTGTACCCACGTGGGAACCTTGAATTGTTTAACATTAAACTTGTTGATCACCCATCCAGGGACAACAATGATGAGGTTGACATATTCTCCCCATATTAGAACTTTACCTGACAAGACAAGCCAATGCTTTAACCACTAGACCACCCTACCACCATATAGACAAGGGAGCTTAATTCAAACATTAATCCCAACAAATTTATTTTTATTAAAAGGCTGGAAATGCTGGAATGGTTCACGATACCTGTTTTGGTGTGGACATGTGGAAAAGGAGAGCTGATGCCAGCTCTGGGACGGCAATGGGAACCTGGGTAAGCCTTTCATTGAACACACGGAAAATCTTTTCAGATTGGTCCTGCCATTCTGGACGATGAAGAAAGTGGGAGAGGCGTAACAAATTCATTGCAGACACTGAGTTCGGACTGGGTTCTGCTCCATCCTGGTCTGAAACAGAACATGGTGATACTGAACGTTTGGTCTGAAACAGAACATTGCGATATTGAAACTTTAGACGAAAACAGAGCATGGCCATACTGTCAAGTTAGACTGAAACAAAACATGGGGATACTGAATCTTTGGTCTGAAACAGGCCATGCTGATACTGAGACTTTGGTGTGTAACATCTTTAGCTGAAACCAGGCAAATCACAGATATTATCACTCAATATATTTATGATAAATAATTATACACATGTTCTTTGCTAGTCCCGAGACTACTGAAAACAAGGATGGAATTCTCATATCTACTTAATTTATTAAATATCACTAGTCTAAAGGGTCTTCTACTATAAGCAAGTAATAGTTGATCCTTTCAGTATTCAGGATATATGTCAAAACAAAGGTAATTATTCTTCAAATAATCGACCCCTTAGGTCCGTCAGCTCTTTGCATCCTGCACACATCCACCGAGCCTTCATTATCTGTTCTTGCTATTTCTGTATATGCCACTTTTAATGTCCCATTATTCAAACACAATCCTGTGATGTACAGCATATCAACATGAACCTGATTTATGGACTAAAAACCTATTATATCTCGAAATAGCAGATGATTATGTGCGCCTATCATTAATCCATGCAGTTCCATTAATTGCCATCAATACCGTGGCATGCTAAATGGAAGGTATTATCAGTAGCAATGACGTCCATCAGATTCATTCTCAGAGGCACTACAACCAAAGGGAAACAACTCTGTATACACTAGCAGTTGACAAGAACTAAATACAAAGTTAAAACAAACATGTTCAAACCCCAACATAAAATTTTAGTACATGCATTATTGCATTGATCTTTTAATAAAAATAATGCTTCCATCGACACAGATATTTAATTTAGAAGAATGGCTAATATTTAAATGGATTCAATTAATACTTTAATTCAAATAAAATGGGAACAACATTATCATTCAGTAATAAATGGCATGAGTGTGCAAGTAGTGGGTGGATTATTGTCAGCATGTTTTTTCGCCCTTCTCCACCCACTATGACCCTGGGAGTATGTCAATATTTAGTCAGGGTAAGAAATAATAAGGTGTATCTTGTTGGCAGATGGTGCACATTATGTGGAGATATCATAGTGCAGGGTTAAAACAATACCAGCCTACACAGCAGCTACTGTTGCAGATTCCACCCAACACTGTAGTCAGTGTACAATAGGAACATGGTCAAAATACAACCATCTGTAGTAGGAAAATACAGTTTGTTTGGGGGTTTGCTGGCATTATTCGGCATTTGGGGTCTGAATATAACCAGGATTAACAACGTCTGAGTTGTCATTGAATATGATTTATTTGTTTGTTGTTTAACGCCACACTTAGCAATATTCCAGCAATACAGCAGCGGTCTGTAGATAATCAAGTCTGGACCAGAAAATCCAGTGATCAACATCACAAGCATGTCCATCAGAAAGCATTTTTTTGTAGCACTGAAGCATCTGTAACACACTTGAAGACACTTCAATCATATCAGGACGGCATAATACTAGGGGTGGGTATTGCAGAGAATATTCATATTGAGATATATTGCAGTACGAAAGCATATATTGCGATATATATTGCAATATATTGCAAGAAGTTTTTTTCAACAAAAGACTACTTATAATTGAGTTAATGCTTGATGTAAAAAGGAAAAACACAACAAAGTCACTGTGCTTGATTAAGCTTTAATCAAAACATTTAATCATGACAAAAATGTAAATAATATGTGGCACAAAGGAAAAAAAGGGGAAAAAAGAACAATCTAACATCAACACAGTGGTTACTAGTTTGAACTAGTTTCTCCACTCTCAAAAAACACCCTGAGATTTTAGACAGCAACTTGACCTGGTCAGGACATGATAGAGATCACTGGTCATTAATGAGTAAATATTTGGAACATTCAGATCCAAACAATTGCAAAACACTTGAACCAAAATTCAGAAGACAACTTCCAACTGAACTTAACAATCCAGTTAAATATAATTTTCACCACGATCAATCTCACCACCATTTCCACAATTGCCACAATCATCAACATCTTCATCACCACACCATTACCAAAATCATCATCAACCATCATCAACATCATCAACCATCATCATCATCATCATCATCATCATCATTTTACAACAAATGCAGGACTTCCGGAGTGAAAAACTGAAATATCCGGCGAATTCCGAGTGTTATGAAGTTTTCCAAATGCATGTCAAAATATCGGTTTTCGATCAGCGTATCGTAATACGTATCGTTTTCATCTCTGAACCGGAAAATACCAGTGAACTGGTTATATTGCACAGCCCTACAAAATACTCCGGATGACAACTGATCCAACTGCTTAGCAGCATCCAGACAAAAAAATGTAATAGCAACATTGTACCTGATCAGGCGTACTTATGCTGAACCTGACATTCAAATCACCTTCCTGTAATTAACACAAATTTCAGATATTCTAGCATTTAAAGATAGTGAACTGTCAAAGCAATCACCTGAAATCAACATATTCATTTTACATGTACCTACAAGAGTGAATGTTGAACTTCAGGGCTTAATTCCACAAAAATCGTAGAGCGCCATATATACTTTAATATGACTTACAGCTGTCGTAGCACTATGAACCGTTTGTTGAATGGGCCAAGGAAGCAATAAATAGATAAATAATAGGGATGCCATGATACACCGATATGTCGATACTTTTTCTAAGATGATACAATTATCGATACATTCAAAACAGTATCGATATTTAGTTTTGAAAGTATCAGTTTAAATATGTTTATGTATCGTTTATATTTTGCAATTGTATCATGTTTTAGATGTAATGAGAGTTATAAATGATTATTTTTCATGCACAAAGATAGGAAATTAGAACTTTTTAATCTCTGAGAATAAAAAATGTTGATCTTTTCATGGACAATTATAAAATATGAAATATTGATGTTCAAAATGTAACTAAATTTACGCAATAATGCAGCGAAAATAGATAACGTGATACGTATCGAATCGTGACATGGGTATCGTGATATGTATGAATTCATGAAACTTATGTTTTGTGACATCCCTAATAAATAAGTTATCAAGTACAATCCAGAGTGAGTGAGTGAGTTCATGCTACTTGGAACAGGAATTCAGTTATATCATGGCATGGCAGCTTGTCCTTGAGGATCTGCTGCTGTAGGTCCCACAGATGAATACCACTTGGATGAACTCCATGAGGATGGGCATGTTGATGACAAAATCTGGGCGAATTTGGAACTTGAACACAGCAACCAGTTTTGGGATGCCAAAAGAAGTTAAGGACATCCAATTCTTTCATACCACTGCAGTTAATGTGTCATGCTAAGACAGATTAACTCTATGAATATGAAAGAAGATGATGGTCATCAACTTCTTTTGAGTAGTATCTATGCTTCTTCGCTTTGTGGTTAAAGTGTTGGCTCTTAAAGCTCGTCACGACGAAGACCCAGGTTCGAATCCCCACATGGGTACAATGTGTGAAGCCCATTTCTGGTGTCCCCGCCGTGATGTTGCTGGAATAATGCTAAAAGCAGCGTAAAACCATACTCAGTCAGTCAGTCTTCGCTTTTCCTGAACATGAAACCAACATTATAACATCTTTCTTCACTGGTTTCAGCTAAGCCCACATTTCTAGACCCTATATTTTAAAGCATCTTTTCTAAGATATCACAGTATTTTCTTTATCCAAAACCTTTTTTAATGTACCTGAACATCTACAAATTACACAAAGTGTTACCTCCTACAAACATTATCAGCAAACAAAATACACAACTCAAGTATAGGGAGACTGCTGGAAGCAGGTCCTGGGGGATATATCAGCACCCCTGGAGACTATGGAGATAAGGCCCTACAGGGTGTGCAATCCAGTGAGAGGTCTACATTATTATCAGGCAGTACGGTAGCAGTATCAATCTGCTGTGCGTTTCCCTCTGAGTGTATGTTTATATGACCTATTCCATGATGCTTGTCCATTATGACTTCCCATCGCTGTGGAATGTGCTTATCACAACCGGTGGAGGCCTAGAGAAGAGACAAGCCACATGGCAAGTGCAACATTTCGACCATATGGGAAGATAGACACAGCTTGCATCACCACATTGTACAACACACCCCTCCTCCACACAGCTGATTATAGGCCTCAACTACAGAGTTAGGTAGGAGGCAGGAATGTACAAGCACAGTAGCCACTGAAAAGGAGGTAATATTGTCCCCCCACCAACACTTTTCAAAGTGAGTGAGTGAGTATGGCTTTACGCTGCTTTTAGCGATTTTCCAGCAACATCATGGCGGGGACAGGAATGTAGGAGCACAAGGCAGTAGCCACTAGAAAGGAGGTAACCTTGTCCCCCACCAACACTCTTCAAAGGGTCCAGGGGCGGTGGGGTAGCCTAGTGGCAAAAGCATTTGTTCATCATGCCAAAGACCCGGGTTTGATTCCCTACATTGGTACAATGTGTGAAGCCCATTTCTGGTGTACCCCGCTGTGATGTTGCTGGAATATTGCTAAAAGAGGCATAGAACTAAACTCACTCACTCACTCACTCAAAGGGTCCATCAGGTACAGGTACAAAAGCTGGGACAGTGAATTGTTCTGCAGACATTACCCCTTATTTCATTATTTCCAGCTCACCATATAATTTACTGTTTAAAGATACTGTTCTTTATCAGTTTCAACCCTTCTTTAGATTTCTTTCCATATTTTCATAAGAAAAAAGATCAAGATACTTCAATGGTGAAAATTATCTTCAGATAGAAAGTAAAGAAGAAATACAAATAACCAGATAGGGCATATCCAGTAAACACTGAAACATGTACATCAAGTTTCAACAGCAAACACAACATCACTTTGTCATCTCACTGGAATGATTAAGTGACAGTTTCATTTTTTTTTTTTAATACATAAAGCATGTGTTTGTAAATTACATATTGTGCGCGAGTGAGTGAGTGAGTATGGTTTTACGCCGCTTTTAGCAATATTCCAGCAATATCATGGCGGGGGACACCAGAAATGGGCTTCACACATTGTACCCATGTGGGGAATTGAACCCGGGTCTTCGGCGTGACGAGCGAACGCTTTAACCACTAGGCTACCCCACCGCCCCCTGCACAAAGTGAAGTTAGCAAGGAGGTTTTGTAACTCATGCTTGCACAGGACACTGTTTTAGGTGTACTCAGATGTCAAATTTCATAGAAAATGAATCCTAACCAAACATTGGAAATAACAAATATACATCCCACTCGAGGGCCCAACAATGGACTTACATTTGTGTAATATGTATTAGCCATAGTTTCTGTGACAGTGTCGATATTCTGAACACTGCCCAAATCTACATCATCTGCTTATGTTCCCACAGAAAACAATGGCTACAGATCACAGCTGATTTCAGCCAGAGTAATCAGAAGATGACACATCCCCCTGGCCCCACAAATTTGACGGGACAAATCATCTGACAGTTACTTGAAGTCAAACTTGATGAGAGGATTTCTGTCTAATCTGTCCATCCATATACAATAGTAGTTATTGAGCTATTAAAACAATAACATGGAAATGGAATTCGCACCTTGTACTTCTATCTCAGGTACACACCAATATCAAAGTCAAAGGAAACAGACAAAACATAAATTCTACCACCCAAGTAGCACAAGGCACAATCTGACAACCTGGTCTTTGTGTGCACACAGTTTCATGAAAAAATTACACATTGGTTTTAGAGATATAGTCCGGACAAACACACCAATACCAACAGAGCCAGTAAAACAGAGGAAACAAAGAAAAAATTCATCTTTTGACATGGCACCACTTGCAATACATGTACCAGGAAACATGAAACTGAATTCATCTTTTGAAATTCCTCAAGGCACCACAGAAATGGGCTTCACAATACATGTACCAGGTTTGGATGAAACATCTTTCATGAAACATCTTTCATGGTTTTCAAGGAAACACAATCTACCCCCAATGAGTCTACGCTGGTATTTCATTTTCTTTTATTGTTTAAGCAGCATATAATCAAAACTGCCTGCTTTCATCATATTTTGAAGTTTGTGACTGAAAACACTGAGTTCACTGAAAGGAATACATATTTTCTTCATTCATTAACTGAATGCATTGATTAGTTGAAGACAAACATGTTCTTGTTATGATTTACCTCAGACCTGTAAAGTAAAATGGAAATCAGTCTGAATGACATTCATATTCCTAATCATACTGTTGACTTCCACATATGTACTGTGGTCTTCTTTGGACCTGGAAATACCTGGAATATATAATGATGTTTCAAACCGTTCCAGATATTTTACAGCTCTTCTTCAGTGCTACCTATCTAGCAGAGTTATCTCCCCTATTCCACAGTGCCACTTTGTGCTCATACATTTGTCTGCGTTAGCGGCTTGGGGTGAAACAAAATGAAAAGCCAAAACATATATCAGGGATAGAAATACTTTTTTTCTAAGTGTGCCTTAGGGCACCAGGCAAAGATTTTAAATGTGCCTTTCAGAAATCAAGTGTGCCCACTGTGACATATGTTTTCAGAATAAATGACTGTAGCAATGATGATGATCATTTGAACCTGTTTTCTGTTTTCACTGATATGTCTTCTGTTTAAGATGGCTTTCTTAAGCTTCATTTGTTCTACTTTCCCAACACCTTTAATAGCTAAGAATTTTGTGACAGGTTCACTTGTTCAACATATCTAACATACACAATTACCTCTTCAATAACCAAACTATCAGTACTCCCATCACTCTAAATGCAGAGATGCCAACCCTAATTTAGCCCAATTTGTATTTTGGCCAAAAACTGATTCAAAAATTAGTATCTGTGGGCCAAAATTAGTATTAACTTTTCCAAAGAATTTTCATATTAAATATAAAAATTTAATATATTGTCTAAAACCTTGTTATTAAAGTTATACTCAACTAAATCAGAGGTAAGTATCCACATATAGCTTGATACTAAATATAATGTGATCGGAATTTATTGTGTATGGTACGTATGCTATTTAATAATTTAATTTAATCTATTTTGTTTTAAAAATCGTATATTTTTACTGCTATCATAGTCACGTATTTTGTGTTGTTTTTCAGTAATGAATAGGATGAAATCGTATGGGTTGGCATCTCTGTAAATACAGCCCTGCTTCCCCTCTGGATCCGCCTTAGAGGCTCTCACCTTCTTTCATTCTGATGATGATATTCTTTGCAGAGGCATCTGTACTGAAGAATCCACCTCCCTCACTGTCCCAGAAGAGCTCATTTTGCTTCTGTTGTAGCTGTTCTGCCCACTCCAGCCACCGGACATCGTAACAAGCCTCGTAAAGGTCAAGCAGGCCTCGGATCACAAAGGAATAGTCATCCACAAATCCCTCTATTGGCTCGGTGCTGGAATGGAATCGGATCGTTTGATTTACATGTATTTCGGAATGATTGTAGGGGCTTTTTCAACAAGTATTACACATCTGATAGGTTACTTTCTCATGCCTTAGAAAATTTGTCAAAAAAGGAACAACTTGAACCATGATTGAAACAAATTGAATACTACATAGAACAGTGCATTTCACTTTGCACTTTGACTGGTATTAGCAATATTAGGGGTACAATGTTGTCATGATGTTCATGAATTATAGGTTCACCTTGAGTTATATCCAAGTAGCCCACAGCTAAGTTCAAACTGGGTTGTTTCAGGTCTAGATTTTCAGAGAAACCACTCAGACCTTCATTTATCATTCAAAACTGTGTTCCATAGTAGATAATGCTTCTGTGAGATCAAACAATATCTCCTAGGAGATATTGTTTTGACAGTAGAATGTTGCCCTGACAATGCTATGATGTCATAAACTTGATGCTATGACATCGCTGCAATGCAAGTCTATTGGCAGTACCATGTTCAGAGATGTACATTTTTCATTGAAAACTAAAGAAGAATGATTTTTGACGATAAATAGAATCTCACCCTTGTGTCTTTTGATACTCGGATATTTGTAACTTTATCAATTCTCTATATATTCACTAGTTTGTTGTTGTATTTCAGCTACACGACAACAGTCTCCATATACTTGAGACTAGACCAGACAATCAAGTTATTGACATGCAATAAATCAAGTCACTGAATCTGACAACCCATTCATGTTAGTACTGGGCTACTGGGTCCCGGGCAACTTTTCCTCGGAATTCCCATTTCCTATTTTTTTTCCCTAATCACTGGACCAGTAGTACTGTAGCCATGTTTAACCCTGTACAAGTAAGAAAGAGGGTTCTGTCCGACAAGGTGATCACTGGGCCATGAGATAGTAGAACAGTGCATCCCAGACGAAACAGGAGAGAGTGTAGCTGATCTTTTGTTTATGCTGAAGTGTCTTGGCTAAAGGACCAGTTGAAGTTCAATGTCAGATAAAAGATTTAATGCTTTAAGTTTAGTTTGGGGAAGGAGGAATGGTCCTGCATGCATTCCGTCAGACAAAATCACAATCCCTGGTGTCTCAATGTTTTATTATTGATACTAAACTGATCACTTATAGTAGTGAAACTAAAGACACTGATATCACTTTATGGCCTCAAAGGCTGCGTTAAAGAAACAGCATTTGGTATTTTTTTTATCTAATGGAATGTTTCTGAGTTTTATACATCCATTTTAGCTACACTTGTCAGCTCTGTAATCATACCATCAAACAGAAACAGGGATTTGTGTCATAATAGGTGGTGGTGGTGGAATTGGGTTTTACGTCGTGCTTGAGAATATTTCGCTCATATGACGAAGTGCATGCGTGTGTATGTGTATGTGCGGCTGCTTGTACTAGCCCAGACTGAAGCTGGTTTTATAGTGCTAGCCCACTGTGATACCATGCCACAGTGAAGCATGAATACCCCACTCAGACACATTATACTGATTCCGAGCCAACCAGCCCTTGATGTACCCATTAATGCCGAGCACCAGGCAGGGACCAACAAGTACCATATTTTAACATGTTTTGGTATGACGCAGTCAGGGATCGAACCCGCGACCTTCTGCACTCTGGGCAGACCATAATCGGACAATACACATGTAGGTTTGTGACAATGTAACAAAACAGGTACACAGAGGCAATGACCGACATATCACACACCCAAACTGTGCTTACATTTGATCCACGCCATCCTGCTGTGAGGTGTAACAGCTCCGGAGCAGCACCCCTGTATCCACCCTGTACAACTGTGTATGCAGGAACTCTGCAGCCTTCACAGCGCGGTCAGTGTACCGGCTGTCTCCAAGGACCTGGCCTCCTCGGGCATAGCCGGATATCATCAGACCTACAGCATGCAATGATGGCAACTTAATCAAGACTGACCCACTGCACTGCTTGTCTACTGAGGAGAGATATATTAAGTCTATTATTTTTGTTGGTTGACTTCATGAGTATATGTGAGCAAACACTTTCTCAGTAAAGTACAAATTATAGTACTGTTTCGTGGTGATCTTGAGTCCCATCTGGGACTCAAACCTACACTCTGAGCAGGCACCAAATACACAGCACACAAAGTCGGTGATGTTAAAGGTCACATGCAACGTAAAACACAACTTTGCAGATTCTGATACCTTTCGGTATGGACTTACCGAAACAAAGCGTCACAAATGCAAATTCAACTTATAAAGTTGAAAAATAACACGATGAAAAAAAACGCGTGAAATCGGAGTTCAAACGTTTCACTACTTTTCCCCAGACTTTTCTGGGGAATACGTGTTTCAACAGCTGACTGCGCTCATAGCACGTGCGCAGTGAAATAGGTTCGCGCAACATGGAAGCGGGCTGTCTGGTGAATACTCGGTGAAGTCTTTGGTGTGAGCTAGTTTCATAATGTTTTGTTGATATCTCACGAGCTTTTGTATGTTATGACAGTAAATAAACTGTTTATATAATTTCATTTGTCTATTTCACCACCTGTTCTTCTTACCGAGTCACTTTCTCAGTTCGATACTTAAAAGCATTATTTAGAGTTGACACGATTTCTAACTGTGATATAGATATGTCGCTGTCACAGACAAAACTCAATGTCTTGTTTTATTGACACCAGTGTGTCTGCCTGCCTGTCTGCTAATGACAATATCCAATACACAACTGCGATCACTGACCACATGCAATTTGAACTTAACACCAATCAGGCTATACACCATAAACAAAACGCATTGATTTATGGCCCGAGTTCGGTCTCTGTCACATTATGTAATTACACAGACAGGCAGGTGTGATACTTGAACACATGACATGTTATGATGTATGTTGATTGCAAAATGTTATACACAAAAAATGAGCATGTATTTACAAAACCCAACTTTCTATATATACACACACAATGACCCGTGCAGGCGGCATCTGCTAATGAACCAGCCGTTACACTTGAGTGCACACCCATCCGCTCTGACTGGGTTCGGTATCCCGGCTGCTTCGTTTCGAGACAGGTAAACCCAAGTACAAAATATTGCACTTTTGATTTGCGATTATACGCTTATAATTTTGTTTATTTGTTTTTTCATAATCAGCAATGCATATTATATGTCATGAAGAAGTGATAATTGTGTTTTAATTATGTTTGATTTTTTGGTTGCATGTGACCTTTAACCAATGAGCCACAGAGGCTTCTCAAAATGATGTCTGACAACTCATAGCCCATATCACATACTTTGTGTACTTTTCTAAAAAAAAAGAAGAATTTGTACTCACACAAAAATGTGTATCTCAAACATAACATTTGTTACATTCAAGCACATTCTGAGAGGCATTGGGTATTCAAGACTTCAGTATTATAGAGAAACACAGGGATCAATAACATACAATGGACCATCATGATGCTGACGTGCTAAAAAGTGCTCACAGTTTGTCAATTTCAACCTGGTTTGCCATTGACATACAATATCATTCACATGTGTACTGGTACAATAATGTCTAAAGACACACCATTCCAAGCAGCCACCATTTTGTTGTCCAGATGTGGCTTCGGTCTTGTCAGTCTCACATTAAACAACACATCTCTGCACTTCTGCAAGACTTGCTCTGCGGTTTCGACACTCAAGTTGAACACCTCAGCTACTTTCTCCACGCTATCTCGCACTATCAGGACATTCTGCATTTTCAACTCATCATGTGGATCCTGAAAGTGAAGTCAATGAAAAACTCAAATGATCATTTCTTAACCTGTATATTTTGCACTTTCCCCTTTAGAAACTGTCCCTGTAATTTAGCAGTGCAGTATGTATGTGAGAGTTAATATGTTCTTCATGCAAATGTGTTCCAAGGGAATCAGTATACCAAAGTATGGCTCCTGTGGAACAGTATACTGGGAAAGATTGAAAATTATTGCACAGATATATCGGGCTGGCTCTCGATATAGATCATACAGATCGATAATCAGTACTAAAATATCGATCGATTATCAATAAGTATCAGAAAAGTAACATTGAACTGAAAATGCCAAAAGAGTCACATCACTGTGAGCGGTGAAATGCATGGATGAATTTACTTAAAATACAGCATCCTGAAAATAATTTAGAAGCACCCAATGAATAAAGACCTACAACTTGTGTATTGTGTGAGTAAATTATTTTATCACAAAAGACTATGTACAATATTATTTATGACACAGTTTTAATATTGATAATCATTAATGATGTTTCCTCTCAACGATACTACTACTGATATAGCAGTGCTAAAATGCTGACAATTAGCAAGATGATGATGATGATGATGATGATGATGATGATGATGATGATGATGATGTACCTGGTAGGGATCAACATTCCCCGTGTCTTGAGTGTTGTAGTACCGAGAGAACAGGTCTGCTTCTGTCTTGTCGTCATGTCCCTCCAGCCTGTCAGGTAGAAGTGCCTGCAATTCCTGCTGTGTCCACACACAGAAGGCTCCCTCCTTCTTGTCTGTGGCACTACTGTCAGGCAGGAGTCGGCATCCTCAGCACTGTAGAAACCACCTGCCTGAACAGGGCAAAACCATGATCACATTTCTGTCATTGGAATGTAGCTGAAAGTTCTGTAAGTTCCACTTTAAACATATATATGTACAGGTTAGGTCTGAGCTCTATTTGACTATTAAATAGATAATAAATGACCCTCAATAATGATGACATCTGATATTTGTATCAATACAGTTCATAAATAAAACTTTGTAAATCCAGATAGTACTGAACATTGTAAATCATTTCAAAAGTTTCACTTTCATTTTCAGTGATTGTGTTTCACGGTAGTCTGTATGAAAAGATTGCAGCTACGCCACTGCCATTTGAGGTAACATGTAATCAGATTGCTTAAGTACTGTCGGAAATAGATAAAAACTGTTTTTATGCTCTTACTCTGTATCCCTAAAACTTACACAATTGCGAATAGCATGCATGTGTCGAAATAACTATATCAGCTTTACTGGGCGTTCAGTGGGATGCGTAATAGGATATCCAGAAAAGCATGTTTACTCATAAAATTGGGCATAACTGAGAAAAAATACGAATAGCTGCTGAAAACAATAGATCAGACTATAGATGGCCATTAGGTCACTCAGCCAGGTATGACGACGACCATCGACCCATCTGACATGAGTTGCCCTCTCAAAGATATTTTATTCTTTTTCATGTGTGTTGAATATGTCTCATCTATTGATTAAAATCTTGCATGTCTTTCTTTTATAAGGTTTATGTTGAGATATGTAAATGAGTATGGTACCCATTGAAAAAACTTAAATCAGCCATCGTAATAAATGTCTCAAAATACAGAGGTGGCATGATCAGTTGAAGATCGACAGAACTGGATATTATTTGTAAATTGTTATGACATGCTGGATACTTCCCCAGTTTAATTCCCTAAAGGATTATCATATCTTAGTTGATATCTCTCTCCCCCAGCCAGACCCCAACCACCATCTGCGACACCTGTCCTGGGTTGTTTTTTTCGAGACGATCCCTCCTACCTGTTTGTCTTTATAGTGATAGTGAGACACCACGGTAGCTACATCCTTCTTAGTTTCAGTATTAAAGTTATTATTTTTTACATCAGCTAACATTTATAATGAAGCTAAGGCTAATTTCAAAATGGACATTTAAAAAGTATCCTTTGTAATATAATATCATCTCACACTAATTTGCATATAGCCATTGTCTATTCTAAATAAGTCGCTTTGCTCATTTATGCACTAATCTCTCCTCAGTAAAGACCTTTTTCTATGTTTCCTATCTCCCTACCACTGAGACTGTAGTTAAGCCAAACTTAGTTTAACAGATATTTCACACTTTCACATATTGTCTACATCAATTGTAGATGTAAATGTGAAAAAAAGTTGTTTTTCTATTTCCGACAGTACTTAAAACCAATTTACTAGGCTGCTAACACTGCTGCACTCACTGGATGGCTCAAGTCCCTTGACACATACTGGAAGATGTCCTTGGCAACATCTGCAAAATAGTTGTCCTTGGTAGCCTGTAAAATATAGGTTAAAAATTACTAATTACTGCAGGAGTTTTAACATTTCATTATAGAAACTTTGATTAATGTCTAAATAAGAAGACAAAGTTGTCTCTACGAGTATAATGTGGCCTTTTAAATATGTGCATAAATTATGCAAATGTATATAATATTTTCCAAAGCAATAAGGGATAATCCTCAAAGCCCTGAATACAACTGAGATTATGACTGATGACAAAACCAAATGGTTGCCTCATGTATATAAATGCTTTCTATTCCTCACAAAGACATGAAATAGTAAATTGGTACTTTCAATGGCAATGTGACAAATTACAAATCAAAATTAAAATCTGCAGGAAAACAGCAACAATGACAGATTTCCAGAATTATAATGCTTTGTTTGTTTCTTTAATCACTACTGCATGATAATCAATCATTATACAATGCACCAATTCCGACCACCCAATCTCTCTTAATCTGGAAACCAAACACTGTTACATGATATCTCATGTAAAATATCTTGACTTGAAACTGCAAAATATAAAATTTTCAAAATTTCTTCAGTAGAAAAATACACCAGTTCATAGGTGAGGTGAGGTGAAATTGGGTTTAACATCATGCTTGAGAATATTTTGCTCATATGACGACGTGCATGCGTGTGTATGTGTATGTGCGGCTGCTTGTACTAGCCCAGACTGAAGCTGGTTTTATAGTGCTAGCCCACTGAGATACCATACCGCAGTGAAGCATGAATACCCCACTCAGACACATTATACTGACTCCGAGCTGACCAGTCCTTGTTGTACCCATTAATGCCGAGCGCCAGGCAGGGACCAACAAGTACCATATTTTAACGTCTTTTGGTATGACGCGGTCGGGGATTGAACCCGCGACCTTCCGCCCTCCGGGTGGACGCTCTAACCACTACACCAGTTTACACCAGTTCATAGTGCGCATTATGTGTATAAAATAATCACCATCATTAATATTTATTCCCCAATCAAAGTGTTTCATTCAAAATCTCAAACGACAAACTCCATAATTCTTCCACCAGGTATGTCTACAATACACACCTGATAGGCATCAAGGTAGGACACAGCAAGCTGACCCTGGTCATACAACATCTTCTCAAAGTGGGGCACATGCCAGAACTTGTCTGTGGAGTAGCGATGGAAGCCCTGAACATTAACAGAACAACCAGAGGAAATCACATATGATCTATAAGTTAAAGAAACTTTGAAATGCTTTGTTTAAAAACTATAACAATTGGTTATCAAGCATGAACAAAACAAACTTTCCCAAGACTATAGCATATGTATGTATGTATGTATCAGGGGTGGAAATAAGTTTAAAATTGCTAGTGTACTCCGGTACAGTGGTACATGTAAAGTCACTTGCCCTGATTATTTTCCTACTATACCAACCGTTTTCTTGCTGATTTTTTAAATAAACAACATAATAAACATTGGAAAGTCAACTGGACACCTGTACTGTGTGATATACAAATTTGCTTGCCCGACAGAAAAAAACACTGGACTCGGACGTCGGGTAATGGGTTATTTCCACCCCTGATGTATGTATGTATGTATGTATGTATGTATGTATGTATGTATGTATGTATGTATGTATGTATGTATGTATGTATGTATGTATGTATGTATGTATGTATGTATGTATGTATGTATGTATGTATGTATGTGATATATACTAAGGACAATTACAAGAGTGAAAGTGTTATACATTTTTACAAAATATAAGAATTTCATTGGGGTAAAAAACCTGAATTTTTTCATGAGTCTTGTATAAATTTGAACAAAGCAAACACATGTTATGATCCATTCATCACCTTTAGGTTATAGCTGTAGTGAAGACACCATTACTATTGCGGTATCGCTACATATAACAGTGGCATCTGTGTTGCATTACCTTAACAAGGCATTAACTCTAAAATAATTACACATGTGCATTTTACTGATTCTCAATTCTCAGCTAAAGCCTTATGACAACACAGTGCCTTATAATTGAGATAAAATATGATATGATGTCATCCAATGTTCTTGAGATTCCAAATTGATTTCATTACATCATTTGAATAATATTTTGTCTACAGTGAAGATCCTCTGTAGGGCTGAAATTGCACATGTTTTTCTTCATTTACTCTTTAATGATGTGAATGAGTAATATAAGGATATCCTATAGAATGTTATCTGTCCTCCAACGTTGTTTGCTTGATTGTTGTTTTACGCTGCACTCAGCATTATTCCAGCTAATAAATGAGTCTGGACCAGACAATCCAGTGATCAACAGCATGAGCATCAATCTACGCAATTGGGATACTATGACATGTGTCAACCAAGTCAGCGAGCCTAACTTCCCTATCCCATTAGTCACCTCTTACAACAAGCAGGCTGAAGACCATTTCTAACCCAGATCTTTATGGGTCTGCCCTGAATGAATGATGTTAATTAGTGTCTTACCAAAGGAAGACAGGAGAATCACCATTCAATAACAGATAATTATTGTATAGAACAAGCTTTATGGATGACAACTTCTTTTTATTCGTGAATGCGACGTTTCGATACAGATTCTTGTACCGTTGTCAAGCAGGAATGAACTTCCCAACTTCTAAAATGCCACCCAAAGAAGTTATATAATTATTGGTTTGTTGATTATTCAGCAAATGATTTAATTCCTGAGAATGATCTGACATCTCACCTGAGCCACATGGTCATGGATGCCACCTTTAGCCATCATCTTCAGTGTATAGCTGCACATGTTCAGGGCATGCTGCCCTTCTTCACTGTCGCGATTACTCCCATAGAAGCGGAACAAGAAGTTGAAATTTACTGAAACAAACTGTATTGCTCTAGACATGCTTTAGGAAAAGCATGCTATTGCTTTAGCAATGTACAGTCCGTTTGGCTCAAAAGCGGACCGATGAATATCATTCGAAAACTAATAAACATAACAGTTCAATGAACGCTTCAAAACATCATACCAAGTGAGTTTTGAGAATTTTGTCCTAAAAACAAGAAAGGTTCAACAAACTATCAGCACAGTTCACTGTGTTCGATGGAGGAGTGCAGAGAGGGAGACAGGTGTTCGAGAAGCACAGCGTTCACAGACAAATATTTATTCATTAACCTGTTTGTGCTGTCTCCATCCGTTCTCGAACACCTGGCTGTCCCTTTCTGCACTCCTCCCTCGAAACAAACAGTGAACTGTGTCAATATTTTAATGATAGTTTGTTAAACAACTTTATTGATTTTAGGACAAAAATTCTGCAAAAAACTCACAGAGTGGGTATGATGTTTTGATTATGATCAGCGTTTCATTGAGTATTTTATGTTTATTAGTTTTCAAGTTAGATTGCAATTCATCGGTCCACTTTTGAGCCAAACGGACTATAGTGTCCTAACACTATTGCACCATTTGGTTACTTTCTCAACTGATCGTTCTAGCCACTGAGATGCGATACCACTCTGATCTGCCCGTTCCTTGGCCATCTCCTTAATTATGACTGCTGGTAACAACATCTACTAATGTCTTTCAGAATGACATGGCCATGGTAGCATACAGCAACACACTATATAGCCATCAGTAAGCAGAGGTAAACAGTATCTTGATATTCTGTCCATGAATCCAAATGTAGGAAATTACCAAGCCCCTATTATTGAAACATGAAGAGCTGATTCAGTCAAATGTATCTTGAACAATCAAGCCCAGTTTATTAAATCAAGGAGATTTACTCTCAAAAGTCTCATATTTACCTGGTTGAGGGAATTTTGGTGCCTTTCCAAATCCTCCCATTTCCTCATCATAGCTGATGACAAGCATACCAAAGCATTTCATGACTTGGGGCTCTGAAGGCAAAGCATTTTCCCCCTTGTCACTGACATTAGTCATCTTCGACAGAGAGCTTCTGACAACTTCACTTTTTTGTTCGAGGTCATTTTTCTTTGTTCTCCACTGAAACAAAGAAAGAGTTATACTGTGTAATTTCTCCAGCTTTGCCATCTTTCTTTCATTTTTCTTACACCTGTAATTATCTTACTAGTTATAATTCAAGACTGGGATAAACAAAACATTGCCTCGAACTCGATCATGCTCACTGAGTTCGTCTCCCAAGGATGACTTATACACTAACCAGAGATATCTATAAATTTATTTACACAGTAAAACTGAAATATTATCTATTTATCAATATATCTGCCTGTCTATGTCACAAATCCACTGAAACAATATATCTTTTTCCATTTGATTACAATATGTACCGCACCAAAGGTTACCGAGTGAGTGAGCGAGTTAGTTTAGTTTTACGTCGCACTCAGCAATATTCCAGCTATATGGAGGAGGTCTGTAAATAATCGAGTCTGGACCAGACAATCCAGTGATCAACAACATGAGCCAAAGGTTACTGTGACGAAATGAGTGGATTATATTTTACGTCCCTTTGAACAATTTGAACAAGAAAGTATGATATTAAGAAGATTTTAGTCATTTATCACACTGGTGAACTGATGACAGCTGTATGATGCTAGCAAACCCAGAAACATAATGAGGGAGCATCCTTGATTGGAACCCATGATCATAGGTTCCTGGTTAGCCTAAGGGATGTAACTCTGTCTATGACTTGTAGTACCTTAGACAGGTGATCACAGACAAACCATAATCAATCCATAAGAAGGGAAATTAGACCTTCACTTACAATCACTGAATGAGCAAAGAACAGCTACAGTCACAATGAGTTACATGCTTGTTAAAATGGCAGTGGTGGATCAGGGGTGTGTCGGGGTGTGTGGGGTGTGTTTGTTCAGGGGTTCGAACCCCTTTGAAAATGACTTAAGTCCACATTGAATTTTTTTTTTGTTGGAGGCCAAGTGGGGTTCAGGGTTTTAACCCCTGAACCCCACCTTTCAAAATTCCTGGATCCGCCCATGAAATGATGACTCTCTCCAACTGTTATCTATGTACATGAAATGCCAATCATAGGGGAGTAACTAAAATAGAATGGATTCAAATTATGGTATAAATCACTGATTAAGTCTATTAAATAAAACTTCTACAAAATGTAACTTCTTTCCACATTTAAATTAAATGACAACCATACTCACCTTTTCAGCAATATTCTGCAGTACAGTTTTGAACCCTGGTCTTCCATAGTACTTATCATTGGGAGGGAAGTATGTTCCTCCAACTATGGGGTTGAGGTCTGGGGTCAGCCACACACTCATCGGCCAGCCACCTCCTCCACTTGTAGCCTGGCAACACAGAAACACATCGATAACAAGCATATTTAAACTATATTTCCTTATAACAATGAAATCAGTGTTACTGATAACTGTTAGATTAAACCCTCTAATGTATCTAATCCATTGATAAATAACGAGGTGTCACAATATGGTTCACTGAATCAGGGAATTGTGACAACTGTATATGAATATATAAGATGCCTAGCTGTGGTACAGAAAAAATGAACACTTCTATCACTTCTTAAAGATGAAATGTTTTGCATCATTTGCATTAATACTATTCGATATTGATAAAGTGCACAGACTAGTGATTAAGTATTCAAGGAGTAGTGTACAAATTAATATACATTTAAATATTGTGATTTTCAATTTACCAAAACAGTAACAATTATACATTATATGTCATTATACCAATGTATCTGAATAAACATATTGATCACATTTATTTATAATAAACATACATTTTCTGTATTGAAACAGTTCATCAAAACATTAATTGCAGGAGCTTAAATGATCTAAAAACAAATTAAACTATGAATTGACACATCTATTAAATATTAAGAATCGTATGAAAGTGACTGATTAGTCTAGAGTGCACCCACCTGGATGAATGTCATATATACAGTTAGCGTCAGGTCTCTCTTCTCGATCAACCTTAATACTGACAAAGTTCTCATTCAAGATTCAAGCCAATTTCCTCATTCTCAAATGACTCTCTCTCCATCACATGGCACCAGTGGCAAGTGGAGTAACCTACAGACAAGAATATCACTTTGTTCTCAGCTTTCGCCTTGTCAAAGGCCTCCTGTCCCCAGGGATACCTGCAACAATTGACAATTTGACATCTGTAAAATTCATTGAGTAGATAATTTTAGTAGATCTCCATAATAAAAGTATAGGCAAGAGAAAGAATTTACAAATAACTTCAAAATTGAAAAGGACCTTATGCAACAAGAGAAAACACAGTAAAACTGAAACTTTATCTATTTATCAATATATCTGCCTGTCTATGTCACAAATCCACTGAAACAATATATCTTTTTCCATTTGATTACAATATGTACCGCACCAAAGGTTACCGAGTGAGTGAGCGAGTGAGTTTAGTTTTATGCCGCACTCAGCAATATTCCAGCTATATGGAGGAGATCTGTAAATAATCGAGTCTGGACCAGACAATCCAGTGATCAACAACATGAGCCAAAGGTTACTGTGACGAAATGAGTGGATTATATTTTACGTCCCTTTGAACAATTTGAACAAGAAAGTATGATATTAAGAAGATTTTAGTCATTTATCACATTGGTGAACTGATGACAGCTGTAAGATGCAGCAAACCCAGAAACATAATGAGGGAGCATCCTTGATTTGAACCCATGATCATAGGTTCCTGGTTAGCCTAAGGGATGTAACTCTGTCTATGACTTGTAGTACCTTAGACAGGTGATCACAGACAAACCATAATCAATCCATAAGAAGGGAAATTAGACCTTCACTTACAATCACTGAATGAGCAAAGCACAGCTACAGTCACAATGAGTTACATGGTTGTTAAAATGATTACTCTCTCCAACTGTTATCGGGGCGGTGGGGTTGCCTAATGGTTAAAGCGTTGGCTCGTCACGCCGAAGACCCGGGTTCGAATCCCCACATGGGAACAATGTGTGAAGTCCATTTCTGGTGTCCCCCGCCATGATGTTGCTGGAATATTGCTAAAAACGGCGTAAAACCATACTCAGTCAGTCAGTCCAACTGTTATCTATGTACATGAAATGCCAATCATAGGGGAGTAACTGAAATAGAAGGGATTCAAATTATGGTATAAATCACTGATTAAGTCTATTAAATTAAAACTTTTACAAAATGTAACTTCTTTCCACATTTAAATTAAATGAAAACCATACTCACCTTCTCAGCAATATTCTGCAGTACAGTTTTGAACCCTGGTCTTCCATAGTACTTATCATTGGGAGGGAAGTATGTTCCTCCAACTATGGGGTTGAGGTCTGGTGTCAGCCACACACTCATCGGGCCAGCCACCTCCACCACTTGTAGCCTGGCAACACAGAAACACATCGATAACAAGCATATTTAAACTAAATTTCCTTATAACAATGAAATCAGTGTTACTGATAACTGTTAGATTAAACTCACTAATGTATCTAATCCATTGATAAATAACGAGGTGTCACAATATGGTTCACTGAATCAGGGAATTGTGACAACTGTATATGAATATATACTGTGGCACAGAAAAAAATGAACGCTTCTATCACTTCGTAAAGATTAAATGTTTTGCATAATTTGCGTTAATACTATTTGATATTGATAAAGTGCACAGACTAGTGATTAAGTATTCAAGGAGTAGTGTACAAATTAATATACATTTAAATATTGTGATTTTGAATGTATCAAAACAGTAACAATTATACATTATATGTCATTATACCAATGTATCTGAATAAACATATTGATCACATTTATTTATAATAAACATACATTTTCTGTATTGAAACAGTTCATCAAAACATTAATTGCAGGAGCTTAAATGATCTAAAACAAATTAAACTATGAATTGACACATCTATTAAATATTAAGAATCGTATGAAAGTGACTGATTAGTCTAGAGTGCACCCACCTGGATGAATGTCATATATACACGGTCAACGTCAGGTCTCTCTTCTCGATCAACCTTAATACTGACAAAGTTCTCATTCAGGATTCGGCCAATTTCCTCATTCTCAAATGACTCTCTCTCCATCACATGGCACCAGTGGCAAGTGGAGTAACCTACAGACAGGAATATCACTTTGTTCTCAGCTTTCGCCTTGTCAAAGGCCTCCTGTCCCCAGGGATACCTGCAACAATTGACAATTTGACATTTGTAAAATTCATTGAGTAGATAATTTTAGTAGATCTCCATAATAAAAGTATAGGCAAAGAGAAAGCATTTACAAATAACTTCAAAATTGAAAAAGGACCTTATGAAACAAGAAAAATATTTTGGGGATATGATGGGTCACCAAAGGATTGGCCAAATATACTAGTTTTGTTTGAGAGACTACTTGGTTTTGTAAGACTTGACAGTATAAGTTTAACTCAAGCTTCTCAAAATGAACATATAGCTCCACAGTCAAATGTATTCATTTTTATTTATTGAATAAAAGTTTCTGTCATTTTCAATTTCAATGCACATAATACACATTTCACAAATTTGCATCTGGTAAAACACTGAATTATAACATTCAGAAACTTATAGAGCTATAGTCCAACCAGTATATACTGACATGGTTTGCAACATGCCTATCTGAACAAACTGCTCCAATATGGGTATGTAACAGAATCAGGTTTTATGTGTAATAAAGTGAACTATGCTTTACTAAATAGACAATTATGCACATATTTACCAGTCCACTGGATTGGAAGCATGTTGAAGAAGATATGGAGACTTTTCCAGGGCCAGTCTATTCTGCCAGCTACTTGAGGAAGAGGCCATGGTTTTGCTTGTGAGGATATTTCTTCTATAAAAACAGGACCTTCAGAACAGACAGAATTCATTATTGCAAGTGAAGAGTGGAATAGAGACAGCACAAATTCAAAGAAGGTTTGATCAACAGAGACATGGGGAAATCAAAACAGAAATGGCAGCTTACATGTTGTGTCCAAAAGGTGAGGTGAGGTGAAATTGGGTTTTACGTCGTGCTTGAGAATATTTAGCTCATATGATGACATGCATGCGTGTGTATGTGTATTTGCGGCTGCTTGTACTAGCCCAGACTGAAGCTGGTTTTATAGTGCTAACCCACTGAGATACCATGCCGCAGTGAAGCATGAATATCCCACTCAGACACATTATACTGACTCCGAGCCGACCAGTCCTTGTTGTACCCATTAATGCCGAGCACCAGGCAGGGACCAACAAGTACCAATTTTAACGTCTTTTGGTATGACGCCGGGGATCGAACCCACGACCTTCCGCTCTCCGGGCGGACGCTCCAACCACTACACCACGGAGGCGGTAGTGTCCAAAAGTGTCATGTTAGATGGAGGGTATATTCCTTTTCTATAGATAACTACAATCCCATTGTCTTTAAGACAATAATGTATATGTAGCTATTCAGATTCTTAACTTTAACAACATCAACATATATACTTTGCACAACACCACAAAATGTAAATCAACCATTTAATGAACTGATCAGAAGGTTGCACTAACAATAACTGATACATTTTATATCATTTTGTGACTATTAAACAAATTGTGTGAATATAAATGTAAAGTTATTACCAAATGGTACACATTACGATTTTACCTCCGCTTCAATGACTTTATATACAATAATAGTCCTGACAAAAACGTACCGGTTTACGTGTCCAAAGAGGAAACTGTGTTTCGCGTAATACCTCACACACCCTTTATCAACGTTGATAGAGTTGGTGCTGAAGGTTCGACGATGACGGGGCGCAGAACATCGGAACAAAACTTGGGCATTTGACGATGCAAAACTGTTGCTGTTGATCCAAGTCAGGCAAGCAGCATTTACCTCGTTATGTAACTTCCTGACATTCTTTCGGATGTTATTCCACATTTGACAACACTAAACTTCGAAAATTACTTCCAAAACTGACACACCTGGTAATTGTTAGGTGTGAGCGCTCAAGCATGCATCAAGAAACCTGAGTTATATATTTCGTCTGCTGCAGGTGCGCGACCCAGAAACCCACACTCCAAGGGGAGTTAATTTCTAGAAAGAACCGTAATTAGAGTTATCTCCCTTACAATATCGAGAATTCAGGCTTTTTTATCACCAGATTGTAGAAGAGCACACAGGGGCTTAATTGTAACGCTAAAAAATGCCATCAAGGTATATACTGTCACTTATGGTACTAAGACTCCTTCAGCGACAGTATATACCTTGATGGCAGTTTTTTAGCGTTACAAGCCCCTGTGAGATCATGATTGTCAAACTTAATGGCCTACAGTAGATCTAGACTACAGTGATTTATCGACCTTCCGGCATAGCTAGCCCGACTGGCAAGCAAAGTTTGGAAACTATTTCGCACACTGGTCATGCGTTGTGTTTAGAGGTGGTGAAAAAGAGAAATGGTGACGCGTTCATGAGATGTCTGTCTTTGTTAAGGCTTATATGCTTCATATCTAAATTGAAAGTTATATAAAATGACGACAGCTACCTCCACGTGTGTTGTCTCATTTCTTTACTTTATGATTATAAACGTTTTCTTGTTTTTCTTTTTAATATAGGTATTAGATGATACATTTTCTCACAACATGTTTGTGGCTTAGGTAACAGTCATCATTTGTTTGAGGTGCTGTGTTTTGAGGGAAACGGAGTATTAGTCATCAGTATTGTTTGAGTTACACTGCTATTCAGGGAAACGGAGTATTAATAATATCTAGTACAATAGCAGTACGAGTACTGCTTCATTCTAAATACACAATGTCATTTAGAAAGTGGTCAAATGTAAAACCTGTTATATTTGGGATTACACTTTCTCAGTTAAGTACAGGTTTTAATATCTTTTATTGGGTTGAGTTCCATCCGGGATTCGGACCCACATCATCAGAGTCAGGCACCTAATCGTAAGCACACAAAGCTTCATTTTATAACAATGACACAACGATAAATATCATTTATACTTTTATGGATGACAACTTTGTTCTTCTATTATGGGCGGTGGGGTAGCCTAGTGGTTAAAGCGTTCGCTCGTCACGCCCAAGAACCGGGTTCGATTCCCCACATGAGTACAATGTGTGCAGCCCATTTCTGGTGTCCCCAGCCGTGATATTGCTGGAATATTGCTAAAAGCGGCGTAAAACCATACTCACTCTCTCATAACGCTGAAGACCCGGGTTCGATTCCCCACATGGGTACAATGTGTGAAGCCCATTTCTGGTGTCCCCCGTGGTCATATTGCTGGAATATTGGTGGAAGCGGCGTAAACCCATACTCACTCACTTGCTGACAATTCATTTCAGACTCGATTACAGACCGCAGCCCAAAAAAACAAATATTGCTGAGTGCGGCATTAAACAAACAACATGTCAGAATGACAAGTACAGCGTAAGTTTTGTTTGGGCAGATCTGTGACAGTGCGTGTCCTGATGCCACGACGTGTTACTTTGGCCTTTTTTTCAGTCCTAGGAGGGGTCAATCTAACAGTTTACGATTATACTAATAACACAATTTGTCAGTCTCAACATTGGATTTGTTAGAATGTGCTCACCTAACAAAAACGTTTCAACTTGCACAACTTTTGCACAGTCTATTTGATATGATGTCAATAAAATATGTTTAAAAACAAAGTATCCTGGGCCGTGTTCCACAGAGCGATCGTAGCGCTACGACAGTCTTACGTCTATGTTGCATGGGAGTTACGATCATCTTAGCGCTACGACAGTCGTAAGTCTATGTTGTATGGGAGTTACGATCATCTTAGCGCTACGACAGTCGTAAGTCTATGTTGTATGGGAGTTACGACCATCTTAGCGCTACGACAGTCGTAAGTCTATGTTGTATGGGAGTTACGACCATCTTAGCGCTACGACAGTCGTAAGTCTATGTTGTATGGGAGTTACGACCATCTTAGCGCTACGACAGTCGTAAGTCTATGTTGTATGGGAGTTACGACCATCTTAGCGCTACGACAGTCGTAAGTCTATGTTGTATGGGAGTTACGACCATCTTAGCGCTACGATCGCTTTGTGGAACGGGGCCGCGAAACGTAATCCTTTAAAACAAAGATCTGACTTGGCATTTTTCATCAACATCCTAACTCCAGTATCCCATGACCTGGCCACAGTTAAACGCCGATCGTACTGACTCTGCTTAGACTAACGCGTAGTCTTTAAATATGTATCATTTTGATAGTAACATTTAAATTGAAAAGGAGCCCGATTGAGATGGGAAATTCAGAACCTGCGAAAATCTAGACTTGCTTCATTTAGGACTTTAGCATTGCAGGGAGGGCTAGGCAGAAGGGAAAATAATGTGGTTCAGGGACTGTGAGACAGACTATGATTCTGCCCAGTCCTTCCCATGGTATATATTCACAGTGGTGTGCGGAAACCTGGATCAGTGAACCAGTGCTGGCAGTGGATGTAGTGTCAGTTCAGAGCCAGGTAAGTTACCATGAAACGGGGAAACAACCTTCATTTGATATATCATCTTGTGCGCAATTTGTCATTTAAGTCAAGATAGGACAGATCATGAAAGACTCACCAGCTTCTTTGAAGCGGGCGCTTGATGAAAATGTTCAACTGGAAATATTTGGCGTTCCTTAAATTATGAGAGCCGCAGACATGTTTTTCATTGGAACGCTTCTGTGACATGGGTTTTGAGTCACATATTCTCTTCCATATTGTGTTCCACTGATAAAGACGGAAAAAGTTTGATCAGTACACCATAGGATAAAGGGGAACAATACAACAATAGTGTATATATCCAACATATCATTGATGCAAATGAAGGTAAAGTATCACACAATGCAACGAATAAACGAACCACTGTCGCGGAAAAATGTCTTTTGTAGATATATGGACGTTCATAACGTTTCTGTTTGTTTGTTTGTTGTTTCCCCATCATAATGTGTTCAAGCGACGCCTTCACTTTCCACACCAGTCATGTTTTCAAACGGCTATCTGTTTTATCAAAACTATATTCGGAGACTAAGCGTTAGTCTAGAAATAATCCCCATAACGGTATTACATAACATTCCACCTCTCACCTTTGTATTTTGGCGTTTTGGATCAGATGGCCATGTAAACGCAGCTCGAATTACAACTGAATGTTGCAATGTATTCAAATGAGAGTAATTCGGCAGAAAAAACACTATAATATGTGTAATCATACAGGATATTCGTTATTAAAATATGAATAACTTTAACAACCCAATGAATGAGTCAGTTGTAGTAATATAAGTTATGAACGGGAGAAGGGTAGGGATGGGGGAAGGCAATCATTCCGCTGAAAAACCCTATAATATCTGTAATCAGACAGGAAATTCGTTATTAAAATAAGAACCTTTTTGTAAAATAAGAAACTTTAACGACTCCAGTGAATGAGTCAGTTGTTTTCTATTATAAGAACGGGAGGAGGGTAGGGTTTGGGCCAGGCGATCATTGAAAGAAACTATTATAATATCTGTAATCAGACAGGAAATTCGTTATTTGAATAAGAACTTTTTTAAAATATGAAACTTAAACGACTCCAATTTATGGGTCAGTTGTTTTGTCAGTTGTTATGAACGTGGGGAGGATGGCGATGGGGATGCTATATGTTAAATGAAGTCCTTGAACGTGGAACACATTCCCACGAATTCCTGGATCTGTGTCGTCATGGTAAAGATCACGATTACTAATGAGGTGCCCATAATTATGTGTTCAGTGACCGTGTGCCATTTGTTTGTGAACTCATTAACAGAGAACAAACCTTTTCACTGACTGAGTAGGAAAGTCAGTGCAATAAATGTGTTCGCCACCAATATCAATTACCATTATAGTTAGGCCGTCTGAATATGTGATGTTTCTGTGACAGTTCCAAAATTACCTCCACCTTCTAAAAATATTTATTCAATCATTCATTCGTTCGTTCGTTTGTTCCTTCATTGATTGATATTCATTCGCGCTTGATATCTGAACACACTGGATGCAAAATAACGAAAGATTTACGTAAATTTAGTTAACTTTGAAAGGGAATGAAAGTTTGGAGAAGTTCGCGAGGACACTCATTTAAATATTAAATAGCATAATAACCACTTTTGATATCTTGCGGATATCTTGATATCTTGAAAACTATATTTTCATATCTCTTAAAGACAGCCATCCTGTAAGTTTTATCATTTTTTAGGTTATGATTTTCTTGAAGAAGAAGATCCCGCGACGATCTGGGTTAGAATTGGTCTTTAGCAACCACTGCTTGTCGTAAGGGTGATCGGGTGGTCAGGCTCGTTGACTTGGTTGACACAGGCCATCGTATCCTACTTGCGTAGATCGATGCTCATGATGTTGATCACTGTGTGGTCCAGACTCGAATATTTACTTACCTTCGCCATAATGCTGGGATATCGTTGAGTGTGACGTTATACAACAAAGAAACAAAGATCGTTTCCCTCTGAAACTAAGTATAGAGATGATAAACACTCACTATTGAATTGATGGCTTATCCGGGTTTAGATGGCTTATCAGTGACCTTCAGTTCAAGAAGCTATACACTGAGTGAGTGAGTGAGTTTGGTTTTACGCCGCTTTTAGCAGTATTCCAGCAATATCACACCAGAAATGGGCTACACACATTGTACCCATGTGGGGAATCGAACCCGGGTCTTCGGCGTGACGAGCGAACGCATTAACCACTAGGCTACCCCTCCGCCCCGCTATACACTGATACTGTGTATGGTATGACAACGTTTTTGACGGTATGTGGGATTCATTATTCAAATCTGGCTACCAAGGGAGATGGTTGAGATCCAGTTTCAAGGAAATGCATCACAGCGTGACTCTACCGGTTATTGTCGTAAACAAAATGAAAACGTACGCGTTTAGGTTATAAATATACTCATGCCAATAATGGTTGTCACCCCCTTCAAATATTTTTATTGGAGAGGGGGTGTGGGGTGTGTGTGGGGTGTGTGTGTGAGGTTGGGGTGGGGAGGGGGCTGACAACCATTATTGGCAGATTATGTCAATATAATTGAATTTTATCGTTTTGATATCTTGATATCAAAGGACTTTTGGATGGGATACTCTCTCTATATAAAATGCGGCCACAATACACAAGAAACTTTGCCACTATAAAAATGAATTTCAAAATTTAAAGTCCAGTTCAAACACAAGAATGAAAGAAGAAAGACAGTGGTATTGAACAAGTGAAAAACGGTTCCTCTTGGGCAGCCGAAATTACACGTGCAATCAGAGTAACTATGTAAATGATACGGAGAGCATGTGTTGAGGTGAAATGGGGTTTAACGTCTGTAAATAATCGAGTCCAGACCAGACAATCCAGTGATCAACAGCATGAGCATCGATCTGCGCAATAGGGAAGCGATGACATGTGTCAACCAAGTCAGCGAGCCTGACCACCCGATCCCGTCAAAAGTTTAGACTCACTTAAAGCACTCACTATATGTTATGCATATATACATCAAAGATGAATTTCTCCACTAACTTGGGGGAACCAACTGCAAACTTTATGAAGATGAATTGCACGAGGATCATGCATCAAATTACTGAAAAGCATGTGCAAATATCGTGCATGTGAACAGCTGCGTTGTGGTGTAAAATTTTGTTAAGAATTCGCCAACTTTCACTCAGTTTCAACATTTATTGAACTCATGACAATAATCTTTTCAACGTTACGAATTTGTTTTACAATACATCAGTTCATGTGTAAACAGTACCTTTAAACAGTATGGAATATTTTAGTTTAGAACAGTTGACTTAAGTAATTAAGTTGCTAAATACACACTAGCGGGTCTAAACTTTTGATGGGTAGTATATTTTGACATGTTAGGCCATTTATAAAAATAATCACTGATAAAAGAAAACGTTCATTCGCCAATGCTTGACACCTAAATAAATAATGGAACTCGTCGCCAATTTGTTGAGAATTACACAATGCACAAAATCTCTCTTCACGAGGAATGTTTGACCAGCGACCCTTTTCTATTGGCAATTTGTGATTATTTGTTCTAAAATATAGTAAAGGTTTATATGTTATATTTGAGTAATAAATACTTTTCAAAACATGGTGAATCTTTGATAATGGAATAGTAGAAATACCGAATTTTCACTTCTCCAGGATTGCAAAAACTAGTCCTTTAAAGTTAGAACCACATTCACATTCTGCTTTAGATATTCACAGAATTTTCACATTCTGCTTTAGATATTCACAGAATTTTCACATTCTGCTTGAGATATTCACAGAATTTTCACATTCTGCATTAGATATGTATTCATACACCGCTTATATTCCCTACTTTTAAGACGTAAAATGCTTCTATTACTGTCGCTTTTGTTTCGTGAGTATGAATTCTGTGCCCGAAAGAACTGACGTTGAAATGCCACGACTGACACCCGAACAATATGAGCGGTATCGTACCATACAGATGGGAGCCACCATGCCGACATTGCCAGAACGTTTGGTCGCTCTGCTGTTGCTGTGCCTAACTTGATGAAACGTCACGGACTGACCGGCAGACATCAGACAGACCAAGAACAGACAGACCCAGACAGATCGGGCAGACATCAGACAGGCCAAGAACAGGCAGACCCAGACAGATCGGGCAGACATCAGACAGGCCAAGAACCAGACCCAGACAGATCGGGCAGACATCAGACAGACCAAGAACAGACAGACCCAGACAGATCGGGCAGACATCAGACAGACCAAGAACAGACAGACCCAGACAGATCGGGCAGACATCAGACAGGCCAAGAACAGGCAGACCCAGACAGATCGGGCATACATCAGACAGGCCAAGAACAGGCAGACCCAGACAGATCGGGCATACATCAGACAGGCCAAGAACAGGCAGACCCAGACAGATCGGGCATACATCAGACAGGCCAAGAACAGGCAGACCCAGACAGATCGGGCATACATCAGACAGGCCAAGAACAGACAGACCCAGACAGATCGGGCATACATCAGACAGGCCAAGAACAGACAGACCCAGACAGATCGGACAGACATCAGACAGACCAAGAACAAACAGTCCCAGACAGATCGGGCATACATCAGACAGACCAAGAGCAGGTAGACCCAGACAGACCGGGCAGACATCAGAAAGACCAATAACAGACAGACCCAGACAGATCGGGCAGACATCAGACAGGCCAAGAACAGGCCGATCCAGTTTGATAACACCCAATAAAGACCGGTACCATTCAGTGACGTCATCAACGGGTCTTGTGGCATTAAGTTCTTCCGTTGCGTTCAGGAAGTCGTGCCGTATGGTGGGGTGGTGTTATGGTGTGGGGAGGAATTTGTGGGCAGGAGATAAAACCACAGGTCATCGTTAACGGACATTTGACAGCTCAGCGTTACATTGATGACATTTCTACAATAGTTGCCAAGCTCTCCAGACATGCCCCCCATAGAAATTCTCAGGGATGTCATGGCCCGTCGTGCTCGACAACGACCACATCCTAAAGCCAACCGACAAGAACTGATTCAGCCACTGACTAACGTCGTATCCCTCATAACGTCATTAGAAGACAGGCGCCGGAAGTTGTATTCTTATATGTATTCTGTTGTATTCTTAATATATGTGAGCAACATGACATTTACTGTACATTTTGGGAACTGGTCATATATGACTGGAGAGAGGCAAGGAGTAAAATATGATGCCGTCCTGACCGATAAACACTTTTAATATAATTACAATATATAATAGTTTCTGAGGACTTTGTTTTATTGAATAATGGCCTCAATGTGTAGAAACTAGAAACCGGAAGTTATGCTGATTTACCGTATAAATCGATGTAATATTTTGTTGAGCACACTGTCGATAAATTTGATTTAAGTTTCAAATCCTTTCGAAAACGATCCGTGGCCATAGCATTTCACCTTTCCATTGCATATCCGAAGCTATGAGGATAGATTGTTTGCGTTAACGAAAACTGAAACATTAATGTTGTCTGCATAAACAGCAGATCAATGCTAACGTTATTTGTTGAAGGCTGATTATGCTGATATTACAACACCAATACTGCTCTGTGTAATTTGACATAATCGGGAGTAATTGTTTCACGAGTTTACAAAGCAACTGCTCAATAAAAATTCCGAGAAACGGCAATATTAGAAATTACGTTCTATTAGCATTATTTTTCGTCTAGACACGCCAGTTCTTCGTGCTTTGAGCACAGTCTTCACCAAGGGCAAACTCCATTTTCCGATATATATAATGTAGAATATCATTACAGAGTGAAAATATGGGTTTTATGTCGATTTAAGTTTCAGCTTGACCGATAGGCCAGTAATATTCCAGTATTAGAGTGTCGGCTACGGATGGACCGTAACGACCGCAGCGCTCCTATAGCGGGCAAGAGGGCGCAACTCCAGGAATGTTCCTCATTCAGCTAACGTCAATGGCTGATTCTGGGCTTGACGTAAACGTCGCTCCATTTCATCCCAAGCGTGCCCGATAGGTGCCAGGTCCGGCCAGGGGAGTACCGGAATGTTCTGCTGTCCCAGGAAGTCTGTCACAACACGAGCGATATGTGGACGGGCATTATCTTGCTGAAGCGTGAAGTTACGTCCCACCATCCCAATCTTGTCTCCTATACCGTAGATGATGGCTGCACCAGGCAAGACATGCCTGTCGGTGACGGTAGAGGAAAATTGGACGTATTGCAGGCTGTCGGGGCCGAATGTCCCTCAGTCGGTTCCGTACAGTCCTGGAACTGATTGGACGTAAGCCAGGAATGGTCCGAGCAATCAAACTGGCACTCTGGAATCGATTCCTTAGATGGGTCACCCGAATGTGGTTGTCTTGCTGACGTGACATCACGCTTGGACGGACGGTCCGAGGCAAATCTCTCCTGTCCCCATTATGTTGAAAACGTCTCCATACAGATAAGATCGTGTTCCGACGGACACCAACATGTCTGGCCACTTCATTCCAGTCTCATGCATACCCACATGGCGCCGAAACGTTGTTTTTCTGTAAACCGTGGCCTGACGTACGCGCAGTTTAGGTTGAAATCAACATGTTTTCCACAACATCCAGAGGCTGGAGAATAATCAACCATTCTTCAATTTTTGAACTTTAGGTGTAAACAAACATGGACAAAGTGAGTACGTTCAAGTCCACGTGCCACGCGCCACGCGCGATACGTGTCATCAAACTTTATGCAAAGTGTTTTGCTACATGTTTATTTAGGTTATTTTTTATAACTGTTCAAATCACTTCTATTTTATGCATTTTTATGTTATGCACAGTTACTTTTTTCCGTTAGTATACTTAACATCAAAGACTAAGAGCCAGTATTGCTGGCACGCCCAGTGATATGAAGTAACCTGTGTCCCCTCCCAGCGTCCCCGCTATTATATATCCGTGACTGTGGTACACATGATATTTAAGATTACATCAGGATTGTTTCTGAAATAAACATTCATGCGAGGGCTTTCATCACCCAATTATCATCGATTACGTAGTGTAATTGATGTATTAAGCGGAACGAGGCTTTTCCGTTGTAATTTGTTGGTCAATTATGGGTAATTTTTCATAATGCACATGTGTGTGGCTATAACCGCTTTGAAAAGGGACGAAGAAAAATAGTGTAGTGTGGCATGTGCTACTGGCGTCTTCTTGCTTCCGCTGTCGTGAGGTGAGTTTTCTAAATTTATAGTCTCCACGTAGGCAGTAGTGAGTGAGTGAGTTGGGTTTTACGCCGCTTTTAGCAATATTCAAACAACATCACGGCTGGGGACACCAGAAATGGGCTTCACACATTGTACCCATGTGGGGAATCGAACCCGGGCCTTCGGCTTGACGACTGAGAGAACACATTAACCACAAGGCTACCCAAAATTAGCCTTTGTTCTTAATTCAGTTATGATAAAACTAGAACTGTGAATTCAAAAGTAATGACAACATATGTGTCAAAAATGTATTAAAAATTAAAATAATTCTAATTTTCCCCATGTTCGAGATATTACTATTTTATTATAATATAAACGATGCACACACGCGCAAGTTAAGACGCGACCTGTGTGTGGCAACTTATAGAAATTTGAGTTTTAAAGGAAATTTAATGATCACATAAAATCTACTCCCGTACTTAGTAAATTCGTTGTTGGGCAATTTCCCAGCAGTGTCCAGGAATACTGCCGGTTAATTATAGGAAACGTCCAACGCTGATAAATACATATAATCACATGGGTTACACTCATGCTCTCAATTCACTACCATGACGTTTAGCGTAATGCATATTGTACTTACACTATTGAAGCATTCAAAGTTAAAACTAAAATAGATAATACATGATCTTACCTACATGTCGAGGCACGGGTATTTTCTAGTATATTTACGTCACACAAAATAATTTAATGTTAGATATATGTAGTACAACTTGTTTTAATTGTTTGCTAAAATCCTTTTACAAACTAAAGTAAATTTCAACACAAATAAATCTAAAGAGTAATCAGATGTTATATAGAATTTGACCGTTATATTGACAATTGGTGAAACTTCAATTAAGAATTTCCAAATAGATTTTCAAGTTCATCTAAAGTAATTTTGAATGCCTTACACTGGCATTTCTATATCAAATAACGTCAAAGAGTTATGAGACCTGGAAATATATTTGTTTGTTCCATAGTAGTTATCAAATGTATCATTGTAAGGTAATAAACATTTTAATACAACTGTAACGTAAAATAATGTCAACATAACGGCTGCAGGTTTTGTCATTTTCAGAACACTGTAAATATAAATAAATTAATTACAGATCTTTAACAAACGTTTAGCAACAAACGTTGGATTATATAGGCATTTACTACGCCTACAATCTAATTGTATTTTTCATTACCGAGCATGATTATACATGATGCATCTTATTAGAATATCTTCATTACACATTGATAAACGTTTAACAGTTTGACTTGTACACAATATACAAGAATCATAAGGTTGAAATTTCAGTACTTACATACAGATGATTTAACCCGTCAGAGCTTCAGACCATGAGCAGCACGCGCATTGAAATCAGCATGAATGACGCAACATGTTTTCATGGCGTCATCAAATTTGTTAGCGACGTATGCTCATTATGTGATGTTAAATAGCCATATTTGGAATTGTAACGCAAAATACCGTAACGTAGAATATGTAACGTAAAATAATCAGTCATTATTATGAGCTACGCGACTTAAACAAATGATATATTGCGAATATAGGAGACAGGAAAAGGAACTAGGTGTCATCCTTACCAGATGATCACATAGATGTGCTCAGGTTATGTATAAGGTCATATAACTTCGTAACGTAAAATACACCCTTATCTATACTGTATATGATTGTAATTTCCCAACGTATTTATAGTTTATAAAGTTATTACAACAAATGGATTTGATGTTCAATGTCTTCAATAAAGCATGAGCGATTATTTTCTTAAAGTTACTGGATGTATTATTTGTCTCTTTTGATGTTGCTTTCGTTCTTTTGGAGCATAACGTAAAACACCAAAGTATTGTCGACAGTGGAATTTCATTAAAATTCGACAAATACCCTCAAATATCAGGTTAGATGACTACCTCATAGTAAAATTTAGCTTGATATCTTCCACATGATGCATGACAAGATAACATGCACTATCAATAGTGCTATTTTGATGCAACAAAGTTTTTAATTATATGCACTTTGTAATTATAATGTAATGTTTTACATATCGAAAGAATATATTTTTTATGTATTATGGAAATGGTAATCGTAAATTAACACAGAATACCCAATGTATCTTTATTTCCAAACTAACTTTTGTGAAGAAGTTCAATATTTTTGCACTTACAATCATGCGACAACGCAATTGTGCATGTTGAGTGAGAATGAGTGAACAGTTTGCTGTGCAGTCAACTTGCGTCCTTTAGACACGCCAGAGGTCTGTGATCGTTGGTTTGAACCCGGTTTCAAAGTGGTAAAACGTCTGCGACCTGCATTACTTCTGTGCCCATATCAAGCTGGCACGATATGTTATAACTACAATACTATTCACGCTCTAACACATCTATCAAACGTTTCCAGTCACACCTGAAAGACAACGATGACAACGATGATGTTTGTGTCAGCCCTGTTGCTGTTGCTGGTGGCCGCTGCTGCAGGTAACTGTTACCCCATGGGCGGATCCAGGAATTTTGAAGGGGGTCAGGTGGTTCGAACCCCCTGAACCCCCCATTGGCTCCGCCAACGCAAGAAAAATCTTCAAAGTGGTCAAGTCTGATTTTCAGGAGGGGCGAACCCCTGAACCCCCCCTCTCTGGATCCGCCAATGCCCCCCATACTTGTCACTCTACTGTATTCCCGGGGCCCTCTACCCATATATGTCTAGTGTCTACCCGAGAGGATTTCCAGGTGGAACTCAGGTTACTGTTACCGCTGCGTTCTGATTTTCTTCCTTTCTTTCTCAGACAGAGTCTTCATTCATCAACCATTCTCATTTTCCTCTCCATACTCATTCTTCTTATTGTCATCATTCTCACACTCCTGTCTTCTCTCCTCATCCTAACTATTCTTCCCCAACTTCATTTACTCATCCGCCCCTGTGAAGATCCGGGTTGGAATATTGATCTTCAGTAACCCATGCTTGTCGTGAGGCGACTAACGGGATCGGGTGGTCAGGCTCGCTGACTTGGTTGACACATGTCATCGGTTCCCAATGCTGTTGATACTGGATTGTCTGGTCCAGACTCGATTATTTACAGACCGCCGCCATATAGCTGGAATGTTGCTGAGTGCGGCGTAAAACTAAACTCACACACTCACTCATTTACTCATCCTTCATCTTAACCTCCTTATCCTTCTGGGGTGCGGAGTAGCCTTATGGTTATGGCGTTCGATTCAGGTACAATGTATAAAACTCATCTCTGGAGTAAAACGTTTTTACATTCTCACATTCTCATTGCATTTATCCTTAAGAGCGGGAGGAGATGTTGCACAAATACAGTATTTACGTAGGTAGGGTGTCATTTCACCACTCTCTCATCTTTCCCCTCTAGGTCAGCGATCTGGGTGTTCGTACAGAGGTCGCTCCTTTGACAATGGTGCACTCTTCCTTGGCTCAAACCGCTGTACCAAGTTTCAGTGCGACTACGGGCGAGTAAGAAAGGTTGGCATAAGTAAGTTGTTTTTGTTGTTGGCTGCAGTATTCATACGAGTAAAAAACAATTCACCCGTGCAGATCCGGGTTAGAATTGGTCTTCAGCAACCTATGCTTGTCGTAAGAGGTGACTAACAGGATTGGGTGGTCAGGCTCGCTGACTTGGTTGACACATGTCATCATATCCCAATTGCGTAAAACGATGCTCATGATGTTGATCACTGATTTTGCGGTCCAGACTCGATTATTTACAGACCGCCGCCATATAGGTGGAATATTGCTGAGTGCGGCGTTAAACAACAACCATCAACCATTACAAAATGTTTAAAAAATGTACAAAACAGGGGTCATAAGTACAGGTTGATTTACGCGAGAACAGCAGAATTGCTACTGAATGTTGCCTTCATTTTCAAGTATTATCATTAATCCTTTTGTTAAATGTTTGCATGATATAGGCTATTTCATACTAGTCTATTATTAATCTTATTGTGAAATGTTTATATATTGTTGGGTATTGCATATAATAGTCTCTTATAAATCTTATTGTTAAATGTTTGCATGATGTAGGGTATTTTATGATAACCTATTATTAGTCTTGTTGTAAAATGTTTGTATGATGTAGCCTATTGTATACACTACTCTATTATTAATCTTATTGTGAACTAATTGTATATTGTAGGCTATTGTATGATAGTCTATTATTAATCTTATGGTTAAATGTTTGTATGAGGAGGCTTTTCTATATTATAATATTAATCTTATTGCGAACTGTTTATATGACGTAGGCTGTTTTATAATAGTCTATAATTAATCTTATATTGAACTGTTTGTATGACGTAGGCTATTGTACAGTAGTCTATCATTAATCCTATTGTGAACTGTTGTATGATGCAGGGTTATTGTTACATTAATGACAGACAGACTGACAGACAGAAACTTTTATTGACACAAGCCATGATAGATGGCCTCTGGCCATATACATAATATACTCTCCCAAAAAAGAAACGCATATAGGAATTTCAACTGTATTTTCATGTTTATTTTGAAACATCTTGTAGGCTTTATGAGTCAATGAAATATAGCGAAATTGCACACTGGGAATGCAGACTTATCCGTCTTTGGCACCAACTCGAGGAAAGTCAGTTTGAGTGTCACATGGAGACGTGTGGTGGCGCTGAAGTCAATACCTCGTGTGACCACCGTGGGCATCCAGAACTGCACGGCATCGCCTCGGCATCGAACGAATAAGTCTCAGAATCTCGTATTGCCCAATCGCAGCCCACTCTGCCTGTAGTGCCTGTGCGAGTTGCTGAAGTGTCTGGGGCTGAGGGTTACGGCGTCGCAGCCGTCTGTCCAGGGCATCCCACAGATGTTCGATCGGGTTTTAAGTCCGGTGATCTTGAGGGCCAGGGGAGCACATTGATGTTGTGGTTCTGGAGGAAGTCTCTAGTGTGACGTGCTGTGTGGGGCCTGGCATTGTCCTGTTGAAACAACTCCCTCTGGCGATCAATGATTGGAAGGAAGTGTGGGCGTAGGATTTCGTCACAGTACCGTTGAGCTGTCAGGTTGCCTTGGATCATCACCAAATCACTTCTCCTACGGCAGGTGATCGCTCCCCACATCATAACACTTTCCCGGCCGAATCTGTCCACCTGGGGAACGCAAGCGTCGGCGAAACGTTCACGTCGACGTCTCTACACCCGCATTCTTCCATCGCGTCGTTCCAATAGAAATCGTGCTTCATCACTGAACCAGATTCTACGCCAATTCGGTAGGGTCCAGGCCTGAACGTTGGTGCACCATTGAACTCGATGTCGACGATGTTGTTGTCGAAGCACAGGGCAAAAAACCCCAGCCTCTCTCAACCTCTCCCCGACGGTCTGTGCAGAAAGCCTCCTCAATCCGGGTATTTGTCGAGCGGTACTGGTCGCCGTAGCTGTTCGATGACGCAGGTGATGTACCCGGATGCAGCGATCCTGCACCGCAGTGGTCGCTCGAGGTCGCCCACTACGAGGGGCATCTGCTATCGCATTCTATAAGTTTGGCATGAAATGCATGTGGACCCGTTTTTTTGTAAATATCTCTTCATCCAATGACCCAATCGATCTCAAACTGTGCAAGTGGATGTTTTGTCAGACAACCTAATCACATTGTAAATCACCGATTTTATGCATTTGTATTAAAGAATCTGTCTATGTAACTGTCAACAAAATAAACAGCAGACCGCAGACGGCTTGCAGAGGGAGGGAGCCAATGACCTGTAACAGCGGCAGTGTTGGGTCATAAAGGTAAATGCACGTGCAGTTCATGATAGTTACCTGTGCACTGCACAGTGATAGACCGTTTGGATCATTCACATTGACTACTTCTAGCTGTCATCATGAAAGCTTATTCAGATGATGCTAAACGTTTAATTAGAAATGTGTTGAATTTTTTTTAAAAGAGAGCAAACGTAGCAAACCGATTTATAAGGTGTCGGATTACATAAAACATACAACTTTTGCTCTTGGCATGAAAAAGAACATCGTGCTAAAAATTGTGAAAAATAAACCAACAACCAATAAACAAAACCTTGTACAAAAAGGTAGGCATCCAAAGTTAGATTCTTTTGACATCAGGGTCATCAGAGATGTCATTCGCCGGCTATTTGCTAGAAATGAACACCTCTTCATACCTGTCACGTGCATAGCTGACCTACATTGACGAACGTTGACCTTTATGACCCAACACTGCCGCTGTTACAGGTCATTGGCTCCCTCCCTCTGCAAGCAGTTTGCGGTCTGCTGTTTATTTTGTTGACAGTTACATAGACAGATTCTTTAATACAAATGCATAAAATCGGTGATTTACAATGTGATTAGGTTGTCTGACAAAACATCCGCTTGCACAGTTTGAGATCGATTGGGTCTTTGGATGAAGAGATATTTACCAAAAAACCGGGTCCACATGCATTTCATGCCAAACTAGTGTCAGAGGAGCGAACAGTTTATGGCTGTGGAGAGTGGTGAGAATTCAAATTGAACCAATTAGTCGACCCATATACTGTCTGATTACACATCCTGAAATCTGCCCCGGGATAACAAGTTTTGGGTTCGATCCCCTTCATCGTCAATAAGCCATAAAAATATGGTATTCAATTGTTGTTTTCATCTAAAACATTCCTTTACCGGAAGTAACTCTTGTCACGTCGTCATCGGTTACCACGATGTCACAATCAAATATTGCTGAGTGCGACGTAAAACTAAACTCACTCACTCACATGCTCAAGGGGCTGTGTATTTTTTGTTTTTGTGTTATTGCGCAACACAAGTATGGTAGCTGATAACGCTTGAAGCCAGTTCAACATTTAGGATTACTCAGAGACAACACGTGACTGGTGACCTGTGTGGCGTGACATATATCTAACAGAGACACAGGTGCATAAATAATATAACGGTATGAACAATGTCACATTGACATGCTTTTATCTTGAACAAATTATCAAGGCTAGTCAAATCGGCCCCGATCATTACATTGAATATATGAATTATAGCCTAGTGGTTTAAGCGTTCACTCGTCACGCCGAAGACCCCGATTCGATTCTCCACATGGGTACAAAGTGTGAAGCCCATTTCTGGTGCCCCCCGCCGTGATATTGCTGGATTATTGCTAAAAGCGGCGTAAAACCATAACTTACTCACTCACTCTTGTTTGTCGGATGATCCGACCTGAGAGAAAGAGATGTTTCGGATGGGTGACGTGGGATTTTTCGGAATTGGGAATTCGTGATGATGAATTATTGCCCATGGTTTCAGTCACTAGTCCAGATTACCTATATAGAAAGAATGTAGGTGATCCTGACGAGAATGTTTATTTCATGCCTTGTTTTGTTTCAGATCCTTACAAATGTGCAGACGATTTCAACAGGTGCAAAAGATGCGAGGAATAAAGGATAACTCAGATTTGTCAGTGGCAGCGAACAGTTTCGTAATAAATGTCCTCCCATCAATGTCTTTCCATCAATGTGTATGTGATCGCAGTTCTGGCTGCAACCTGCAATTTTCAGGTTCATCACCACTACCTGTGGAAAAAGGACAGACTAGTATGTGGTTACAGTGCCACACACACCTGTTCACACACTGAAACACGCTGAAACGCTGGGCCCACATGCACTATGAGTGAGTGACTGAGTGAGTTTGGTTTTACGTCGCACTCAGCAATACTCCAGCTATACGGCGGCGGTCTGTAAATAATAGAGTCTGGACCAGACAATCCAGTGATCAACAACATGAGCATCGGTCTGCGCAATTGGGAACCGATGACATGTGTCAACCAAGTCAGCGAGCCTGACCACCCGATCCCGTTAGTCACCTCTTACGACAAGCATGGGTTACTGAATATCAATATTCTAACCCGGACCTTCACGGGTTCAAAAGCACAAAACGATCTTAGCGCTATGACCGTTTTAAGTATAGGTTAGCGCGTGGGAGTTACTATTAATTCATTTGGGCTCTTAATTGTACGTGGGGCGGTGGGGTAGCCTAGTTGTTAAAGCGTTCGCTCATCACGCCGAAATCCCGGGTTCAATTCCCCACATGTGAAGCCCATTTCTGGTATCCCACGCCGTGATATTGCTAGAATATTGCTAAAAGCTCACTCACTCACTGACTAATTATTCTGTAGATTTTGAGTGAGTGAGTTTAGTTTTACGCCGCTTTTAGCAATATTCCAGCAATATCACGACGGGGGACACCAGAATGGACTTCACACATTGTACCCATATGGGGAATCGAACCCGGGAACCCGAACGTTTTAACCATTAGGCTACCCCACCGCCCCTCTGTAGATTTTGAGGTTACTGGAAATTAGTATTGACCTTCCCGAGCCATTACTCTACTCAAGTCTTTGATTAATTAATTGCTGGTGAACTCAGCCTGAGATGTATTCGGAGGTGCTGAACTTGGAAGACTGATATCATCATAGCACAGATCCTCAACATCTCTCAATTGCCTCCTTTACATGGATGACCTTTAATTTTTTGCGCTCCACACTGAAAACAAAAACAGGTTTTCTGTCTTTCCTTTTCCAATTTGATGTTGGCATCTCCTTTGGGTGGTGGTGGTGGAATTGGGTTTAACGTCGTGCTTGAGAATATTTCGCTCATATGACGACGTGCATGCGTGTGTATGTGTATGTGCGGCTGCTTGTACTAGCCCAGACTGAAGCTGGTTTTATAGTGCTAGCCCACTGTGATACCATGCCGCAGTGAAGCATGAATACCCCACTCAGACACATTATACTGACTCCGAGCCGACCAGTCCTTGATGTACCCATTAATGCCGAGCGCCAGACAGGGACCAACAAGTACCATATTTTAACGTCTTTTGGTATGACGCGGTCGGGGATCGAACCCGCGACCTTCCGCTCTCCGGGCGGACGCTCTAACCACTACACCACGGAGGCGGTCATCTCCTTTGGGCTCGACAAATGCAACAACTGTTGCTCAGAGCTCAACGCACGCAATAAAGTAAAAAACTGCAAATGCATATTAATTCTTTCTAAATTTTGAATATATACTAACAATGAAAAGTTTAGGTGTAAATTGTAATAGGTGTATATTGAGATCATAAGAAGACGGCAGAACAGCATGTTTAATGTCTATGGCGTTGGCGTTACGGGGCACGTGTCAGTCAATGTGGGTCAATGTAAATAACTCAATAACGGGAATGGCCAACTAGAACAGCGAGAACAGAACTGGACCGCCAACACATGGAGTCTATCAAATAGGCATGAAAGGATTGTGGAATGGTTTGCCATATTTTCTGGAACTCTTTTGCCAAATCACGAACGTTATCTGTCGGATTCGGTACCCAGCGTAGACGTCCACCCATTTTATCCCCACATGCTCTACGAGGTAGCGATCCGATGAATGTGGTGTGTTGGGATGGAAATCTTTGAATGGTCTCACCATTGCTCACTGCAGTCTAGAAACCGTGCCGGAGATGGTCACTTGGACGTCCAGCATGTGGGCGATCGGCAACTTCATTCATGGTCTAATAAAGTCTCAAAAGTGCTGAAATGGTGTTTCGGTGGCACTCGTTTTCTGGCAAGTGCAAATATGAAACATAGATTGTACAGTGGGTTCAACACATTCCCCGATGATGCCTAGCGTTCGCACAAACACAGTATTCATGCAACATGGTGGCGTGGCTTGATCCCTTTAATATGTGTGCTACCTTCATGTAGTTTCCCCTCAGAGGTCCTTCATTGATACAACCATACAGGGCATCATGGGAACTGATATTATGAAAATCTCTGGAACAGGTTCGTATAGATCCCAAAACGCTTCAACGTCAACAAGCTTGATCTGGTTATGTTTATAAATCCAATGATGGAATTTGTATCCACTTATATGTAATAGTACCATTGGTAGGCGTAAAACATATGACCTTGACGTTTTACGTTTTTTAAGCACTTTAAAAGGGAGTCCTAATATATCTACCTACATTATCTATATTTACCATAACCTTGCAATTATCAGCAACAAAGGCCAAGCATACTCCACATGTTACGTAAATGACAGCACACTCACATGTATGGTTATCAGGAAGTGACCTATAATTCCAGTGTTTAAACCTGATGTCTATTTCACAATGCCCTCCAAGGCCAACAAACACAAGCGTACTTGTTCACGTGAATAACTAGTATGCTCACATCAGTTTTATCAACTCTTAGCGCAAAAGGACGCATATTACGTTGCGATGGTTTTTCGATACTCTCTATCTTAACGACTGCGTTAGTGGTTTTGTTGACTCAGATGCGCACGAATACACCCAATAAATATCACCCATCCCTTTATTACGACGACTGCGTCATTTACGTAGATTACTGCTTTGTGATGAAGCCCCAGAGCCGTTGCCATTATGTACTGTGTATGGCATTTAGTACTAATCCATCAATAAAAGGCTCCTTCACACTTATTTCGAATTGACAGGAATCTAGGAGAATCAGCCAGAACAAATATTTCAAAAATTCGAACCGCATTCGGGATAGGATGTCAAAATAAACACTTTTTCAAGTTTTGTAAGAATGCTTGTTGGAATACTTAGAACGCACTTGGAACCCGCCTCGATTGATTCTTACTCAGTCCGAATGTACTAGATCACGAATGCAGCTCGAATGAATCGGAACACAGTAGGAATAATTAGAATGCCGTTAGAACACACTTAGAATACTTAAAATGAATTGTGACTGCCGTACGAGTCCGGGTTGATTGCTCGAATGCTGTACGAATTTATATACCCATGTATATGTAGAATGCATTTGGAACCGTCTTGGAATGGCCCCCGAATATGGAACGAATGTTAAAGAATTAAAGCAGAATGCATTTCGAATATTTCAAATGTCCTTCAAATGCACTTAGAATGTAACACGAATATCCGAAAAGCATCAAAATGCTGCCGGAATGTTCCACGATGGGGTATAAAAACCTGTTGAATCTGGAGTATTCATCAGTCTCTGCCCAACTCCTATATGGACCATGTTGCGTTGCTCCAAATTGCTGTCCTCCAGCAAGACCTGATTGAAAGAGATGTGGAGGAGACCAGGAGAAGGAAAAGGAGAAGACCCAGGAGATTCCAAACCAGACAATGGCTGACAGAGGAAAGGAGGAGGTTGTATGGAAATTACACAACACTGATGGAGGAGCTCAGAGTTGAGGACACGCAGTCTTTTTTCAACTACCTTTGGATGGAGCCTGCCATGTTTCATGAGTTGGTGCAGAGAGTTGAACCAAGAATACAGAAGCAGGATACATATATGAGAACGCTACCTCCAGGCTTGAAGCTAGCCATCACATTGAGGTTCCTAGCTTCAGGTGATAGGTACCCCAGCATCATGTACAGCTTCCGCGTGGCAAGGAACACAATCGGGCTGATCAACTCAGAAGTATGTTAGGCCATTGTTGAGGAATATAAGGATGATATGATGTTATCATCTGGGCACCCATTGAAGTGGCATTCAGAAACAAACATAATGGCAAACATGTGGCCATTAAGAAACCTGCCAAGAGCGGCCCATTATACCACAACTACAAGTGTTTCTGGCAATTACAAGTTCCTGTGGGTGGACGTTGGTGCTTACGGAAGTATGTCTGATGCTCAGATCTTCAACGAGTGCGAGCTCAAGGATTGTCTAAGCATAGGATTTCCTGATCCGTTCCCCTTGCCCCAAGATGACGAGGGTATGCCATGCTTTATTCTGGGAGATGATGCCTTTGGAATAAGGACCTTCTTGATGAAACCGTATGGTCATGTGACTCTCCAGAGAGACGAGAGAATTTACAACAACAGGATCAGCAGAGGCCGACGGGTAGTGGAAAATGCATTTGGAATCATAGCCCAGAGATGACAAATCCTCCTCACCACCACGCTTCCAAGGCCGTTCGTAGTGAAGGACATCATTGAATGCTGTGTCTGCCTGTCTGTCACAACTTGATGAGGATTCGTTATCCTAATCTCCACAGTGGTATGGTGGATGAGGAAGCAGCACGACGTGGTGCCAGGAGGCTGGAGACAGCTTTCACAGCTTGTGGGCTTTCACAGGGTCTGTACGAGAACCCAGGGTGGGAAGAAGCAGCACAACGTGGTGCCAGGGGGGCTGGAGACAGCTTGCACAGCTTGAAGATGTGCAGCATGTTGCAGGGGGAAACAGAGACACTCTGGCCTGGCTGGGAAGAATCAGCGAGAGATCCTCAAGCGTTACTTCAACAACCCGGTTGTAGCCATGCCCTGGCAGAACAGGATGATTGATGGATTGACTTCAGGCTCAGTCAATGTGTCCATCTTGGGTGCAGGGGGAGAGACTATGGGTTGCAGAAAATCGGCGACTACGTCTATTTGGGAATCAGGTAGGGGTGGGTATTGCAGAGAATTTTCATATTGCGATATATTGCGATGCGGAAGCATATATTGCGATATGTATTGCAATATATTGCAAGGATTATTTTTTTAACAAAAACTACTTATAATCGAGTTAATGCTTGATTATAAAGCAAAAACACAACAAATTCACTATGATTGATTAACCTTTTATAAAAACTTTTAATCATGACAAAAACAAAATGTTAGTAAAATTTGGCACTAATGAAACAGGGAAAAGAACTATTCAAAAAACGGAAATATCCGAAGATTTCCGAGTGTTACGAAGCTTTCCGAATGCATGTCAAAATACCGGTTTTCGATCAGCGTATCGCAAAACGTATCGTTTTCATGGCTGAACCGGTAAATACCTGTAAACCGGTTATATTGCGCAGCCCTAGAATCAGGGTATGGGGCAACTGGCTTGTGAAACTCAGAAACTATCTACATTTGGGGAGCAGCTGGAGAGGCAACTGGCCGCTGAACCTCGAGCTCGACCACTCTGTCTATCTGCGCAGCATGAGGAGAGGTTACTGTCTGATGTACCTCAGCAGCTCTGTCCATCTGAGGAACATGGGGAGAATCTGTTGACTGGGAAGGTGCAAGGGTATCACGGTTAGTGGTTGATTTCTTTCCCTTCATTTCTTCTTTGGTGGCATGGTGTTATTTCTCTTTCACTAGAGACTCCCAAATGATATCTGAAGTTTCAGTGGCAGGTGGTTATGCTTTTATGCAATTCAGGCTCATTTGAATAACCTTCGGGACGTTCTGACTGTATTGGAGGTGTATTCGATGTACATTCGAGCTGTATTCCAAGTGCGGTCGAAATATTCCGATACGTTTGAAGAATATTCCACCTAAATTACAGCAGCAATCGAAGTACATTCGAGGCGCATTTGAGACATTCTTGCAGGATTTGAAGTTGCTTGCCTTTTCGATTCTCACTCGAATACGTTCAGAATACTTAGAATGCAGTTTGAATGCAGTAAGAATACTTAGAATGCAGGTAGAATGCACTTCAAATGCTGTTCGATATTTTTCCACTTCGAATGTACCTCGAAGGTTTTGAACATGTTCAAAACATTCGGGCATGTTACAAGAATTGACACGAATAGTTTGAGTGCATTCGGAATGGAGTAAGAAATTTTAGAATGCAGTTCGAATTTCCAGGAATTTTCATTCCGACAGCATTCCGACTCATTCCGCCACAAGTGTGAAGGGGGATTACGGCTGATGATATCGGATATGGGCTCCACACATAAAACCTTTTGGGAAATTTGAACCAGGACCTTTTGCGTAGCGAGCTACCGCTTAAACACTTGAGCCAGCCCCGACTTGCTTTGGGATGGAGTGAAAAATATTGACTTAAACACCATTTCTAGCATATATTTCGTCATTTGTGTTTTTAGTGAGTGGGTGAGTTGAACTTGTTTTCATCCTGCATGGAGCAGGGTTTCAGTTTGACTTTTTCGGGTAAAGACAACAAATTGTCCTTCAAATAAAGCTTTATTTATAGTCAAGTAAACTAATTAAGTAATGGAAGGCTCAAGTATTAAGTATTAAGAATTTTAACCACGTGGCGAAGGAACAAATGGTTAGATACAAAGCTGGTAAAAGGTTCAGTTGTATCATACAGGGCTGACATCTGATTCGCGCGTCTTGATTGGATAATCATGCTCACGCCACAAGCTCATGTTGGTCCGGAACTACTTTTTCATTCATTACACTCACTCAAATTCATCGATTCTCGCTCAAATGTGGTTAGAGGCCGATGACTGTCGAAGTGTTCATGAACATTTTTCTAAAAAATAAGACGATATTTAGGCGTATAACTTTAATCAAAAGATGACTGGACTTGCAGTTGTATCTGGAGAAATAGTCTGCGTCATCTGATTGTCTTATCTGTGCAACATAAAGAGTCCTTATGGATATAATACAGTTATTTGCGGCGGGCAGCAGAACGTGAGATAAGATTCAACATGTCGGCGTTCCGTAGGTTGCTCTCGGTACTTCTGATGGTACTTTTGACCAAAATTGAGGTGAGTGCTACGGAAATAAATACCTGCAGAAGCAAACCCCGCCTTCCTTACCACCCCTTACACAAACACCCACCCTTACCCAACCATCCATTTTGGGGCCTCCCAAACCTTATTGTATTTGTTTTTAGAACTGGGCGTGTTTTATACATTTAAGCAAATTAACACGGGTTCTTCAGGCTCATGCATGCTGATTCAGCAATAGGAGCTATTACGTAAATGATTCTTTGGGATATATTGGGAGTTACTGAACTGTTTAAAAATAAAGGAAACTTTGCTGGTCCGCGCTGCGAGTATAGATAAGCGTTGAACACAAACATTCTACGCAAGGACGTATATCTTTAAGCGTATGAACACAATACTTTGCGGGGCGGTGGGGCCTAAGGGTTAAAGCGTTGGTTCGTCACGCCGAAGGAGTTCGATTTGCCACATGGGTGAAGCCCATATCTGGTGTCCCCCGCCGTGATACTGCTGGAATATTGCTAAAAGCGGCGTAAATTTAAACTCACTCACTATACTTTGCAGGTGCCGACATAGCACCCGTATGTGATGGTGTCACTCCTGACTTTGACACTTTCAAGGGGCGGTGTGGTAGCCCAGTGGTTAAAGCGTTGGCTCGTCACGCCGAAGGTCCGAGTTCATTTATCAAACGGGTACAATGTGTGAAGCCCATTTCTGGTGTCTCCTGCCGTGATATTGGTGGAATATTGCCAAAATGGGCGTAAAACCCAACTCACTCACTTGACACTTTCAATGAAGGCCGATTAATATTTGTTTGACCAATATTCCAGTCAGTCTGCTTTAATCATTGATCATTATTTCTGAGTGTCGTTTTTAACAATATTCTGCGTGTCGTACAGTTGTACATTTGATCTAATTCATCGTTTGTGTGTGACTTAGTGACAGGGCTTCTGCAACGCGCGGAACGTCTACGGTTACTGGCATGCTGCAAACAGGCTGAAGTCATCGTGCAGTTCAACGTTTCACAGTTTGCCATTAGCAGACAGGCGCAAACCAACCCAAAATTATTGCGATGAACTGCGCCCAAAGTGAATGGCAAAAGTGCAAGATCAGAGCAGATTCGAGCAGATCATGTTACTGCAAACTCTCTTCAGGCTATTCTAGTTCTTGTCACTGGCCAGGTCATTAGAAGGCTATCCCCCTATAGCTACAGTTACCCCCTCACAATTATTATACACAAGAAAATTAACACTTGGCACCTACAACATAATAATTATGAGAAGGGTAATTTGTTTTAAGGTCTCTACCATTTCGATCGCCATTTTGTACTATGCATATGGCAATGACACATATGCTGTTTGAACATGGTCTTGGCGGTATTTCACCGGGGGCGGTGAATATGGGTAGCCTAATGGTTAAAGCGTTGGCTCAAAATATGTGAATCAAGGTCATGATGTTTCACATATGACAGACTTAAACTAAGTAATGATGTTTCACATGTTCCTCTTAAAGCTCTCATCATAGAGTCACATTATCCACATATCCACCGTCTCATTCCACCTCAAGTAACAAAACGAAAATCCCTTTTGGAATCATTACATAATACCAATAAAGTTCATCCATTCTTGTTTGTCTTATACTAAACTCTTCAAAAAATGAAAAGCACAGAAAAATACAGGAAATGTATTAAACGTATTTGAGTGTACATAATTCGATTAAGCTTGAACATAGATGACGGAATTTGACACACGGATGGACATATGTATTGTTGTCATTGTCAGCATTAATTAATTTCACTCACTGCACATGTGTGGACACAAGAGGACGTTCAGGTCAGCACCTGGTGACGCTACCCCTTGCAGCCATCACTGCTTGACACCGCCTTGAAAGGGATTGGACAAGTCGTTGGATTTCTGCATGGGGAATTCTTCGCCATTCCTCCTGGAACGCGTTGGCAAGTTCTGTAAGTGTCTGAGGACGATTGTGACGTTTACGGACGCGTCGATCATGTTCGTTCCCATAGATGCTCGATCGGGTTCGGATCAGGCAATTTGGAAGGCCAGGGAAGGACATTGACGTTTGCATTGGCGAGATAGGCACCTGTTACACGAGCTGTGTGGGGTCGAGCGTTGTCGTGTTGAAACAGCTTCCTATGACAGTTAAAAAGTGGGAGGAGGTGAGGTGGATTTGGTCGATGTAGTGATCAGCTGTAAGATTGCCTTGAACCTGCTTTGCTCTACCTGTGTAGGACATTACTCACAACACCATGACGCTACCTCCACCAAATCTGTCCATCGTGTCGACGCCGACAGACACGTTGTCTCCCATCCTGCCGTTGCAGGAGGAAACGCGATTCAACCCTGATCCAAACGCATCGCTAGTTTCCCAGGTTCCATACCTCTATCCTGTTGCACCATTGAACACATTATGAAGACACGTCCAATTTTTGGCCGTTATGCTCGAATTCCCACTTCTCTCAGACGATTCCAGATGGTTTGGTTGGAAATTCTTCGAAGACCAGGCACCTGTTCTGCAGTGGCCGTTGCTGTAGCACCCGGATGAATCGGTCCCGAGCAGGAGTAATAAGTCTTGGGGTTCCACTTCTGGGACGATCTTGGGTCGAACTGAAGCGGGTGTATCGATGCCATAATCGAGATATGGTGCTGTGCTGGCTTTACTTGATGCAGTCATGTCTTATTGCCGCTCAATAACAGGTATAATCCATTCTGAATATAAACCATCCAAAATTGATAATAATATTCTTAAGTACCAATAATTTCCAGATAAATGAATGAATGAATCAATCAATGAATCAATCAATCAATCAATCAATCAATCAATCAATCAATCAATCAATCAATCAATCAATCAATACCCCCCAGCAAATCAGTGATGACTTCTTTCCATTGTAACAAAGAGAACAAAGGTCCATGTGAGGATGATGTTTCAGCTGACGGAGGGTGGGGGAGACCTGCAGATGTTTTTCAACTCTTACTACAACCGCCTCGGCGACAGCAGCTGTGGCCTCCAACAGTGTACTCCTTCCGTCAAAGTCTGTTACCAACATGATAACAGTCAGTGGTACGTGATGCAGGTGTTGTTGTTTAACGTCGCATATTCCAGTTGTATGCTGGACCTGCAAATTGTTAAAAGGAAATATACGAGTTAATGGTATTTTAAAATCTCTGAAACATGTTCACTTAAATAATGTATGCATACTTAATCATACTTTCACCATGTGTGTAGTAGGGGCCTTTGAGTGAGTGAGTGAGTGAGTGAGTTTATTTTAACACCGCACTCAGCAATATTCCAGCTATATGGCAGCGGTCTGTAAATAATCGAGTCTGGACCAGACAATCCAGTGATCAACAGCATGAGCATCAATCTGCGCATTCCGGAACCGATGCCATGTGTCAACCAAGTCAGCGAGCCTGACCACCCGATCCTCTTAGTCGCCTCTTATGACAAGCATGGGTTACTGAAGGTCAATATTCTAACCCGGACCTTCACGGGTATGGGCCTATGAAGAATACAATATAATTTTTTGCTGATTTTGTTCACCAGCTCGCCTGTACAAATCTCCCGGCACTCCACAGACAGACACACAAACATAAACATAGCCTCACACAGGTAGACAGACGCACACAAACATACACACGTACATTGCCCAAACGCACGCACACATACACACGTACATTGCACAGACGCACACACACACACACACACATGTAGTCACACATTCACTAACACACAGACACAGACACATTACATCACAATATAATGGTGTTAGTTATCTGCAGGTGCAGACCAATGACGTCTTCCTCACCTACGACAGCGTCGGCACGACCCACCTCGACGCCGCTACCCGTAACGGATCACTACAACATCTCGAGTCATTTCGGAGGCATACCTAATCCATTGACTCTACCAAGAAATGACTGGGTAACTATTTACCATATTATCTCCTCTTCAATTCATGTCTGATAGCAGTTAGAAATAACAATATATTAGATAAATATTGTCAAGCTGTTTTACGAATTGTCAACAAGTGGGATTCTTTATTCAGTATTCAGCTCAGTGACGTTCACTGTGTCGAGCGTCGTCAAAGGGTGGTTCGTACAGAGCGAATGCCTCACTCAACCCTTATTTGAATATTTGTGGAGCGAGCACCGACATACGCGCAGATTGCGAGTCTGCCCTTCGCCTCCTAACCGCTGCACAAACAGCAACGCATGCGCAGGCACCCAAGGGCAGGTAAATCACATCGGCGGGAGTTATCTCCCATGCCAGGACTATCAAAAGTGCTGACACGCCGACACACTTTGGTTAGAGTCGGCTACATTTTCCATATGAACGTATCAGGCGGATGGTGACAGTGTCCAATGGGTACAGTACAGAGATTGTATAACTGCCATTATTTCTTTTATGCAGTCATCTGAAAATATCACCATTTCCATCGAGGACCACTTCGGCAGGCATATTTTGGCCCACTTCGGCGTGAACGCCTGGTCTCTCCTTCCCGACAAAACCTACAATCGAAATTTAACCAACGGAACATTCATGTGAGATTAACGATGATTATGATGATGATAATGATGATAATGATGATGAAAATTATGAAAATGCTGCTGCTGCTGCTGCTGCTGCTGCTGAACATACACTTGCCATTTTTTATATTTGAATAGAAACTACGGCTTTTGTAAGTACTCCAAACGCCAAAAAAGTTTTGAGGTCTTCGTTGTTGTGCAGTTGTCACATTGAACATGAAGTTGTGTATGTGGTTCAGCAACCCCAGCTTTATCAAAGAGTATTTCTAGGGTCAACCCCGAAAATATCCCTTTCTTAAAGACTAATTCAGAGACAGAGCGGCCGTGGTGTTGAAATCAGAGAAATCAAATCAGTATCAAAACCGTATTTGAAAAAATAAACTCATGGTCGCTGTTAGCTTCCGCAACTCTGCACATCAAACTAAGATCTAAGATCTAAGATCTAAGGTCAGATCTAGAAGCCATCTGATCCCGCCAGATTGATGAAAGAACTATTTTCCGCTAGATTTAACAGGGTAATAATTGATTTACAAACAAGAATTCATATAAACATGAGCATTAATTAAGCAGCACCGGAATCTTGGTCCAAATAGGCCATCATACTTTAGCGCACTAGAATACACATAGAGAGCACGTGCTTCTCAAAATACCTCAGTGGCTATGGGTGGCATGATCACTTGCTGCTAGAGCTAAACAAGTGTATAAAATGCATAATTTGCAGTATGCGCTACAGTTTTTTGAACTGATATGAAAGCTGACATTCCTTGATATAGCAAGACAGAAACTTTCAGAAAAAGCACAATATCAAGTTATTGGCACGCAAGACGCAGGGATGTCCTGTCGTCGACGTTAACTTCAACATTAACCACACGGTTATTAGACCACTTGTCAGAAACTGTGGAGTAAAGGATCGTCCAAGACCTGGAAGACCGATGAAGACCGATGGCCGTGATGCACTGACAGTGGAGTGTGGGAGTCAGACTCTCCACGAGTACCATCAGAAGGAGGCTGCGGGCTGACGTCTTCGGGAACATCGTCCATCAGAACGCAACTCTTTTAACCGATAGGCACAGACAAGAACGTCTGGCGTGGTGCAAGCGCCGAGAAAACGCAACACGAGGACATTGGCCTGATGAAAGTCACAATCTTCACACGTCACCGACGGTTGCTGTCGTAAAGGAGACGCCGTGACGAGTCATATCGCCAGATGGTCAATACAGCTGAACCTTTTGGTGGTGGCTCAGTGATGGTGTGAAGCTGCGTTTCGATGCTGATATTCCGAGGCTTGATTGCCAGAATAAGTTGGAGACTGGCAGATAGGGTGGCTGCACCTGGTACTGAGGTCGTCGCCATGGGTGGTTCATAAAATTCGCAACAATCGTTATGTGAGAACCGTGTGACATTCAGATTTGTGACGTAGTCATGGTGACCATACTTTCCGGCATTGATATTTACATTTTTGTTTGTATTCCTCTCAGACTGGAAGTAATTGTTACCAAATTTGAATTTCAGGTTCAGAGCCAAATATTTTGCACTTACCATTTAATACACAGAATTTGGTTTTCAAAGCATATACAAGTCGTATTTTCGTACTTATCATATAACAAAAGTGGGCTGTGCTTGATTATTGCTCATAGCATACATGTATTTCTGTAATAGACAGTTATATATTGCTATATGTTTCTTGGGATGATATGTTTTGACATATGTTTCAGTAATCTGCAAATGAGCCTTAGACTAAGTTGCCATGCTGGTTACTATGGGCGTGGTTGCGCTGCTCACTGTCGATCAACTGGGCGAGACGATGATCTCCACTGCAGCGTCAGTGGCTCTGTACTGAAAGACTGCAGCAAAGGTCATTTTAAAATACTCCTCAGGGGAAATTGGTGTCAGTTACGATATCTGAAGTTGGCAACTAGGAGTGTGACAGACCACGGGTAGAGCGCACGGGTGCTGCGGTTGTCTGATGTCTGTGTAGAGTGAGTGAGTGAGTGAGTGAGTTTGGTTTTACGCCACCTTTTGCAATATTCCAGCAATATCACGGCGGGGGACACCACAAATGGGATTCACACATTGTGCCCATGTGGGGAATGGAACCGGGGCTCTGTGTAGAGTAACTAAGAGTGAAGAGTAGCTTATTCAAGCCGTATTTATGGATGTCATTAATTGGTCGGCCGGATGGGTGGATGAATGAATGATGTATAGATGGATGCATTGACGGATGGATGATGGATGGATGGATGGATGGATGGATGATGGGGGATGTGTGTGTGTTTGTATGTGTGTGTGTGTATGTATGTATGTATGTATATGTACATGTACACATGTACAAATGTATGTATGTATGTATGTATGTATGTATGGATGGATGGATGTATGTATGTATGTATGTATGGATGGATGGATGGATGGATAATGGGTGTATGAATGTATGGATGATGGGTGGGTGGATGTATGGATGGATGTATGTTGGGTTGGTTGGGTGGTTGGTTAATTGGTTGGGTGGATGAGTGAGCCCATTGCCGTCTAATCCCTGCAATTTGTTCCTCTTATTAAGCTGAGAACACCTGTGATTCAGTCGTCCACAGCAATTCATTATCCAGAGTTGCGTACCTAAGGAGTGTCTGATTTCGTTTAGTTTTGTTGGTGAGTAAGCACCATCGTTAATTTCAGCAAGATGGTAAAGGTCTAACAGCAGTTTCTCTTCACATGCCCTGATAGAGTAGTCAAAGCGACTCAGATACACACTTACTCCCACACTGTAAGGAAACATGGGCCCACGATATGTATGCCTCCTGCTTAAAATATTCCTGCAAAAAAACGGAATACGGAATATGCCGTATCTAAAATCAGATTTTGTTTTCACAGATTGTTTCACTGCTCTGGACCTATGTGACTCGGGCGTGTGTGAGAGCGGATCCCGCTGCTCTACGTCATATAGCTCTACAGGGGCGAGGGTTCGGTGCACCTGTGACGCAGGAAGGTATGGTTCCAGGTGCCAATACTCAACAACGTCATCACCCTGCGTCTACGGCAAACAGTGTCCCAACAGAACGTGCTCAAGTAACCCTTGTGGCAATCATGGAACGTGTGAACTATCGAGTTCCTCCCCCGGGTACAAATGCACGTGTGAATTTGGACACAATGGGTTCAACTGTGAAATCAACAGCTGTGTCTATATTCAGTGTAAGAACAACGGTACATGTATACCTCAGGGCTATAACTACATCTGTTCGTGTCCAAATGGCTTCTATGGTAGGCAGTGCGAAAACAGAACCTGTTCAAGGGACCTTTGCAGCAATCATGGAGCGTGTCAACCATCGAGCTCCCATCCCGGTTACACCTGCACGTGTGATTATGGCTACAATGGGTTAAATTGTGAAATCAACAGCTGCGTCTACGTTCAGTGTAAAAACAACGGTACCTGTACACCGCAGGGCTATGACTACCACTGTTCGTGTCCAGATGGTTTCTCTGGTAGACAGTGCGAACACAAAACCTGCTCTCGCAACTTTTGTGGTAATCATGGAACATGCCAACCGTCAAGTTCCTCCCCCGGATACACATGCACGTGTGATTATGGCTACAATGGATTGAATTGCGAATTCAATACCTTCGTCTCTGGCAAACAGAGCCCCAACAGAACGTGCTCAAGTAACCCTTGTGGCAATCATGGAACGTGTGAACCATCGAGTTCCTCCCGGGTACAAATGCACGTGTGATTTTGGACACAATGGGTTCAACTGTGAAATCAACAGCTGTGTCTATGTTCAGTGTAAGAACAACGGTACATGTATACCTCAGGGCTATAACTACATCTGTTCGTGTCCAAATGGCTTCTATGGTAGACAGTGCGAAAACAGAACCTGCTCAAGTAACCTTTGCGGTAATCATGGAACATGCCATCCATCGAGTTCCTCCCCCGGTTACACCTGCACGTGTGATTATGGCTACAATGGGTTAAATTGTGAGATCAACAGCTGCGTCTACGTTCAGTGTAAAAACAACGGTACCTGTACACCGCAGGGCTATGACTACCACTGTTCGTGTCCAGATGGTTTCTCTGGTAGACAGTGCGAAAGCAAAACCTGCGCTCGCAACCTTTGTGGTAATCATGGCACGTGTCAACCATCGAACTCCAATCCCGGGTACACATGCACGTGTGATTATGGCTACCATGGGTTAAACTGCGAATTCAGTAGCCGCGTCTCTCGCAAACAGAGCCCCAACAGAACGTGCTCGAGTAACCCTTGTGGCAATCATGGAACGTGTGAACCATCGAATTCCTCCCCAGGGTACAAATGCACGTGTGAATATGGACACAATGGGTTCAGCTGTGACATCAACAGCTGTATCTATGTTCAGTGTGAGAACAACGGTACATGTACACCACATAGCTATAGCTACATCTGTTCGTGTCCAGATGGCTTCTATGGTAGGCAGTGCGAAAACAGAACCTGTAGTGGGCCGGACTGTAAAGTGGATAGCTGCACACATGTTAACTGTATTAACGGTGGAACGTGCGTGCCCCAAGGGCAGGATTACTACTGTATCTGTCCTAGTGGTTATGGAGGCAGAAACTGCCAAAACCACGCTTGCTACTATAAGCACTGCATGCATGGAGGCCAATGCAGAGTGATTGGCAATAGCACAGGGTGTCAATGTCCGTCGTTTTATACTGGACACCTCTGTCAGGACAACCCATGCTCCGGCTTCAACTGCAGCAACAACGGAACGTGCAACATCGATGCCAACGGAAATGCATCCTGCACCTGCTCTTCGGAATTCACAGGTAACGTTGTGGAGCTTATTTAGTCGTTAGATCCTGTACAGAAATGTATTGAGTGAATGCTGCAGTCAGAAATGCAAAATTGCGGGCAGTAAATACTCTTATTACCTACGAGGGCTAAAATATTGGGGTTCATATTTTTCATACGATTCCTTAGGGCAAAATATCACTTTGTCATGGTGACGTGACGACATGAACAATGCTATGACGTCACGTTTCTTCTATGACGTGCTACATGCAGCGACGGCAGGTATCCAGTCTGTGTTTGAAACTCGTACCCGAAACACGACACTCGTGCCTAAATATCGGTATATCCCTCGTTCTCGCTCGGGAAATACCAACATTTAGGCACTAGTGTCGTAAACATTGTATGGCATGGGCACTCATATAATATCCTCTATAAATCTTGGCAGATAAACGTACCATTACAGAACCCAAAAGGGTCACTGACCACGCTTTCTCAAAAGCACTCTGCCACTCCAATCAACGTGAGTCGAGTGAAAGATTCCTCATTACATATTATGCTCTTGTGTCCTGCGACGGCTATATATGTGTGATCTTATTTGTGGGACGGATGGATTTGGTTAATAATTACGCATGATTAAAATATATTGGGGCATTTGATGACCAACTTGCCAGTTACAAGCCATCAATAACCGTGCCGATTTTCTCAGGACCACGATGTGAAACACGCATCCCGAATGTGGATGCTTGCAGCAGCAGCCCATGCAGCAATGGGGGCACCTGCGTCGTCAAGGGCAACGGGTACGAATGCAACTGTGTCGGAGGGCACACTGGACAGAGCTGCGACGATAATGGGAAGGGTGAGTTGAAGAGGACGTGACCTTATCTAAGTATAAGGAAACTCAGAGGTAGTTTGAAATGAATTGTTTGACAGATTATTTAAACGAGGTTGTTATTTGTTTCGTAATATATTGCAACGTTGCGGAGTCCGTTTCATATGAGTGATTTTATTATATATAAGCAGTGTATGAAATAAGCCAAAAACCCAGCCAGACATCTGGGCTGGTAACTTCAAAAACTTACCAGCCGAGAAGAGATTTAACCAGTCCTTCTTAAAATACTAAATACACACTGCCAGTGCACACGTTATAGAAATATATTTTTCACCCGTCCATCGGGCTGGCTAGCTGTAAAATTAGACCGTCCGGCAGAAATCTAGCCCGTCTCGGGCGGTCGGACGGGCCTTATTTCATACACTGATATAAGTAACTGTTTGTAGAACAGTTCTTGGTCGCTTTCCTCATTCAGAGTGTAGTCAGAGAGTAGGCGTGGCTTGAAGTGTCTGAAATGTGCGGGACGGTCCGAGGAGTGCGTGAGGAAGTGAGTGCGTGCGGGTGAAGGCGTGTGCTTCCACGAGTGTGGATTTGTGAGTCTCTGTGTGTGAGCATGTGCGTGCGTGTGTATGTGTGTGTGATTGGACGAAGGCTATTATGTTCTTTACTGATGACTGACGGGATCAAATGTGTTTGGAGTGAATGATCATAATAAAGCAGAATTGTATTATAGTTATCATAATCACAACGTTGACGATGCTTTTCAGCTTGTCCGACAAAAGCACCAATCTCGCACTGCGTGAAGGAAACAAGTACTGCCTGTCTCAACCGCCACTGTGAAGTGTGTGAACCAGGCTTCTTCAGACTGGGCTCAGGCTGTGGCGGTCAGTATTGAACTAGTCTCATCATATAGATACCCATCCGCCAAACCCTTTCTGCAAACTCCCTCAATGAAGCATGCCTAGATTTTCCTCCGGTTCTGAACCTCCCATAGCACTGGTGCTTCATTTCGATTCCTTATATCAACATATACTACCCATCAAACGTTTAAACAGCTGACTGAAGTAAGGGGCTACATTTACACTAGTAGTGTAAATGTAGCTACTTACTTCAGTCAGCTGTTCTGAACTAATCTTTGCAAATTATCCCATACTGTTTACGGTACTGTTGACACATGAATTGATGTATTGGAATACAAATCCGTAACGTTGAAAAGATTATTGTTATGAGTTCAATAAATGATAAAACTCAGTGAAAATTGGCGAATTCTTAACAACACTTCACACCAAAACGCAGCAGTTCACTTGTACGATATTTACACATGCTTCTCAGCAATTTGATGCATGATCCTCGTGCAATTCATCTGCATAAGGTTTACAGTTGGTTCCCCCAAATAATTGGAGAAATTCATCTTCAATGTAACCATATATATATGTATAACTTATAGTGAGCGCTTTAAGTGAGTTTTAACTTCTGATGGGTAGTATATATTCAGAGCCTTTTCGTTGGTCTGTTATTGAATTAACCACATTATATATTTTAATTACTTTATTTCAGTACAAGAAAGACAGAGACAACAGCTTTTTTAAAACTGCCCAATCCAGCCTACCTGTTGATCACCTCTCTATCATACTTGTCCGCTTCAGGCTACCTGTTTATGTCTTTTCTTTTCTCTTCATCCGTCCACTTTCGACAATCACAACTTCAGATTTAAAGTGAATCTCTTTTCCTTTCCAAGGGACCGTTCTTTCTTTTGGCTAGTGCAGGAAAAGAGATGAAGATGATTTTTATGGAGGGGCATGTACAATATATGCACAAAGTAAGTGCCCCCCTTGCATGTCGTGTACAAAATCAATGTGGATCAAACTGAAGACTTCGTACACTACTTCCGATTGTTCTAAGGGTGTATTGGCGTACAAATCCTCAGCACAGTGTCACTCGTGCCTTCCAATCAAAACATCCCATCCCACAACCCCCCATTCCACCCCCAAATAAAAATATGACACTGTCTTGCTTACTTTAAATATTTTCCTCATTGTGTACTAGGGGTTTGGGAGAGGGAGATTTATTACTTACATAATGAAGCTGTAGCTGTTCGTTTAGCTGAAGATGCAGTTGGTGAAATGACATATCATTGCAGAGTGTCCATCTAGGGAGACTATTCCCGACTGTCTGGAGGTAGGCAAAGACAGCTGTTTCAGCAGATGGTGTGAGAAGTGTGCCAGTGGTTACTTCCTGAAAGAGGCTGTCTGTGACGGTGGGTGACCTCCAACCATATCGATCTCCCAAAACACTAATAAAGGACAACAATATTATGTATTTTGAGCAAAAGTAAATATTCTGGCCCACTGGCGAAGTAGTATAAATTTTCGAGTTTTCGAAAAAACAATTTGGGTAAAATCCTGTCAGAATGTGGCCACAATGCTGAGAGTGTTTGGACTTTTGGGTTTCCAAAATCAAATTGTGACGTGTTATAATGTGTATCCTTCCTTAGTGCCCCCAACTTCTTAAAACCTTCCTCCAACACTGTTGCGCAATCAATGCACTACTAATGCCACTACTACTGCTGCTGCTGCTGTTGCTACTACTACTACCACCCTTTTTTGGTCCCTACCCGTGAAGGTCCGGGTGATCTTCAGTAACCCATGCTTGTCATAAGAGGCGACTAACGGGACCGGGTGGCCAGGCTCACTGACCTGGTTGACACATGTCATCGGTTTCCAGTTGCGCAGATCGATGCTCACGCTGTTGATCACTGGATTGTCTGGTCCAGACTCGATTATTTACAGCCCGCCGTCATATACCTGGAATATTGCTGAGTGCGACGTAAAAATAAACTCACTCACTTTGTTGGTCCCATACAGTTTGCCCGAACAACTACATAGGCTGTGAGAAGGTGGTTTGCAACGACACCAACGACTCTCGTTGTGTGCTCTGTCACCATAGCTACCAGCTGAAGAACGGCCTCTGCAGTAAGTCACCCCTAATTGTGTACCTCAATCGTACCGTTTCGAATATTCAGTTCTATTCTATGGATCAGTTGCATATCTAACTGTGTTCAACATAGATTATCATTAATATATCTCAAACAATATATTTACTGTGCAAATCTTTAACAACATTGTTATCTACTCAAAAAATCTAAACATCATTCTATCCCCGGCTATCAAACCAACCACATTCCGGATTCGAACACGAATCTTTCATTCCGAGACTGATATTCTGGGAGTCTCCATTTGATATTCGGGGAGTCTCTTAAAAAAAACCGTACATATTTGTCCCTTAATGAATAGCCAAGCATTTCGGGGGCCCCACATCTCATTATAGCCAGTGAATGGTAGTTTGGGTAAAACCTAAAGCACAGGGGCGTGTCACGCTTAGAAACAGCGTTAGGAAGACGTATAAGTATATAGACCCTACCCTAGTACTTTTTTATATACCTATATGTCTTTCTGACGCTGTTTCTAAGCGTGACACGCCCCTGTGACCTAAAGGACATTGTTTTCAACCCAACCGCAAATCCATTATGCTATCATAAATTGATGTTCGTGGTCGGGTATGCTATTTACAGGCTGCCGCGAAATAGCTAGACGTCTAAGGACTGTGCCGTAAAAAAAACAACACTTGTTCATCACCACCACCACCACATCATCATCATCATCATCATCATCATCATCATCATCATCATCATCACAGCCATATATATACTCCGTCAAAAAAGAAACGCAACCCCTGTCCTCAGATATGAAAAATTCGTTTGAATGAAGTTATTGCTTCAAACTAAATTTTATTCATTACCATCCAAACAACTGCATACGCATAAGTGTATTTTATTGCTTATTCCGTCACCCTCATGGTGACTTCGCACAAAAAAAACACATCATCATGAAAATGGCAGTTAATGTAGGGGTGTATAAAAGCCCATGTGGTTCCGTCAACGATATCCCGACTTTGGAGCCGCTACAACAACTTCAATTTGACCAACGATCGCCCGAGAAGTGGAAGGCCAAGAATCACGACCCCCTTCAAGATCGGTACATCCGGGTCCATCACCTGCGTAATCGGCATGCCCTACCAACCGTGACTGCCACACAAATACCAGGTTTGAGGAGAGTGTCAGCTCAAACGATTAGGAACCGTCTGAAAGAAGCGGGTTTACGTGCCTGTAGACCAGTTGTTGGACCTGTACTACGCCCCTACATCGACGCCGACGACTCAGGTGGTGCAACAACGTAAGGATACGGACTTTACAAAACTGGAGGCGAATCTGGTTTCTGATGAATCACGTTTTCTTTTGCAACGTCACGACGGAAGACAGCGTCTGTATAGGAGACGTCATAAACGTTTTGCGCCCATCTGCGTCCGACAGGTGGACAGATTTGGCGGAGAAAGCGTCATGGTTTGGGGAACCATCTCATACAACCAGAAATCAGACTTGGTGATCGTTCCAGGTAACCTGACAGCCCAACGTTACATCAACCACGTGTTAGAGCTTCACCTTCTCCCGATTATTGCCCAACAGACACAGATTTTTCAACGGGACAACGCCCGGCCTCATACTGCACGTGCAACAATGAACTTTCTGCAGAATTCCAACGTCAATGTCTTGCCATGACCCTCTAAATCACCAGACCTCAACCCTATTGAACACCTGTGGGATACTCTGGATCGACGCGTACGTCAACGTCAGCCGCCGCCACAGACGCTGCAACAGCTCGCCGTTGCACTGCAGGAGGAGTGGAGAGCCATTCCCCAGGAAAGAATCCGGCGTCTTATCCGTTCTTGTCCAAGGAGATGCCGTGCAGTGATTGCAGCGCGTGGTGCTCATACGAGATACTGAGAAAGACGCCCCCTGGTGACAAACTGGTGTCTGTGAGATGACTTTTGAAATGACAATTTTAAACATGCCCATCTGGGTTATTATTCTGCCAAATTTCAGACTTCTGTCTTAAATATAAAATGGCCTGCGTTCGATTCATCATCATCATCTAAAATACAGCCACATAGTATATATATATGGCTCCGTCGGGGAAAACTTTGTGGTTAACCAATGGCCTGCGTTCGATTCCCCAAATGGGTACAATGTCAGAAGCCCATTTTCGGTGTGATATTGCTGGGATATTGTTATTTTTAATTAAGAGCGGCGTAAAACTCAACTCACTCACTCAAATCCTACGTTGTAAATATCCCGAACCATGCACGTATTTTCTTCTTTTAGAGCCTACATTCAAAACGCTGCCGAGCAGCAACGCCCAGTGCCCGGACTTCACCCGGTACAACTGCAGCTACATGGACTCCACTGAACGTCTGTGCGACGAGCCCAGCAGGGCCTGTAGCTTCTGTCCAAGATATTGTGGACTCTGCGACAGCTGTAAAAGTCGACGTTTCGGGCTTATCATTGGATAGAAAAAATAGCTTGGTCCAAACGTAATAAACACACTTCCACCTTCTGTACCCGGATGTAAAGGACCTCGGATATCGTAAAATTCTACACCCCAGTCTCTCCCCGCATGTGTTGCTTTCAACTTTCAACAGTATTCTGGTTATCTGCTTGGATGTCAGCTGTACAGGGTGGGCTCCCACTAGTAACATATGGCACAACTGCTTCGAAATATAAAATTTAGCTGAATTTTGAATGTAACAGGTTTTGCAGCAATAGAATTCAGAATCGGAGATGATGATTAAGATGCATTTCAGCTTGTAATTGTAACGATGAATGTGTACACATGTGATATCATGTAATTAAGCATTTAGGTGTTTACGAACATGTGTCCACACGTGTCGGATATCATTAATCAGTCGGGTTATCATTGGAAGGTGATCATAAAGATGTATCATAAAGCTGCTTTGTTATGTATACCTGTCTTGACACGGATCAAGTCGGTAGTTGGATATGTCCGCCTCCTTGCTTTGTTCTCTGAAATGTTGTAACGTGGATATTTGTGAAATCACTTTTCCCTGTGTGTGCTTGAACGTTGATATTAAAGGGTCCAAATGATCAGGAACAAAGCTTCTGTATTTATTCGGGGCGGTGGGATAGCCTACTGGTTCAAGCGTTCGCTCGTCACGTCGATTATTTATTCGATTCCCAACATGGGTACAAAGTGTGAAGCCCATTTCTGGTTTCCCCGCCGTGATATTGCTGGAACATTGCTAAAAGCGGCTAAAAACACAATTCACTCACTATTTATTCGTGACGGTTATCGGGCAGTGGGCTAGCCCAGTTGCTAAATTGTTCGCTCGTCAAGTCCAAGACTCGAGTTTGATTCCCAACATGTTTTTTTGTGTGATGCCCATTTCCGTGACCCCGTTGAGACATTGCTGGAATATTTCTAAAGCGATGTATAGCCACCTTAATCTATTTGTAGAGGCACATATGTGTTTTGTTCGAGATCTACTGTTGATACCGTGCGCGTTCGCTTCAAAACGTAAATTTCACGAGGCACAGTAATTCATTTGCGAAGAAAATTATTCTTTCTTTTCGAAATAAAAAATCAGAAGAATACCAGGTGTTAGGTCCCTTATAAACTATATATACTCAGATGGGTCCAGTAAAACATCTGAACATGGATCTTGGTGTGCCAGCTATGTCGCCCAATACACATATCCCGTCAGCAATCACAGGAGTGAGTGAGTGAGTAAGTTAAGTTTTACGATGCACTCAGCAGTATTCCAGCTATATGGCGGCGATCTGTAAATAATCAAGTCTGGACCAGACAATCCAGGGATCAACAGCATGAACACCGATCTACGCAATTGGGAACCGATGACATGTGTCAACCAAGCCAGCGGTCCTGACCGTCAGTCGCCTCTTACGACAAGCATGGATTACTGAAAATGAATTCTAACCCGGATCTTCACGGGTACACAGGAGTGGAAGTGGTTACAAGACAATACTAACCAGAGATACAGCAGTTTCAATGGGAATAGCTCGTTGGTCAGAATAAAAATCTCACGTCCTCAAGTCCTTTCTTTTGCGCCAGATAACTAAGCATCTTCGAATCTGATATGATTGCAGCATATATATTCAAGTTTTCTTCACGGGCAAAATAATACATTCAGTTTCCAATCATCACAGTGGACGTTGACCCGTGGAAATCCGGGTTAGATTTAACCATGCTTGTCGTTTGAGGCGACTAACGGGATTGGATGGTCAGGCTCGTTGACTTGGTTGACATGCGTCATCGTATCCCAGTTGCGTATGATGTCGATCATTGGATTATTTACAGAGCCTACAGCTGTCACATTGCTGTGCGCTGCTTTAAACAACAAACAAACACACTGGTCATTACTGAGTACCGTGAAATTGTGACCACTTGTCCCTTGAGATGTCCTGCGGCCATTATTCATTTGAGACACTCATTGATATCATTGATATCGTTGATATCGTTGATATGATGTGGGGCAGTGGGGTAGCCTAGTGGATAAAGCGTTCACTCGTCACACCGAAGGCCTGGATTCGATCCCCTACATGGGTTCAATGTGTGAAGCCCATTTCTCGTGTTCCCCGTCGTGATTTTGTGGAATATTGCTAAAAGTGGCGTGGAAATACACTAATTCACTCACTCACTTATATCATGTATTTGCAGCTGCCATGACACTAACAAAGGGTTATATTTTCTTTTCACCCGGATGTTTGACCCGTTAAGGTCCTGATTAGAATGGATCTTCAGTAACCCATGCTTGTCGTAAGTGGCGACTAACGGGATCGGGTGGTCAAGCTCGCTGGCTTGGTTGACACATGTCATCGGTTCCCAATTGCACAGATCGATGCTCATGCTGTTGATCACTGGATTGTCTGGTCCAGACTCGATTATTTACAGACCGCCTCAGTATAGCTGGAATATTACTGAGTGCGGCGTAAACTCACTCTCCCGGATGTTTCTCCGATGCTATGAACCAATTCGTTGGTATCACGATTCTGTTGAAACCAAGTTGGGTTATGCATTTAAAGGCTAGCGCAATAACGTTTCTTTTCTTGATATGATAATTCTGACGCAAATACCCTATTAACAATTCCAAAACGTTTCAAAAACTGGTAAATAGCCCAATAGACTCTGGGACTGTGTTGTGACCTAGTGGTTAAATATTTGCACGTCATCTCGAAGACCCGTGTTCGATTCCCCACATCGGTACAATGTGTGAAGCCCTTTTCTGGTGTCCCCCACCGTGATATTGCTGGAATATTGCTAAAAGTGGCCTAAAACTAACCTCACTCACTCACTCACCCAACAGACAACGACAATTCAACACAGCACGAAATGTGACGGTGGTGTATTATTACACGGGTGTTAGTGATGACGTCAACATCCGGGTACTCTGAAGGGGAAGTCACAGGTCCCGGAGTTCTCGTTGAACGCCTCGCTTGGCGGACAGTTCCTCAGGAAGCCAATATGGGCGTTGCATTGATAGAACTTGGAACAGTCGCTGGGATCACGGTAAAGGCCGTTAGCGCGACCTCGACAGAAGGCGTCCAAGTAGGTCGCTGAAGATCAGAGGTTAGAGAGGGTTACAGTATAAGTCTCATGTAGTTTCAAATTGTTTATAAGACGATATTCATTTCGTTAGGATAATACATTATTAGATGAGGTTAAAAGGAGGTTAGCATTGAGTGAGTGAGTTTAGTTTTACCACGCTTTTGGCAATATTCCAGCAATATCGCGCCGGGGGACACCAGAAATGGGATTCACACAATGTACTCATGTGGGGAATCGAACCTGGGTCTTCGGCGTTACGAGCGAACGCTTGAACCACTAGGCTACCCCATCGCCCCCGTTAGTATTGCATTCATGATTAGTTAATTATTTATGTAGCCTATGCCAGTTTGCAGTGGTATCTCTGGGACATCTGTTCTTGCGCGAATACTTCCGTCACACACAGAGGACTGATTCCGAGCGAACCAAGGTCACGAATGAGCGAGTGAGTTTAGTTTTACGCCGCTTTTAGCAATATTCCAGCAATGTCACGGCGGGGACACCAGAAATGGGCCTCACACAATGTACCCATGTGGGGAATTGAACCCGGATCGTCGGCGAGATGAGCGAATGCTTTAACCACTAGCCTACCCCACCGCCCCCGGTCTCGTGCGTACACTTAGCGATCTTGTCGTAAACCTATGTTAAAGTGTGGGAGTTTCGATCACATTAACGTTAAGGCTGCTTTGTGGAACGGGTCCCAGAACTTGATTTATCCCCTGTATTCCGAGCGCCAGGCCGGGAACCAAAATGTATATTTTACATCAGTTTGTAAGACTCGGTCCCAGCATTGTGTGCATTCCGCCTAAAAGCTCTGTCCATTTAAACACCTACGTCACGACTGAAATATATAGCGGTTCTTTCCGGGTGTATTTCGACTGGACGGGGGATTAAAGAGAATATTATTTAATAGTGTTGTTACATTGGAAATCATGTAGTTGGTATTTCAGAAACAAAGTTTGGAATCTAGGAACCAGTGTCAGTACTTTGAATATAACTTCGAAGGCATGGCGGTGGGTAGCCTAGTTGTTAAAGCGTCCGCTCGTCACACCGAAGACCCGGGCTCGATTCCCCACATGGGTACAATGTGTGAAGCCATTTCTGGTGTCCCCCGCCGCGATATTGCTGGAATATTGCTTAAAGCGGGGTAAAACCATACCACTCACTCACTCCAGGGAAGGGACACATCGTATATAAGGATGCTACTTGGACCAAAATATATCATCTTAAGCAACACTTATAGATCTAATAACTTCACGAGTGCCCTGTAGATATTTACATGCTACACTATAGATATTTGTGTCTGTGTATATTGTTTATTTTCATGAGTATTTAGGATGTAATATAAATAGATAGTCTGAATCATAGGACGGATGTAGTACTCACGGTTATAAGTGGTTTGTACGAAAGGTGTGTAAGGCCTTTGTGTTGCCGGCTTCCACGTGAAAGGGAGTGGTGTGTAGGGCTTGGACGTTATTGGCTGAACAGTTGGTCTCCGAGTGCTTGTAGTCGTAGTGGTCGTACTTGTAGGTGGAGGAGCTGTTGTGCTGATGAAGTGTGTGGTCCACTGCGTGTTGGGGCCGATGTTGCACGGGACGTTGGCCGCAAGGTCGCAGGATTTGGTCTTAGGGTTGAAGCGGAACCCCATGGTACAGTAGAGGCGGAAGGACATGCCACTGACACAGCGGATGTACTCGGTGCAGCTGAAGGGACTTTGGTAGAAGTCGGTGGCTCGACCATAGCAGAAGTCTTTGCCAGACTGAATTTGCCGAGACGTAGCTGAAACCATGGGACATTGTGGCTGCAGAATCTAACAAATATTATGTCTTGTCTCTAGCCCAGGATAGGCATTTAGACATTCACAGATTTCACAAAACTTGTTTCTGGAGAAATTCTTCTCCACCCGCTTTCCTCAAAAGAAAATTATAAATGAATAAACCTACAATAAAATTAAGACAATAACAACAACAAATGGGACAACAACACCACACAAAAAAAGGGACACAAAAAATAATTTATAAAAAACACACCAGAAAACCCCCTAAAGAAACCGGATGGACATGCCGGATGGGTGAACACAAAATGTGTTATGAACAAAAATAAGCCGTTCAAATTCACAGATGAGCATTGCCTGTGTTGAAGCAGTGAGCCACAAGACACCCTGTATCCAGCAATATTCCCAGGGTCTCGACAATGGGGAAATATTTCTCTGTTATCTCCCTCTTCTACAGTTTTTGAGATACTGTTGGGTATTGATGCTGGACGCAAGTTCCTCAATCACTGTCTTGAAATATTGTGGAAACTGTGCAATATGGTTGAAATGAATATTAAAATATATATTAAAAAACAACAACCACAAAACCAATATTCACTGCATAGCTGGGATCCCGATACTGGTGTTAAAGATATATATCGAGTAGTACTTACAGGCAAGAAGAGATATGTAAATGGCATGTGACGTAATGATTATATGTCACGATGTAATTCCCGTTGTGCCCATGACAACAGAACAACACCTTGAATATAATATTCCAGCATTTGGCTTCACTTTTGTTGGGAATTGAACCAGCTGAGTCTTGAACCTGTGGGTCGCGTACCGATCCGTCGAATTTCTGATTTTAGAGTAGTGAAATGCATTCGACGGATGAGCACTGTGATCTTAGCTATCAATTAGTTATCAAAACATTGGATCATACCAAAAAACAGACGCAAGGGATGTGGGTTTGACTCTCTCTAGCTTTTGTACTTTTGTTCTTATCTTTGCCTACTCATACGATACAATGAGAAATTGATGCATTAAATATATGTTTTGACTCTCCTTACTTTTGTACTTTTGTACAAAATTGAAAATTGATGCATTTAATAGAATGTATTCATACGGAGAAATATATACAAGGATATTATATCTATATCTGCATTCCATAAAATGAAACATTATTTCATTGACACATATTCAGTTTGTAGGAAAGTTACACACGATCACCATAGTGTCCAACACAATCAATGTAGACCATTAATCCGATGGGCTCTGTAAGTTGAAATCCTTTTGGCATGAGTTGACCAAACTATGAATGTGGGGTGTCCATGTCATGGGGTGGTCGAAAGTTACTCCTAAGAATTTAGCTTCCTTTTTAAATTCAATTTCTTGGTTACTTAGGTGCAGTTTGGGGGTATAATTTTGCATTCGCTGTGTTTTGAATAGAATGCCCACGTTTTTTTACTTGAATATGGAAACCCCATTTTTGGATATGATTTAGCATAGTTTGGGTGTTACTGGTGATTTGTTTTACAGACGTGGAGGATGTTCAGAAGGAAATGTCATCAGCAAATTTAGCTGTAGAAATTGGGGGGTTTGTTTTGTCTATTGTTTTCTTCTATATCTTTAGTTGGAATATCGAAAGTGTGAAATGCTCCACATTTGACATGAACAGAGATACTTAGTCAATTTCAAGTTGTATTAATACCTTTACTCACAGTTTTATAATAAACTAATAAAGCAAAAAGATGATAGTTCATTGCAAACATCCGCTTCCTCATCTGAGAACCCTTTAACTATTTAAGAAAACATTTAGTCTAATCCAATACAAACCGACCACTTAATTAATGAACTTAGACTCTCCCAGTGTGTCAACCCGGTCTGAAATTCGACCGATTAGCATAGAACTACTCAAGCATGATTCGACGGATCGGCACTGCTGACTGTTCAAAATTCGACGAATTAGGCCGTAATTGCCTTGTGTAGCCTAGTAGAACGGGGCACAGAGATTGCATTATCCCCGTCGGGCTGGGAAGCAAAAAGGAAGTATATATTTTATCAGTTTGTAAGACGCAGTCTCGGCATTGGACCAAAATATATCATCTTAAGCAACAATTATAGCTCTAATAAATTCACGAGTGCCTTGTAGAGATTTACATGCTACACTATATATATTTGTGTTTGAGTGTATTGTTTATATTCATGAGTATTTAGGATGTAAAGAAACAGATAGTCTGTATCATAGGCCGAATGTTGTACTCACGGTTATAGGTAGATTGTGTGAAAGGCCTTTGTGTGTAAGGCCTCTGTGTTGACGGAGTGGTTGTACTTGTAGGTGGAGGAGCTGTTGTGCTGATGAAGTGTGTGGTCCGCTGTGTGTTGGTGCCGATGTTGCACTGGACGTTGGCTGCACGGTCGCAGTATTTGGTCTGAGGGTTGAATAGCAACCCCATGGTACAGCTGCGCCCGATAGACTTGCCACTGACACATAGGATGTACTTCGTGCAGCTGTTGGGACTTGGGTAGTAGTCGCTCATTCGTCCATAGCAGAAGTCGTTGCGGGGCTGAGTACGGGGCGTAGCTAGAACCATGGGACAGTATGTATAATTTGTGAATACAAACTGTTATGAACAAAAAGAAGCCGTTCCTCTTCACAGATGAGCACTGCCTGTTTTGAAGCAGAGAGCCACAAAACACCCTGTCTCCATCAATATTCACAGAGCCAGTTTCTAGACAATGGGGAAAACATTCCTAAGTTATCTCCCTTTACCACTTCGCCAATAGATGACGCCAATCACTACGGTCCTACTGGCAAACAAGGATAAGTTGAGCACCGATCTGACCCGTATTAGTATGTATGAGTGCCGCCACTGGCGCTTGCCATTGTAACATCTATATACTCTGATTGTATGTGTAGCAGTTTCCGTTCTCCCCTTATATTAAGAAAAATGTAAAATAAAACAAATAAATAAAAAATATAAAGTAAATAAATAAAAAATGGAATATATAACGTGCTGTCGCTGTGTATCACTTTCTGTGTAAAGCATTGCTGTCTTTGCATGAAGTGTTCTGCATTGAGTCAGGGTACGGTTACACCGAAGCGCGACCCAGCTATGATTGTGTTACGACCATCGCGATCGTGAACTTGCAGAGTGTCACGGTGAGTCGTTCCATTGATCGCCATATGTGGTTACATTTGCGACTGAATTGCGGCTGATAACAGAAAGTTCCCGGTTTTATTGCGTCCTGACTATGAGACCGCTCTCATTGGTCTCAGAGATTTCAATCGGGTCTCAATAGGGTCGCTTCTACTTTACGAATCTATATATATGCGAGTGTGCTACGACTCAGATGCGACCCTTGCAACCATTAGAGATCGATTTGCTACCTCATTGAGAGTGCCTGTGGCGATCGTTGCGACTATCGGCGATCCTGTGAGTGTATGTGATCGAGTTGCAACTCAGTCAGGATTAGTAGGTGCAATACTTACCGACTGAAAAAATCATCAAACTTTGAGATCATTGATGCAACCGAATGGGGAGTCCGTTACGATCATTGAGACCTAATTGAGAGTGCATTGAGACCTGTGCGATCTCATTGCAACCACATTGAGGCCTCTTGCGACTGTCATCGGTCGCACAACTTTTGCGAGTGTTTTGACAGTCAAAAACACTGGCAAACCCCTTTGTGACCGATGGAGAGTACTTGTGACCAAAGAGACCATGTTTGAGACCATGGATACCACGTTGAGACTAATTTGCGACTATATTGCGAGTCTGAGCTAGTGCTGGCGAGCAGAGGCCAATTTTCTGTTGTAACCCAGTGTAACCAGGGTGTTAGTTTGCAAATGTGTTATATATTGTTTGAAGTTTCATTTTTAAGTTTTTGTCAGCTGCCAGTTTACTTATATATTAACTGGAAAAAATCAATATAGTTTTGTAGTTTCTGCATTTAATGATATTGTTTAATAACTCTATTCTAATTGGGTTTAGAATCTATAGTCACTGCATTGCTGCGATCCCGATACTGTTGTTAAAGATATAGATATCGAGTAATACTTAGAGGCAAGAATATCTACAATAACATGTGATTATAGGTCACGATGGAATTCTCATTATGCACATGTCAACAGTACAACACCTTGATTAAAACTGTGAGTGAGTTTGGTTTTACGCATATGCTGCTTTTAGCAATATTCCAGCAATATTCTTGTGTGACAAGCGAACACTTTAACCACTAGGCCACCTCGAAAAAACAGAAGGATCAATTGAGTAAATATTGCACAGTGTCCACATATCTTGTACAATGGCCTCTCAATTGCTAACATTGGACAGGGGCGGTGTGGTAGCCTAGTGGTTAATGCGTTGGTTCATCGATTCCCCACATGGGTACACTGTGTGAAACCCATTTCTGGTGTCCCCCTCCATGATATTGTTGTAATATTGCTAAAAGCGGCTTAAAGCCAAACTCACACACACCACTGGACACAAATGATATCGGTATATGGTCTCTGATGATAATGGTCATATAACGGCTACTCACTGTAAACGGGACCGTTGGTGACCTGTGGTTGGTTTGTCACCACGACTGATGGGGTAGTGTAGGTTTTCCTTGTGGTGGTGACTGGACGCTGGGTGGTGACAGAACCGTGGTTAATATCCTGGTGCCTTGGGGTTGGAAAGTGTAGCGTCATTAAACACATCTAACGGAGATAAAAGTAGAAGTTCGTATATTGTTTATGCTACCAAGAAACAGTACTATTTTACATAGGAATTTAGAATGACCTTGCTGTTCAGTTGGGTTTGTAGGTGGTGATAAAGAATGATCTGATTTCTAATGCGTTCGATCCTTAGATAACTCAAGATAAGAATGGGAACTGGACACAACTACTCATTATGTAGGACAGGAAGTGCTGAACACACTCATTTCATCATCCCATCCCTGGGATTCTTGTACAAGCATGCTTCCTACAATGACACGTTGTCTTTGTGACTTAGGACTCTGTAGTCCTTGAACTCCAAGGTGGTTCAACTGAAGATCATCACACTTGAACAACACCAGCTTGGGAAAGAAATTGCTTCAGTTTCATTGGGTTTTTTTCAGAAGAGAACAGGACACTGAACATCTCACAACAGTTAAAAACAACACTGACCTTGAAAACGATATTTGGAACAGAGCCACTGATGGATACCACCAAGAAGATACCAAGACGTTAAACTGAATTATTTATCAGTCCTCTAATCTTGGTCATTTAATGTTGTATTGAACCGCAAGAAAGGTGGACAGTTCCGTATGTGCGTGGACTTCAGGCAGCTCAATTAACTAACAACAAAGGACAACAAAGCAGAAAACAGGTGTTCTATCCTTCCAGTCCTAGGGAGACAGGAATTGAGCTCACCCCAGACAAGTGTTTCTTCTCCAGAAGAAAGAGCAAGTTTCCTGGTCAACTGGTCTCAGGACAGGCGGTTGAGGCAGATCCAGATAAGGCTCAAAGGATCAAAGATTTGCCTACTGCTACATAGAATGAGCAAATAACCATCGAAAGTAACCATCAACCATCTACTATCTACGCAAGCAGCAGCAGGTAAACAGCTATCTTCATCCACTGCAGCAGCAGCTACTTCCATGGAAGAGCAATTATTGCGATTATCAGGTTAAATTCTCAGCACTAAGAAATGCATGGTGTTGCAATGCAAATGAGCTATTTGTACATGACGTCACCACCTGGTGTGCCTTTCCTTAACCTTTTTACCAACTGGCATATATATATATATATATATATATGTATATGTATATATCATTCATAAATCATTCTCCATCGTTCTCAATCATGTTATGGTTGAGTGACTGACATAGTGAGTGAGTGAGAACATCATCTGAAACAACAGTAGAGATTCTACGCCTTAAATGAAATCACTGAACAGGTGTCAGGTGTTAGCAAACCAAGAACTGTAATCAGAGCTGGTCTGGAATTTACATCCACGATGTATCCTGGCCTGAATACACGGCTATCCTCACTATCCTCACTGAGTTTGTACCCCTGCCCATATTGTCTTGCAACGTAAACCATAGCATCAGTTGAAAGAAAGGAGCGGCAACAGGACTACTTTTGTCGAAAACCCTTCACAAAACATATTATCAAATCATGTCTTTGCATTGAATATATACTCCTTTTATAGTGTTCTTTAAAACAAATCTTACGGTCCTGGTCCTACACAGTTAGTTCTGTCTGGGCTGGCGAGTTCGTCAACGATGGTGTGGAGTAGGGGATAGGGGCCTTGGCCGCAGTCGGACCCTGAGAAGTCATCTAAGTCCAGGGCCCACACCATCACACCTCCAAAACCACTTGACTTGATGTAGCACACCTGCAGCAAGAACATAACAGTAAGTGAAACCAGTTCAGAAGTTAGAGTGAGCCAGACGGTTCAGATGGAAGACAACACTAAGTGAAAATGGTTCAGCACGGATATAACAGTAAGTAAGGATGGTTCAGCAAAAAAGATAACAGTAAGTGATACTAGTTCAGTAACCATCATGAAGTCCCCCATTAGTTCCCGTGCACAGTAGATAGCCTTTGCAAGTGTTTGTGATGGATGTCACCAGCAGGACAGGATACGCTCACCTTTACACGATGATTGGGCCTGTGTCTGTAAACATTGTTTTAACGCCTTTGTCATCTTTGTCCACAACTCTACCCAGCGTCAAATGACAGACACCCAGCATGTGTTCACCTTCTGACGGAGCCACACTTTGACGTCATTGCCCACCCTGTTCATTCTGCACCCAACATCTGTTCACCTTCTGGGGGAGACTCAGTTTGACGTCATTACCAAGACTCTCCACCCTGCATTCAACCTGTGCTTACCCTCTGACAGACTCAAACTACAACTGACGCCATCGCCCAATCAACCCACCCTGCATCTGGCATGATTGTGCTTAGGTTGTCTGTATTGTTTCTGTGTTTCCATCTCCCGCCCTGAATTTTCCTTCCAACGTGAATTAATGGAAAGTGTTCTTATCTCAGCTTCATGCCTCAATGAGATAAACAATATCCTCTTACCATTGTACACATCCATTGGAAATTTCAGCTTAATTTGGATATTCAATAAAAGTTATATTTAAAGAGCCGTTTCAGACTGGTGCCAATCGACGGATTTAGGAACTGTCAAACAGAGTGTAAAACTGACCATGTGATGAGTTCATGAATCACAGAAGGTGGGATATAAACCTAGGTCCATCCAGCTCCTTACAAGACTAGGGGACATGTCCTCTCCTGATGACACTTATTGAATGTTTCACTGTGTACCATGTTTTATTTCGGATTACAGTTTCTAATTCATATACAAATTGTAGTGCTTTTGGGTGAGTGAGTGAGTGTGTGAGTTTAGTTTTATCAAGTTTAGTTTTATTATTACGTTTATTAATATTCATGTGCACCCAACATGTGTTCACCTTCTAGGAGAGACTCATTTTGACGTCATAGCCCACCCTCTTCACCCTGTACCCAAGATGTGTTCACCTTCTGATGGAGACTCATTTTGACGTCATTTTGACGTCACCCTGCATCCAACATGTTCTTACCTTCTCACGGAGACTGAGTTTGTCGTCATAGCCCACCCACTGGTCATCCCGGGTAATATAGCGGACGCGCTGTTCGGGGATATCTACAATTGTGCCACCATTTTGCTCCATTTCACAGATCTGAAACGAGAAATTTAACTTCATACATATGCCCTTTGTAGGTTTTAAACTAAATTGATGTAAAACGATTTTCAGTTTTCTTTTGGATGTTTTGAAACTAAGTCGTTATCACTTTTATGCACGCTTCTCTCACCTCCTGATAAGAAAGAAAACCCTCCTCGCGTGTGTACGGGCCTTTTGTGCCGGGGCCACTGACAGGTGCACCTAGGGTGTTGTCGGCAGTTGACAGGGTGAACGTGCGACCATACAACGCCAAGCCTATGTTTATTTTCTCTCTGGGTGCGCCCATCTTCACCCAGTATTCAGCTGCCCAATGCTGAAACATAATTAATAAAGCACACTTTTTAAAACAAAATCAAAAGTGGACAATTAACTGTGCTCATGCCTTATTTTATCCAAGTGGATACAACATTATAGAAAAAGGGTACAGGTGTAGAAAGGAAATATAATTCAAATGGTAGATGTCTTATTTATTTGATGACAGATTGTATTCACAAAATAAAAAAATGAACTTACTGTGACCTTACCTTAATTCATACAAGTGAGTACAGGGTTATACATTTTCATGTTCAAATATATCATGCTAAAAAAGTACAGGTGTAAACCAAAAATAGTGCAAACGGCCAATACCTTATTTGTTCAATGACCGATTGTATTCACAAAATAAAAAAATGAATAATTTACTGTCACCACACCTTAATTTGTGAGTACAAGGTACATTTTCATGAAAAAAATATATGTTATATCATTAAGGTTACAGTTGTGACAGTTTTGTAGGTATGAACTTGATTATTAATTTGATGACGGCCTCCGTATTGCAGTGAGGTGAGGTGAATTTGGGTTTAACGTCGTGCTTGAGAATATTTCGCTCATATGACGACGTACATGCGTGTGTATGTGTATGTGCGGCTGCTTGTACTAGCCCAGACTTAAGCTGGTTTTATAGTGCCAGCCCACTGAGATACCATGCCGCAGTGAAGCATGAATACCCCACTCAGCCACATTATACTGACTCTGAGCCGACCAGTCCTTGTTGTACCCATTAATGCCGAACGCCAGGCAGGGACCAACAAGTACCATATTTTAACGTATTTTGGTATGACGCGTATTGCAGCGAATTGTAGCATTTGCCCTAGAGCGGGAGGCCGATAGTACAACCTCCGGTAGCGTCATCCGTTAAAATATGGTACTTGTTGATACCCTGGCTGGCAAACAGGTGTATAACTTCGATACAATACACGGGAAGTGAAAATTGGATATATTTTATCTAGGGCGTTAAAGCCACAGGCCTTTTTGAACAGTCAGAAGTACAGTTAGGTGCAAACAGTATAAAATACAACATACAAGTTGTATTATTTGTACTCTGACATCATCTCAACAAGTGTTGTTATTGATATTAGCGTGATAAACTTCAAAACCATTCAACATAGAGATTTTACGTATCTTTGCCACAACTGGTTAAAAGCTGAATAACAAATAAACAAACAGTGATATTCAGTGGCCTACATGTCCCCCTCATTCAATGGTTTAATTGTGTGAGCTAAGCCGGAAACAAGACCATGTGGACCTTAATCTAACTACTGTAATACTGCTGAAATAGCTCCTACCTGAAATAGATAAATAATATAAACTGTACATAATGAACCGTTAGGAGACTTTCGGATGCCAACCGTGTAGAAAGGTGCCTTAAAGCGCTGGTATATCGGTATAGGGTCTCTGACACAACATGTTGTTATTGTCATTATTATAGGATATTTATATATATCTAGGCAACTAGTGCATGGTATTTTTTCCCTCGATCATTGGATGCCAATCTCAACGGCACATCGTATTAACAATCTTAACTCCCTGGGGAGTATACAACTCTTGCAACCACGAGGCGCACCGAGTTATTGTGGCTTTCTCATCCTAACGAAGTACCCATTCACAGCTCTACATATCTACCCGTCGGGTGAGTAAGTTCCATTTTACCTCGACTTTAGGTATTCTACAACAGCTTGGGTACACTGCAAAAGATTTTTAAGGAGTAAACCTATTTGGGCTATCTCACAGTGTCAAGTTTTGACAGCTAGGCTACTCCGCCGTGCCCACCCACTCACCAGGTTAAGGGACTTGTCCTCGGGACTCTCGTCAATACGAGAATACAGCGGGCTGTTGTGACCCGTGATGTTCTCCCAACTTCCGTGTAGGTCATAGGTCATCACACTGATGTAGTCCAAGATCCTATGCAGCATCAAAACACAACGTGATACAGAACCAGAATAAAGAGTTGCTGGGATCAGGCCATCTTCACTTGCCACGTCTTGCCACATTGCGACTTGCAACGTCTTGCCACATTGCGACTTGCCACGTCTTGCCACAGCGACTTATCATTAAACGGTCTTAACTGTATAGGGTAATAATCTGTTGTTTGGGTACAAAAATACTGTTTTGGGATAATATTATATTCTGTGATAAATTTAAATAAGAAAAGATATCTGTTCCCCACATGCGAGTTACTCACTCATGACATCTTTGCGATCTTGTGAATTCCATTACTTACTTTGAAATTTCCGGGATTTCGTATGCCGTGTCAATGGTGGGTTTTCCCGCCGCCACGGCCGCCGTGAACAAAAGTCGGGGTCTACCAGATTGCTGCGCTTCCGCTGCAATGGCATCGTGCACTGCCTGAAACAAGTCTCTATTTTATTATATCAACATTGTTACGACACTAGCACTGCGATATTTGAAAATATGATGTTGAAATGTGACTAGAGACATAGTTTTCCACATTCATTCAGCATTGGTAACGGATGTCAATTTAACGTTAAAGGTTCAACATCATTTCTAAACTGACAGATATCCATCACAGTAAGATGCGTGGGATATCATGAAAACCATGATTCTGTTGAATTGCACGTGCATGAAACAGTCCATTTGTGTCACCACCTCACAAAATCATTCACAAGCCCGAAATGTGAATGCAGACACGAATTTCATCATTAATATATTTACAACATGACCCAATGAAAATTCACTAGCCAGCCGGGCCAGTGACTGTGGAGATTTACTGGCCCGACTGGATTTTTACTATCCACGGGCTAGCGGGCCAGTGGCTATTTCGCACACTGGATATACATGTTAAAGGCATACATTAAAGTGCCAAGAATATCAACAGCGGAGCTGGAAGTAGCCATTGGAAAGTCGCAGATGGGGGCTCCGAACAGCCATATTGCATCAATGTTCGGTTGTAAAAAGCAGGCCATCATCAGACTAATATAATAAGACACTTCTTATTATACGACAAGCCACACATCCGACAGTCACAGAATGGCAAACGGAGAGTGACCACCCCGCAGGATGATCATCACATGCGCATTCTCCATCTGCGCATCGGATTATGGAAACCAGTGATTGATTTAATGAACACCATCCCACAAGGATCAATCAAGCAAATCTCTGAGGTTGACGGATGTAGTAGCCACTCACAGCAAGCAGTGGGATATTTGCATCTATAGTTTCGTCACCTGCAAGTCTCATCCCGCTAACGCTACAAACCAATCAGTGTGTGCTTATGAGAAGGCCCCCCATTAATATTCTTCGCTAACATGCATAGTATTTGCATGACAATGTTCCAAAGTAACATTCATTTTTTTTTAACTCTCTTTAAATATCAAGCGGTTGTAAAGTGTAAAGTTGTCTGAAAACATCAATATACACTCACAAATAAACGAGGTAAGTACCAAGTTGAAAAAATGGTCATTCGGCTTCTTCGGGAATGACACGAGTAGTCCCGAATGATATCTATAATTCTCATTCGAACTACTCGCCTCTTTCCGTGACCTACAAGAAAACTCGCACCTGTATAGTACGCCATTATTGCAAAGAATCGCGGCAAACCAATCAAATCGCGCGCGTAGGAAAATGTGAAATGAGTCAAATAGTTTCTTTGCGATTATCGGTTTTCATTATAATTTCCATGATTATAAAACGGTGTTAGTACCTACACCGAAACGTCGCACTCATTGAAATAAAAAAGTTGACTATCCATAGAATCTGGTTTTCCTTTATTTGTTTGACCGTTTGCGCTGAGATGGTTTGTAAAATGGCTACAAGGCGTACGAGGTCAATCCGCATATACCGGAATGACACGAGTTGTCCCGAATGAGATTTATTCTAACCCTATTCACATGGTACCTTTAGCATCTCGGTATAGTAGTGTGTATCCTCTGGTGGACTGCCTCTGTTTGCTGGATACTCCCAATCCACATCCACGCCATCGAAATTGTTTTCTCGGATGAATTTGACGACGGAGTCCGCAAACTCCTTCCTCCCTTCTGGAGTTTTACACATCTCATGAAAACCCTTCGACCCAAAATTCCATCCCCCGACAGCAAGCAAGGTCTTCATGGTGGGATTGACCGTTTTCAACGCTATGAAACGTTCGAACCTGCATGTTAAATATTAGCCTTTTGAGTACAAGTAAATGGTGCATAGCTGTGATTGAGCTTGGATCAAGGTTTGGCGTAATAAGAAACATAATTATTGCTAACCGGTAATCGATCGTCAGAAGACGCATTAAACAATGACATTATGCGCCAAAACAGGTTCCTGAAAACGGTGACACAAATCAGTGATGCCACCCGATTTCAGTCATTATTTCTATTTGAATAACACTCACATTCCTTTGCTCCACTGTGTTGAGAGATCATTCCATTCAAAGGCTTTGACCTTGTTCCCTAGCAAAATGGCAAAGGCGTATACGTAGTGTGTGCAGAGGTTAGGGTCTACATTCTCCGGCGTGAATTTCCCCTTCCCGGGACGGTACTGTGACCAGTTGGTGTAATAACAGACTCTCCTGGGCTCTGAACCTGTAATATGGAGGATGGCATGTATGACAGTTGATGTAGTAACACACTCTCCTGGGCTCTGAACCTGTAACATTGTGGATGACATGTATGACAGTTGGTGTCGTAACACACACTCCTCTGCTCTGAACCTGTAACATGAAGGATGACATGTATGACAGTTGGTGTCGTAACACACTGTCCTGGGCTCTGAACATGTAATATGGGGGATGACATGTATGACAGTTGGTGTAATAACACACTCTCCTGGGCTCTGACCCTGTAACATTGTGGATGACATGTATGACAGTTGGTTCAATAACACACTCTCCTGGGCTCTGACCCTGTAACATGGAGGATGGCATGTATGACAGTTGATGTAGTAACACACTCTCTTGGGCTCTGAACCTGTAACATCGGGGGCGACATGTATGACAATTGGTGTAGTAACACACTCTCCTGGGTTCTGAACCTGTAACATGGAGGATGACATGTATGACAGTTGGTGTAGTAACACACTCTCCTGGGCTCTGAACCTGTAACATGTGGGGTGACATGTATGACAGTTGGTCTACTAATACACTCTCATGGTGGATGACTTGTGTGAAAGTGGGTGCAGTAACACATGCACTAGACAAATGATGTCAAGTTCGAACAGGTTTTCTATGGAAGGTATAAGAAGGGATAAATATATATATATTTTTCTGGAAAAACACCCCAAACCGTTGTAAATGTCTGTACACCACTAGTCCAAAACCTGATGAAATATATCAAACAAAACAGCAACAGGTCCAGACAGTTCTGGAAACAATTCTGATAAGGTTTATCACCACAAAGCAATGTTCTCGATAACTTTACTCAGTTAAAATTGGCACTTGTTAATTTAGAGCAACGAAGGAAGCAGAAAGAGTCTTCTTATTGAAATTGTTGTGTATCATAGTGCAGTCTTCCAGGTAATAAAACGTGAACTGCGGCATCATATTCTTGAAAAAATAATATATGACGTTCCATGATCCCCCAACACGAACTTCACACTGATAACATTGTTGGAACAGAAGAAGTCGATAACGACTGTGACCTCGATTCCTGATGGTCTGTGCTGACATTCTGCTTCTGAACAAAGTTCTATCTGTTCGTTTGAATTGCAGTGACAAATTTGATGTGGAAATAGTGTAACCTCATTAGCACGATAACATATAACCGTGCCTGTCTGATGGGTTCGCAGACTGTAATTTCTGACGAGAAACGGCATACTCGTTCTTTCATTAAACTTGCAAATTTGCTGCGTTTTCCTGTCAAATGCATATGCGGTCTCTGGGGTGAACACATGAAACGCTGCAAGTGATTTTGTTTCACGCTTATTCCACGCTATACGACCAAAGTTTACACGTAGGTCGCCAAGATAATATTGAAACATGCTACTTTTCATTACCCTGTGTCTGGCACAACAAGATGGAATTACACCCCATCCACCCCATGTTTATAGCTCATACGTGCAGATATATATTAGCTCAAAATTGTTAATCAAGTCATTGTTTGTAATCTTATAAAACATATACATGTATAGTTGTTTTTTTGTCTGTGATGAAAAATGTTAAGTAAAGTATAATTCTGTTTTCTGATTTTTCAGTCGGAAATATCATCTAGAAATAAAACGTGTTAAACATGATGGTCAGTGTTATGGTATACAAGTTTTCATCAAGTTATCTCACCTTGGGCAGCATGCAGAGCCAGGAAGATGACTCCCGCTAGGGGGAGCAGCAACAGGGACGCTCGGGGGATCATCTGGAAGAGACACGAGGATGAAAACGTAATTATGAAGTGTCGTGGACTATATACCAGACTGCGCGTTAAAAAGAGCAGGTAACCCCAGATAACGTAGGTCATCGCGTGTTTCCTGTACCTAGTGCTCGTGTGATGTATATAACGACAAGGCCATCTCAGAAATCTGATCTACAATGCCGGCTAAATAGATATCACTATCAGCCTAGCTGTTAAACATTCGCTCGTCACGCCAAAGACCCGTGTTCGATTCCCCCGACAAGGGTGCAATGTGTGAAGCCCTTTTCTGGTGTCCCCGGCGTGATATTGTTGGAATATTGCTTAAAGCGGCGTAAAACAATACTCACTCACTATGGATCGTTATCAAATAGAGATGTTACCAGGGGTTAACGAGAAAGTCAGCGTATCCTGTCCCTCCACAAACACACGCATAGGTAAATCAATTGTTCGTCTGAACAAACACGGGTACATATCTTACAAGTCAAAATGGGAACTTGCACCCGACGTCATTGTTTTCAACATTGCGTCCAATTTGGAAATACCCTCCATATATCAACCTTAAAGCTTCACTAAAGACCTTTGGGGCGGCGGGGTAGCCTTGTGCTTAAGGCGTTCGCTCCTCACGCTGGACCGGTGTTCGAATACCCATATGGGCACAATGTGTGAAGGCCTTTTCTGGTGTCCCCAGCAGTGATATTGCTGTAATTTTGCTAAAGGCGGCGTAAAACCAAACTCACTCACTCACTAATGACCTTGAATGTCGCTGCCTTGTTCCAACAACTTTTGAGCAAGAATCGCATGTCATTGTTTTAAATCTTTGAAGAAAGAGCATGTACGCTTATATCCCCTGAAGTTCTTAGCGTAGACACCCAATGCTTATGCTGCTTGAATATTGCAGGAGGTAAAGGGAAGGTTGAATGTTGGAACGAGGAAGCCATTCCTCTTGCCATACAACCCTATATGGTCTGTGACATTGCATTCTTGCTACACATCGACAGCCTGTACACAATCCTTTCTAAACCAGATAAACCAGTGATTGATAGTATGAGCAATGGTATAGACTCTCGGGCTTCGGTGACATTCAATGAACCAAATCATCAAATTTATTAAATCGCCTCTTATGGCAAGCATATGTTGGAAGAGACGATTATAATTTGGTTTCGACATGGGGCTCACGAAGGAATCACTTTGGTGTACTCTGTAAAATGTAATTAGTGTCAGGCGTTATTAAAAGTAGAGTTTATGAAAATGAGGATGAAGGAAGAGTGAGTGAGTGAGTGAGTGACTCAGCAATATTCCAGCTATATGGCGGCGATCTGTAAATAATCGAGTCTGGACCAGACAATCCAGTGATCAACATCATGAGCATCGATCCACGCAATTCGGAACAGATGACATGTGTCAACCAAGTCAGTGAGCCTGATCACCCGATCCCGTTAGTCACCTATTACGACAAGCTACTGAAGATTAATAGGTTACTGAAGATCAATATTCTAGCCCGGACCTTCACGGGCCATGAAGGAAGAGAGGATAGTGTAAAGTATAAAGTAGATGAAGTCTTCATTGCAATTACGATGCCAAAAGTGCCCCTTTAATGGCAAGATTTCCGTCAATATTTTTGATAATACAATAAGTGAGTGATCAAGGTTAACGTGAACCGTTGTGTTGAGTACTCGTCACGATAGGGAAACACGGCAGTTTAGCTGTAATCCCATAGTCGTAGTACGTTTCATATAAACTACATATACATGTATTGAAACACGATATAATCAGTGTGAAACTTGTTAAAGCTTCATGACGTCGATGCTACATATTCACACACATGTACCTGTCCAATGAATTTCGGTATCCTTACCTGTTGCCACGCTGCCATAACCAAATACTAAGCCGGGCACAGTAAAACACAAGGGCAGAATGCATCACCCGGTGCAACCCCTCGCTCATTTTCCGCACATACGGAATATGTATCCTCTCGCGGTTTACTCCCATAAGAACTACATCCCATTTGAACTACATCCCAAATTAACTACAGGGATAGATTAACAACTAGTCTCTGAAATGAACATATTTTACTGAAAAAAGTTCATAGTAAAAAGAAAATATATATCATGAAAAGGAGCCCTGAGACTTTCTTCATTTTCCTGAAGCTGAGTAAATCTAGACTTGCCACATTTTCTAGACTTGCGTGGCCTTTCTTGGATATATTTGCTTCAGGGTCTGTACGACAGACTACTACAGGGATTAATTAGGGATTAATTATCTGAGTAGAGGCACCCCCATGGCATGTAATGAGCACAGCCCATCAGCTCTCCCAGAAGAACTACATGCTTAAACTCCTATTGACCAGTAATTATGTTGTTGTAAAGGTTGTCTAATAACCAGAAAGTAAAGGACAAGAGCGAAGGGTATGTTGTAGTTAGTGAATGTTCTTGTATTCATATGATAGAAAACAGCAAGCCACGCTTAGTATATTGGAGTAAAGGTGAAATATACACGAATGAGTTTTTAAGTAAAAACAGTATTATTATAGACTGCAATCCAGCACCTCGATGCAGTTGGCTACTTATTGAAGCTGGGCTAAACTAGTTCTTCATGGATCAGATTGAACAATGAGGATGAAAGTGAAACTAAATTATCACACTAAATATTCATGTATAAGACTATCTATAGATGAACTATCTGTACATCTATATCTCAAACTCGAGACTTTATCTGCACAAAATCTTTTGCCGTTCAACGGCTCTTCATGTGTACAATGAAAACTAAGTGTCGTCATAGGCGACGGTTAACGGTAACTAGTAGCTATGTCGTCATCATGCGTATGACGTTACAGTTAGTAACAATAGGTAATATGTAATAGATAATAAGACGGTTTTATCAGGTCGAAAGGTGCAATTTGTAAAAATATTATTAACCTATGTACAGATAACGGTAATGAACGAATCGAATACTATAACAATATGTAAATTTTATCCTTCCCGACACGACAGCAATCAGACATATCTTCTTAGGTAGTTGTAAATGCTGGTCATAAAACAATAAAAGTCCCAAGAGAGACACTTATGAAAACAAAAGAAACAAAATACAGAGATGTTCCTACAATCCTAATAACTGTACAATTATGCCCATTATAAAAGCAAATCTTCCAATTTTGTATAAAAGTGATACTATGAAAAAAGGTTAATCAGTCAGTGTAACAAAATGTCAAACACCTCGATGTGGAACACCTCGGTGTTCAGTCATAACTGAAAACTGCAAATTTACAATTTTTGTGAAGGCAAACTATTTACTATGAAAACCAACATGAACTGCCACAGAAAAAATGTAATATTTGTTTTATTTGTTTTCTGTTGGGCAAATATATGAAGGATAGGTAATGATAAAAAAAAGACAGATTCTAATGCTTTATTCTATTCTACCGGTAGATATAACAATGTCCCTTATTATTCAAGATTCTGTCCTTTTTGCTACAAAAATAATCTTAATTTAATTGAAGATGAAATACATGTTTTACTTTATTGTAGATATAAGGAATAAGTTTCTGGGTAAATATTTGAAACATCCTATTTCACAACACAGTTTTATAAACATAATGACTTCAAAAAACATAAATGTTATAAATAATTTGTGCCTGTTTTTATATAATGTTGGGAAAATAAGAGATTCTGATGTTTTTATGTAAAACCAGGGATAATCTACAACATTATATAGTCTCCCTCGTAAAACGCATGTAACTTCTTATTATATTTATGAATGTATTTTGGGCCAGTGGCCTATTACTGAATAAAAATGTCTGTCTGTCTGTCTGTCTGTCTGTCTGTCTATTGTATGTTTCATCATAATTTTTCCATAACCTGTGATGTGCGTGTCACATGCCCGATAAAGTGAAGGATTGGCGTAACTTTAAACTCCCGGACCTAAGCTCGCAGTAAGACACCGCCTATTAAGTGATATGCTTTTAACAATCAGCTGACTCATTGAAGTGTGCATCGTTACCACGTTTGTAAATTGACATTGGAGGATACCATTGAGAGACATCCGTGGGCTGGAAGACCAAGTGTAACACGTGACCGAAATATGTAGACAGGAAATCACATTCTTCCTACACAGTTTAATTTATTGTTAAAGAAATGTACGCAAACAAATAAATGCTGAACTGTACACCGTGTATTGTGTTAAAGCAGGGCTGAAATTAAGCGTTTGATGGATGCCTTTAAAAACTAAAGAAAACAGTAGTGCTCATTTGTCAATAAGGAATGTGCGTACCATACTTGACAAGAAATACAGGAATACATGTGTGAAAGCCTCTTCTTTCACATATTCACGGAACTCGGGGTATATAAGCATATATCATCGACGTGAATTAACAACGATTATTAAAATGACAGTAACACAGTGAATATCTGTGTAGGTGCCTACTGACAACCGTCTAAACAATGGAAGTCGTTGCATCCTGGTAACCGCATGGGGTTTTGAGATGTTACTTCCTTCTGTTATTTCATTGGTTTGTGTATTAGCTATAGATAAGCATCGGACTGTTGCGTGTGAACTGCAGCGTGTTTCAGTTCCTAAGGGCTGAGTCATTACATCCTGGTGCTAATCACAAGGTGAATGTGTTAAATGTTATCTGCATGGTAAAAAAGTTATTCTTACCATAATGGATTCAAAACACTAAAACAACACGCTTACTTAATCAAATAAAACTGATCTTAGATAGCCCCTCATTGTAGAGACATCAAATGAATATTTCCCTAAACGTTTTGTCCCTTCCAGTGTAGATAATAAAATTATTGATGTTCGTTTCACCAAGGGAGGTAACACAAGAAGAAGGTATTGAAAAAAACAATGCGATAAATACAAAGTGGTAAATATCATCCTCCTTCTCTGGGAGTCTAGACCAGGCATTCCAGTGATTGATACCAAAAGCAACGCTCTGCTCCAACGGGGTAAGGGGCGGTGGGGTAGCCTAATGGTTAAAGCGTCGGCTCGTCACGCTGACGACCCGGGTTCGAATCCCCACATGGGCACAATGTGTGAAGCCCATTTATGGTGTCCCCCGCCGTGATATTGCTGGAATATTGCAATATTGCTCACTCACTCACTCCAACGGGGTACTATGACCCGCCAACAACCACGTCCGCGAGCCTCACCATCTGGTACATATTTTGGCTTCCCACGACTCGGTAAGGCTCCTGTGGACCTTATGTAACTAGTTAATCCCACAAACAGATGTGTATATAATGCAAACACAAACAAAGTTGAGTTCTACACAAGTTTAAATGACGCAACATTCTTTCATGTAAGAGCAGCCTGTAAATGGCCAAGTCTGGACCACACAATCCGATGATTGATATGTAGTAAAATAAAATGTAAAAATGAGATCTACATACACCCCTATAAGCTCCATACCTACCTCACTTTGGCAATCAACAATGAAGGTTTTCAGTGTGCAGTCTGTCAACGATCGAAAGGGACTGCTCAGACTTTCTGGTTGCGTAATGCTATGCTTTCCAACGTCTTATCTCTGAAGACTGCGGTCATAGATTATCTCCCACAGATAATGGGGGGCGCGGGGGGCGAGCTTGGGGGCGCGGTAGGCGAGCTGTCTAAGGCGCCAGGCTAGTAATCCAGCGAGCTTGGAGGTGCCGGGATCGAGCCCAGCTGTGACGGGGTATAAACAACCTTGTACTCAAATTTGTGTGCAGACTCTTTCAGTGTTGTCACAACCCCTAGTGTACAGTACACAACCCTGTGCACTTAAAAGAACCCACGAATCCGTTGGTAGATGACCAGATGGTGGCCACATGAATATGTATGTGTATGTATGTAGATAGGAACTTGTGGTGCGGGCTCGGCAGCTATTGTCATGTGATAGAAGACGAATAATTGGAATGTAAATTAATAGTGTGCTACCGACTGCTGCCAACGGGAATGGTATTTCATTGGCCTTTGAACATGTCTCGAGATATGCAAAGTGAGTTTATCATCCAAAACTGTGAGATATTGCTTGTGTGAGATCATACGATATATCCTAGGAGTTATTGTGTTGACAGTAGGTTTTGTACAATGCCCTGACAATGATATGACGTCATGAACTTGATAATGTCACAATGGTTTGACATCACTGCATTGCAAGTCTAATGATAGTGCTGTGTACAGAGATGCACATTTTTCATTGAAAACTAATGAAGAGTGATTTTTTATGATAAATAGAATCTCATCCTCTTGTCTACTGATATCAATTATATCAACACTCGTTGATAAAAGTAAAAATATCCTCGGCAAGCCTCGGATATTTGTAAATTTATCAACTCGTTTTGATATAATTGATATCAGTAGACACTTTGGTGAGATTCTCTATTTAACATACTTGTGCAATTATACTATCTTTGTCATGGGCTACAACTCACATGAAAAGAAACAACACGCAGCAAACACGAAAGTGTACTATCAAGTATCCTTATATTCTCGATGTCACCAGGTTTCAGCAATACGGGTGGTCAGACACCTTGTTATTTCAATACACTGCGTCATTCTCCCTTCGGATTAGCTTCAGGAAAGCATTACCGTTTCTCAGCAACGGTTTGCTCCGCCGCCATCTTTGTATGTTTTGAGTGTTGCAGTAAAACCACTGACTAACGGGATCGGGTGGTCAGGCTCGCTGACTTGGTTGACGCATGTCATCGGTTCCCAGTTGCGCAGATCGATGCTCATACTGTTGATCAATGGATTGTCTGGTCCAGACTCGATTATTTACAGACCGCCGCCATGTACCTGGCATATTGCTGAGTGCATCGTAAAACCTCACTCACTCACTCACTCACTCACAGGCAACACTGTATCAGCTCGGTGATCCTCGAATAAACCTGAAACCTCGTATTTCACTCAATAAAATGGCGCCGCCCGACGTTCCCCGAGTAGTCATATGGACATCACATGTTTGGAGATATTCGCTGATAAATACAGCACCTTTGAATTACCATTTGTGTTTTTAAACCAACTTATATTAGTTGTATGCCTTCTCGTGCCCAACAAAATACAATGGCTTTGTTGTTTGTTTGTTGTTTAACGCTGCACTCAGCAATATTCCAACTATGTAACGGCGGTCTGTAAATAGTTTAGCCAGGACCAGACAATCAAGTTATCAACAACATGAGCATCGACCTATGCAATTTGGATACGATGACATGTTTCAACCAAGTCAGCGAGCCTGACCACCCGATCCTGTTAGTGTTAGTCGCCTTTCACGCCATGCATGCATGGGTTTCTGAAGACCAGTCCGAACCCGGATCTTCACGGGTAATATATAATATCTGGTGTTATCTACGCAATAAACAAATCCGATAATCGTGGTATCACGATTAGATATATTTTTTACAAATGAGTTAGCCAAGCCAAAGCCTCGAATTATGCAGTTTTTATTCTACACTCTCTCAAAAAAGAAACGCAACCCCTATCTAAATATCTGACATCATTTCTAGAATAAAGATGGTGAATGTAAATTAGAATTTTCTTCAAAATACTGTTAATACGTTCCCATCTGATCAGTATAAGCCCCCCAAACGGAACCATTTTCACACATGATGACCTTTGTATCCGTGTTATTTGAGAAAGTGCGAAATTGTCATGTACAAAATGCTAAAAGCCTGTTGCACGTGCAAATCGTTGAAAACACAGTTCATGTAGAGGGTTTTAAAAGCACGCGTAGTTTGTAATTTTTCTCTCATAATTTGCTCTGCAAATCAAGTTCGAAAATGCCCCGTTTGAGTACAGCAAATCGAAATATTGCCATTGGTCGCATTGAGGCCGGGGAAAGCTTTGGAACAGTTGCCCGTCATCTAAACGTACACAAAACAACAATCTCACGACTTTGGAATCGTTACACACAGTTCCATGCAATTGAAGATCGTCCCAGGAGCGGTAGACCTAGGATCACCACACCGGCTCAGGATCGCTTTATTCGACTCAGCCACCTACGTAATCGGCATGCCACACCCACCATCACTGCAACACAGGTGCCAGGTTTGAGGAGAGTATCGGCCCAAACCATCAGGAACCGTTTACATGAGGCAAATTTACGTGCAAGAAGACCAGTTGTTGGGCCCGTCTTGAACGCCAACATCGACGCCAACGTCTCAGGTGGTGTACTAACGTAAGGAGATGGACCCTAAGAAACTGGAGAAGAGTCTGGTTTAGTGACGAGTCTCGTTTTCTTCTTCAACGACGTGACGGTAGACAACGTGTCTATAGACGAGCAAATGAACGTTTTGCACCGAACTGCGTTCGACAGGTCGACAGATTTGGAGGAGAAAGCATCATGGTATGGGGAGCCATGTCTTACAACCAACGGTCAGACTTGGTCATCATTCGTGGCAATTTGACGGCACAACGGTACATTGATGACGTCTTACAGCCACATCTTCTGCCGATAATCGACCAACAGAGGGAGTTGTTTCAACATGACAATGCCCGCCCTCATACAGCGTGCAACAGTGGCATTCCTACAGAATTCAAACGTCAACGTGATGCCGTGGCCCTCCAGATCGCCAGACATCAATCCTGTGGGACCAGCTGGATCGTCGTGTTCGTGCACGTACACCACAACCGCACACGTTGGTTGATCTGGCCGCAGCACTCCAGGAAGAGTGGAGAGCAATCCCCCAGGAAAACATCCGCCGTCTGATTCGTTCTGTTCCGAGGAGGTGCACTGCTGTGATTAGAGCTCGTGGCTCTACAACGAGATACTGAAGACAACGCCCCCTAGCGTAAATTGAGAGTTCGATACTGACCTGCATTAACTGTTACCTTATACCGTGCTGACCTCAGGTTCACCATGTCAAATTTCATGGCATTATCTTTAAAAATACAAATGTAATAACCAGTTAAAATTGATATAAACATTACCAAAAAAAACAGGGGTTGCGTTTCTTTTTTTGAGAGAGTGTAATAGGTCGCAACACACTGGACTAACATTTTCTAACCATTCTGTCTTCAAGCGTATTGTGCGACACACAATATCCCCATACAGTTTTAAAACCATTTTAATTAGCCAAGAGACGTAGAGGAAGTGGGGAAGTCAAGAGGTTAGCTCAGTCTTTTCATATTCCCGGGATTGTTCCTGACATATAGGTACAATATGTGAAGTTGTTCAAGCCTATTGCTCAAGCTTCGCCGTGATATTGCTGGAATGTTGCTAAAAGCGGCGTAAAACTATACTCACTCACTCATCCAATAGACGTAGACAATGCAACACAACAGGTCACGTGACGCTGGTTTATTCGTACAGAGACAGGTGTTAGTGATGACGTCAACATCCGGGCACTCTGTAGGGGTTGTCGCAGGCTTGGACGCGCGCGTTAAAGGCCTCGTATGGGGACAGGTCCTCACGAAGCCAAGCTGCATGAAGCACTGGTAGTACTTGGAGCAGCTGTAGGGGTCAGTGTAGAGGCCGTTGGCACGACCTTGACAGAAGTCGTCAATGTTTGTGGCTGAAGCTGAAGATGAGAGGTTAGTAAGGGTTAGAAGCGTTAGCAGCAGTTAGTAGGAGTTAAATGACACACAACGACATTCAAAGCCCCAGTATGGTTAGGGTGAACATAGCATTAATACATCAATTGAACATTAATTCACTTAACTAACGCCGTACGTGTGCAACTTGTGCTGGTCAAGGCTTCTGTCCAGTCTGTCAGAAGATTCCATGCCGCATTTCGAACCTACCTATACATTCACCATACATAATACTCACCAAGCTCGTCCTTGCACCAGGCGGGTTTCCATACTTCGAAACAAGCGCAATGCATGTACTACACCACGTCGCTTATGTGGAACTTGCTTATCAATATGATTTATGTGATTCCTCTCCAGAGTTTCGCATGCTACGTGTACAATATGAATGCTTGAGTATGAGCTGATAGTTTACATACACCTACAGCCGATAAATACAGCTGAAGTATTACTCACGGTTCCACTGTGTGGTAGTGCCGATGTTGCCCGGGACGTTGGCCGCACGGTCGCAGTATTTGGTCTGAGGGTTGAAGCGGAGGCCTACGGCGCAGGTAACACGGAAGAACTTGCCATTGGCACAGATGAAGTACTCCGTGCCGCTAAACGGACTTGGGTAGAAGTCGCTGACGCGACCATAGCAGAAGAAGTCCTGGAAAACTGGAACCATGAGGCATTGTGCATGACGTTACAGTCAAAACACGACACCGAGGTGTTTCATTTTCAATAGACACGTGAAGATCCGGGTTAGAATTGTTATTCCAATGCTTGTCGTATCAGGCGACTAATGGGATCGCATGGTCAGGGTGACCGATGCAATCGTATCCAAACTGTGCAGACAAAATAATCCAATGATCAACAGCATGAGCATCGATCTACACAACTGGGATATGATACAATATGTCAACCAAGTCAGCGAGCCTGACCACCCGATCCCGTTAGTCTAATCTTACGACAAGCATGGGTTGCTGAAGACAAATTCTAATCCGGATCTTCACGGGCGAAACTGTAAGAGCATCACTATCCTGTTGATTCAGCATACCTCACAAAACAAATGGTTAATTGTAAAGTGTACAAACCGTTTGTAAACTGAGAATCGATGACTGTCTTAAGCAGAGACTTTTTATACCGTCGGTGCTTTAAAGCGTACTAATGGTCCCATAACTGCTACTCACTGTTAACGAGGCGGTGTAGTTGGTTCTTCACGACGACCGGCTGAATGTTGACAGAACCGTAGTTAATATCCAGGTGCCTGGGGGTTGGCAGGTGTAGTGTAATTAAACACGGACATTAGGGCCGACGGTTTATTTCACTGATATTAATGCTGGTTTGTTTGTTAATGTGGCACTCTGTGATATTCCAGCTACACAACCCAGTGATAAACAGCATGAGCATCGATACTAGGAGCATCTACAAATTGGGATACGATGACTAGTGTCAACCAAATCATCTAGCAGGCCCACCCGATCCCGTTAGTCGCCTCTTACGTCAAGGAGGAGTTCCCGGTTATGATACATACAGGAATTTAAAAGGGTTTAACTGTTAACTGGTACGGTAGGTTGAAATGAAAACGAACCTGACTGCACTGATTTCATCTTTTGAATAGTCCTCGATACGTTTCTGTACTATGGAACGTTGTCGCGTTGTCGCATTGTCACCCTCTCAAAAACAAGCAAAAAGAGGCAAAAAGCGCGACAATGCGACAAGGCGACATTTCGGCCATTTGTCGCATTGTCGCGATGTCGCATGTCGCGTTTTGAATAATATTTTTCTATTCATCCAAAGGATGACAATGCGACATAGCGACACTTTTCAAGGTCAAAATATGTGGCGTTGTCGCCCCATCTAAGAAATGTTAAAAAAGCCTAAAAATGCGCGACAATGTCCCTTCTAGGATTCCATACTGTACTGTTTCTGTTTTCAAGTTCAGAAAAAAAGGTTTTCATTTAAGCATTTCTGTGGAAGCAAAATATAATAATTTTATTTGTTTTAGTTACTCTCCAAAAACATCGTACAGTCAGAGACACACAGAAACATCTTACCCTTTCCACGTGTAACGTCAGCGGTACCATAAAATCAGAAATTAAATGAAAGGCCTCACTGTGAATTTCAGCGGGTTATCATTGTAATAAAAATGATAATCCATCATTCATTGTCCATATCCAGGAAGAAAACAAAACAACATCTGCACAGCGACTTGCATTCTCTAAGATGTCGCCGCCACCCATGTTCTCAGCGCCATTTCAATGACAATAAATTGCTTTTGGTTTAAATGACCTTCAACTATATTATCAATTTATAATTGAGATACCAAATAACTACTCAGATTGTTCTTCAAAACAAATCTTAACTCTTACGTTCTTGATCCTACACAATAAGTTCTGTCTGGGCTGACGAGTTCGTCCACGATAGCGTGGAGTAGGGGATAGGGGCCTTGGAAGCAGGCAGACCCCGAGAAGTCATCTAAGTCCAGGGTCCACACCATCACACCTCCAAAGCCATTCGACTTGATGTAGCACACCTGTAGCAAGAACATAAAAGTAACTATAGAACGTTAGTGGGAACGTTCTGACTCGGACTGTCATGATTGCCCATCCTCTTCACCCTGCACCCAACATGTGTTCACCTTCTGACGGAGAATCAGTTTGACGTCATTGTCCACCCTCTTCACCCTGCACCCAACATGTGTTCACCTTCTGGGAGAGAATCAGTTTGACGTCGTTGCCCATCCTCTTCACCCTGCACCCAACATGTGTTCACCTTCTGGGAGAGAATCAGTTTGACGTCGTTGCCCACCCTCTTCACCCTGCACTCAACATGTGTTCACCTTCTGACGGAGATTCAGTTTGACGTCACTGCCCACCCTCTTCACCCTGCACCCAACATGTGTTCACCTTCTGGGAGAGACTCAGTTTGACGTCACTGCCCACCCTCTTCACCCTGCACCCAACATGTGTTCACCTTCTGACGGAGAATCAGTTTGACGTCGTTGTCCACCCTCTTCACCCTGCACCCAACATGTGTTCACCTTCTGTGTTCACCTTTCTGAGAGATTCAGTTTGACGTCACTGCCCACCCTCTTCACCCTGCACCCAACATGTGTTCACCTTCTGACGGAGAATCAGTTTGACGTCGTTGTCCACCCTCTTCACCCTGCACCCAACATGTGTTCACCTTCTGGGAGAGATTCAGTTTGACGTCACTGCCCACGTGCCCCCTCTTCACCCTGCACCCAACATGTGTTCACCTTCTGACGGAGAATCAGTTTGACGTCGTTGTCCACCCTCTTCACCCTGCACCCAACATGTGTTCACCTTCTGGGAGAGACTCAGTTTGACGTCACTGCCCACCCTCTTCACCCTGCACCCAACATGTGTTCACCTTCTGACGGAGAATCAGTTTGACGTCGTTGTCCACCCTCTTCACCCTGCACCCAACATGTGTTCACCTTCTGGGAGAGACTCAGTTTGACGTCGTTGCCCACCCTCTTCACCCTGCACTCAACATGTGTTCACCTTCTGACGGAGATTCAGTTTGACGTCACTGCCCACCCCTGCACCCAACATGTGTTCACCTTCTGGGAGAGACTCAGTTTGACGTCTTCACCCTCTTCACCCTGCACCCAACATGTGTTCACCTTCTTCTGGACGTCGTTGACCTCTTCTTCACCCTGCACCCAACATGTGTTCACCGTCTGGGAGAGATTCAGTTTGACGTCACTGCCCACCCTCTTCACCCCTGCACCCAACATGTGTTCACCTTCTGACGGAGAATCAGTTTGACGCCCACCCTCGTTGTCCACCCTCTTCACCCTGCACCCAACATGTGTTCACCTTCTGGGAGAGATTCAGTTTGACGTCACTGCCCACCCTCTTCACCCTGCACCCAACATGTGTTCACCTTCTGACGGAGAATCAGTTTGACGTCGTTGTCCACCCTCTTCACCCTGCACCCAACATGTGTTCACCTTCTGGGAGAAACTCAGTTTGACGTCACTGCCCACCCTCTTCACCCTGCACTCAACATGTGTTCACCTTCTGACGGAGATTCAGTTTGACGTCATTGTCCACCCTCTTCACCCTGCACCCAACATGTGTTCACCTTCTGGGAGAGATTCAGTTTGACGTCACTGCCCACCCTCTTCACCCTGCACCCAACATGTGTTCACCTTCTGACGGAGAATCAGTTTGACGCTATTGTCCACCCTCTTCACCCTGCACCCAATATGTGTTCACCTTCTGACGGAGACTCTGTTTGATGTCACTGCCCACCCTCTTCACCCTGCACCCAATATGTGTTCACCTTCTGACGGAGACTCAGTTTGACGTCGTTGCCCACCCTCTTCACCCTGCACCCAACATGTGTTCACCTTCTGGGAGAGACTCAGTTTGACGTCGTTGCCCACCCTCTTCACCCTGCACTCAACATGTGTTCACCTTCTGACGGAGATTCAGTTTGACGTCATTGCCCACCCTCTTCACCCTGCACCCAACATGTTCTCCTTCTGACGGAGACTCAGTTTGACATCATTGCCAACCCTCTTCACCCAGCATCCAACATGTGTTCACCTTCTGGGAGAGACTCGGTTTGACGTCATTACCCACCCTCTTCACCCTGCACTCAACATGTGTTCACCTTCTGACGGAGATTCAGTTTGACGTCACTGCCCACCCTCTTCACCCTGCACCCAACATGTTCTCCTTCTGACGGAGACTCAGTTTGACATCATTGCCAACCCTCTTCACCCAGCATCCAACATGTGTTCACCTTCTGGGAGAGACTCGGTTTGACGTCATTACCCACCCTCTTCACCCTGCACCCAACATGTGTTCACCTTGTCACGGAGACTGAGTTTGTCGTCATAGCCCACCCACTGGTCACCCCGGGTAATATAGCGGACGCGCTGTTCGGGGATATCTACAATTGTGCCACCAGTTTGCTCCATTTCACAAATCTGAAACGAGAAAAATTTACACTTCGGTCTTTTCGCACAAGTACCTTAAAACATATTTGATTACTTATAAACTACTTCGGTAGAAAATATACTTTCCAAAATAGAAACGCGTATGCGTTTTGTATTTTTAAAAATCTATGAATTAGCTATTGCATTCAAACAATTGTCAAAATATGTAAGAAAAGTGTTGATAGCATGATTTTTACACAATTGCAAAAAATGTAAAAAATTGACTTTACATGAAAATGTTCTTACAATGATTAAAAAGGCATCGCCACAACGCCACAGAAATCACCTTCCAGTTGAAATTGTGCAATAATTAGCATGCACTGTCTGGCTGTAAAAATCCAGATTACTTTCGGAAATCGGCATTCGTTTTGAAGGAGTTTTAAGGTCAAATCTCTACGCGACGTCATGACGCTGCGACACGCTGCGCCATTGAAAGAATGCACGCTAGAGACTACCAATCTTCATTTGCCAGGCGTCTGAATGTTAGTCTGAGCACGCTATCACGGTTTGCAGCTCGTTACAACCAAACAGGTATAACAAATGATCGTCCCTGTACAGGCAGACCACAAGATCGGTACATCCGGGTACTACATTTGCGTGATCGTACTGCCACGGCTGAGAGCACGGCAGCCAGGGTGCCTGGACTTCGGAGGATACCCGGGTAAACTGTACGGAACAGGTTGAGAGAGACTGGACTGAGAGTCAGGAGACCCGACGTCGGGACCGTGCTACGTCGTCACCATCGCGCTCAACCTCTCCGTCATCTACAATTATCCACTTGTATAGACATTTCCTTCTTCTAACCTAATGTAAAAATTCATGTACTAAAGTCTATTTGTGGGCGAGTTATACATGTTTGAAACAACAACATTTTCGCAACAGATTTCTTGGTTATGCGTTTCTTTTTTAAATAGTATAGATGAAATATAAACAGTTTTTCAAACATCATGATCCAAGAGCCTGAACGTTTGGTTGTCACAGGTATTGAAATATTTGAAAGTCGAAAAGAAACTTTACCACATAAAATGAAATTGGGAATATTATATAAAGCACAAGATCAAACTAAATCAGTGTAGAACATATTGTCCAAACACAACAAATGTCCTGTGCAGAAAGTGATACACGTCCACGGCACTTCTGCTGATAGAAAGGCAACAAACATGTCTCCTGGGCAGCCGACACTACACCAGCAATCCAGTCTAATTAAACTTCATCTCAGTATTATTCGTTACACTGTTATACTGAGTCTAACAAAACCTAGTAGAAGGTCGCGTCAGCGAACCTTTTGGACTGACCAATCAGAACACAGCTTACCAAATCGCGAAAGTTTCATTCGCACATACCGTTTGAACCTTTACCGAAAAAACGATACCGAATGCTATTTTACACTCAATGAGTCAACAGTCGCTGAAAATAGCGTTTTTGTCAATATTCAAGGATGTCATCTTGCGAAAATATAAGCAAATAGTAACCATGTCATTAGAAACCCATAAGCGTTACTTATACTGCACGTCAAATATGCGGATTTTCGTTTGTTGATTGTTGATAGATCAGTGTCAGCGACCAGGGAAGAGAAAATCCCAAAACCGTTTTGTAAGTCCCGCCGAACCCTAACAAGTAGTCGTTGTCTGATTGGTTAAATCCGTTCGGCTGTCTCGCGTTTGATTGGACGGTCATAGGTCGCTCAAAGGTTAGCTGACGCAACCTTCTGCTAGGTTTTGTTAGACTCAGTATAGCAGTGTAACGAATAATACTGAGCTTAAGTTTACTTAGACTGCCAGCAATCAGGATGGGAAAAGGATAAAGGCGGCATGTGATGACGGTCATACACCACAGAAATGCCACGACTGACACCCGAGCGAGTCACTCATATCCACATAGCTGGAACTTTTGGCTGCTCCCAAGTTGCTGTAATTAACCTGAGACAAAGTTACAGACAGACATCAGCCATGTCAAGAACAGGCTGATCCAACTACGCCCAATGAAGACCGGCGTATTTTGCATCTCCGGAATCGATTCTTCACAGTGACGACTGTCTTTGGTTAGTCAGCAGACAGTGGCGAGGCAACTCAGTACAGCTATAGACAAGGCATAGTTGTCAGAGATAGAGATGGGCCAGGGCCGTACATCGATAACAGCGGCTTATGAAAGCTGGGTCTGTCTGATGGAGGAGAGGTAGTCTGTCTCACAGTCCCTGAACCACATTATTTTCCCTACTGCCAAGCTCTCTCTGCTGTGCTAAAGCCCTAAATAAAGCAAGTCTAGATTTCCTCAGGTTCTGAATCTCTGGTCTCCCTAGGGCTCCTTTTCAATTAAAATGGGCTTGTTTGTTACTATCAAAATTACATATATTCAGAGACTAAGCATTAGTCTAGAGGAGAGGGTGTATGCCGTCGAAGATGAAAACGAACGGCGGCCTGTTACTTTCAGAAAGTCGTGGAGACAGAGGAGGTGTTTTGGTGTGGGGAGGATTTTTAGGCATCGTTTACAGAAAGCGTTACAGGTCAGGGTTACATTTATGACACACTCCCTCTAATCATTCTGCCATATCTACAACAGCTGACATGTGGTGTCCTTTAAAAAACATGACAATGCCAGATCCTATATTGCCAAAATGTACAGAACATCCTTGCAGACAACGACGTCGACGTGTTGACGTTTCCTTCACGCTTACCAGACAAGTTCCCAACAGAACACCTCTGAGACGTCATGGGTCGTCCAAATCCTCCATTCAATCCACAAAGTATTAATCCAGGTGTTCCAAGAAGACGAGCTGCGAATCCCATGTTACGTTATCAGACGACGACGCTTTGGTGTCTCACACGCACACGCACACGCACGCACACGACACAGACACAGACACACAGACAGACAGACAGACACAGACACACATACATACTTACATATCATACATACATAAATACATACATACACATACAAACATACATACATCCATGGATACATAGATGCGTGCATACATACATACATACATACATACATACATACATACATACATACATACATACATACATACATACATACATACATACATACATACATACATACATACATACACACACACACACACACACACATACATACATACACACATACGTACATACATACACACACACACATACGTACATACATGCATGTATGCACACCCCACACGCACGCACGCACACATACATACAGTTCTATAGCTGCTCAAAGGCGCTTTTTTAGCATGTCTTATAGCAGGGGTAGACATACAAGCTGTGTATGTGACATGTGATCGAACTTTAGCGATTTAACTGCCCATTGTCAACTGCGTTGAAAGCTTGTCTTTGCTACTTTACCTCTACTCGAGAACCTGTCATAATTGCAATATCGGTTCTTTTATAACTGTCATTTTAAATGTTGATTTGGTTGAGCTTTTGATCTCCTTTTATATCCGCTTCTCTCACCTCCTGATAAGAAATGAAGCCCTTCTCGCGTGTGTACGGGCCTGCTGCACCGGGGCCACTGACAGGTGCACCTAGGGTGTTGTCGGCAGTTGACAGGGTAAACGTGCGACCATACAGCGCCAAACCTATGTTTAGTTTCTCTCTGGGTGCGCCCATCTTCACCCAGTATTCAGCTGCCCAATGCTGAAACAGCACATTATTCACAAAATCAAAGGTGAATCATTTACTGTGTCCTCGTCTTATCTTGGACACGTGGGTAGACCAAGGGTGATAGTTCTAGCGATACACAACTTCTTATATATGTGTACCTATCCACCAGTACAAATGTGATGTTGGATTAGAGTGTACCCATCTACCAGGTGTATAACTGTGATACAGCACAGGTTTAGAGTGCATCCATCTACCTAGTGTATAACTGTGATACAGTACAGGGTTAGAGTGCATCCATCTACCAGGAGTATAACTGTGATACAGTACAGGGTTAGAGTGCATCCATCTACCAGGTGTATAACTGTGATACAATACAGGGTTAGAGTGCATCCATCTACCAGGTGTATAACTGTGATACAGTACAGGGTTAGAGTGCATCCATCTACCAGGTGTATAACTGTGATACAGCACAGGTTTAGAGTGCATCCATCTACCAGGTGTATAACTGTGATACAGTACAGGTACATAATCTTAGAGTACAGGGTTAGAGTGCATCCATCTACCTAGTGTATAACTGTGATACAGTACAGGGTTAGAGTGCATCCATCTACCAGGTGTATAACTGTGATACAGTACAGGGTTAGAGTGCATCCATCTACCAGGTGTATAACTGTGATACAGCACAGGGTTTAGAGTGCATCCATCTACCAGGTGTATAACTGTGATACAGTACAGGGTTAGAGTGCATCCATCTACCAGGTGTATAACTGTGATACAGTACAGGGTTAGAGTGCATCCATCTACCAGGTGTATAACTGTGATACAGTACAGGGTTAGAGTGCATCCATCTACCCATCTACCAGGGTTAGAGTGCATCCATCTATGTATAACTGTGATACAGTACAGGGTTAGAGTGCATCCATCTACCAGGTGTATAACTGTGATACAGTACAGGGTTAGAGTGCATCCATCTACCAGGTGTATAACTGTGATACAGTACAGGGTTAGAGTGCATCCATCTACCAGGTGTATAACTGTGATACAGTACAGGGTTAGAGTGCATCCATCTACCAGGTGTATAACTGTGATGCAGTACAGGGTTAGAGTGCATCCATCTACCAGGTGTATAACTGTGATACAGTACAGGGTTAGAGTGCATCCATCTACCAGGTGTATAACTGTGATACAGTACAGGGTTAGAGTGCATCCATCTACCTAGTGTATAACTGTGATGCAGTACAGGGTTAGAGTGCATCCATCTACCAGGTGTATAACTGTGATACAGTACAGGGTTAGAGTGCATCCATCTACCTAGTGTATAACTGTGATACAGTACAGGGTTAGAGTGCATCCATCTACCAGTATAACTTGTATAACTGTGATACAGTACAGGGTTAGAGTGCATCCATCTACCAGGTGTATAACTGTGATACAGTACAGGGTTAGAGTGCATCCATCTACCAGTGTATAACTGCCATACATACAGTACAGGGTTAGAGTGCATCCATCTACCAGGTGTATAACTGTGATACAGTACAGGGTTAGAGTGCATCCATCTACCAGGTGTATAACTGTGATACAGTACAGGGTTAGAGTGCATCCATCTACCAGGTGTATAACTGTGATACATCTACAGGGTTAGAGTGCATCCATCTACCAGGTGTATAACTGTGATACAGTACAGGGTTAGAGTGCATCCATCTACCAGGTGTATAACTGTGATACAGCACAGGTTTAGAGTGCACCCATCTACCAGGTGTATAACTGTGATACAGCACAGGTTTAGAAAGCATCCATCTACCAGGAGTATAACTGTGATACAGTACAGGGTTAGAGTGCATCCATCTACCTTATGTATAACTGTGATACAATACAGGGTTAGAGTGCATCCATCTACCAGGTGTATAACTGTGATACAGTACAGGGTTAGAGTGCATCCATCTACCAGGTGTATAACTGTGATACAGTACAGGGTTAGAGTGCATCCATCTACCAGGAGTATAACTGTGATACAGTACAGGGTTAGAGTGCATCCATCTACCAGGTGTATAACTGTGATGCAGTACAGGGTTAGAGTGCATCCATCTACCAGGTGTATAACTGTGATACAGTACAGGGTTAGAGTGCATCCATCTACCAGGTGTATAACTGTGATACAGTACAGGGTTAGAGTGCATCCCACCAGTACAGGGTTAGAGTATAACTCTGATACAGTACAGGTATTAGTACAGTGTTAGATCCATCTACCTGTGTGATACAGTACAGGTTAGAGTGCACCCATCTACCAGTTGTATAAGTACAGGGTTAGAGTGCATCCATCTACCAGGTGTATAACTGTGATACAGTACAGGGTTAGAGTGCATCCATCTACTGTGATACAGTGTATAACTGTGATACAGTACAGGGTTAGAGTGCATCCATCTACCAGGTGTATAACTGTGATACAGTACAGGGTTAGAGTGCATCCATCTACCAGGTGTATAACTGTGATACAGTACAGGGTTAGAGTGCATCCATCTACCAGGTGTATAATCTGTGATACAGTACAGGGTTAGAGTGCATCCATCTACCAGGTGTATAACTGTGATACAGTACAGGGTTAGAGTGCACCCATCACAGGTGCATCCATAACTACAGTGATGATACAGTACAGGGTATAACTGTGATTAGAGTGCACCCATCTACCAGGTGTATAACTGTGATACAGTACAGGGTTAGAGTGCATCCATCTACCAGGTGTATAACTGTGATACAGTACAGGGTTAGAGTGCACCCATCTACCTAGTGTATAACTGTGATACAGTACAGGGTTAGAGTGCACCCATCTACCAGGTGTATAACTGTGATACAGTACAGGGTTAGAGTGCATCCATCTACCAGTTGTATAACTGTGATACAGTACAGGGTTAGAGTGCACTGTGATACAGTACCATCTGCCAGTTGTATATCTGTGATACAGTACAGGGTTAGAGTGCATCCATCTACAAGGAGTATAATCTGTGATACAGTACAGGGTTAGAGTGCACCCATCTACCAGGTGTATAACTGTGATACAGTACAGGGTTAGAGTGCATCCATCTACCAGGTGTATGTCTGTGATACAGTACAGGGTTAGAGTGCATCCATCCATCTACAAGGCAAGTCCATCTACCAGTTGTATATCTGTGATACAGTACAGGGTTAGAGTGCACCCATCTACCAGGTGTATAACTGTGATACAGTACAGGGTTAGAGTGCATCCATCTACCAGGAGTATAACTGTGATACAGTACAGGGTTAGAGTGCATCCATTAGAGTGCATCCATCTACCAGGTGTATAACTGTGATACAGTACAGGGTTAGAGTGCATCCCATCTACCAGTTGTATAACTGTGATACAGTACAGGGTTAGAGTGCATCCATCTACCAGTTGTATATCTGTGATACAGTACAGGGTTAGAGTGCACCCATCTACCAGGTATATAACTGTGATACAGTACAGGGTTAGAGTGCTCCCATCTACCAGGTGTATAACTGTGATACAGTACAGGGTTAGAGTGCATCCATCTACCAGGTGTATATCTGTGATACAGTACAGGCTTAGAGTGCATCCATCTACAAGGAGTACATCTGTGATACAGTACAGGGTTAGAGTGCACCCATCTACCAGGTGTATAACTGTGATACAGTACAGGGTTAGAATGTACCCATCTACCAGGTGTATAACTGTGATACAGTACATGATTACAGTAATTTCATCTATGCACTAACTGCATAACTACGGTACAATCCAGAAGTACAATAACCTGTTAGGTGTATAACTCTGATACCATAAAGCGTTAGAGTGAACCCGTCTTCTGGTTGTATGTGATATAGCACAAGGCAAGTGTTTACCTACCTGCCAGGTGTATACCTGTGATGTAGAACAGGGGAACAGAGGGGAAGAGTTTGTGTTCGCCTTACGTTTAGCTATCTTTTTGCTACAGGGGGACAGCGTGAATGACACTTAAGCGCACCCACTCACCAGGTTAAGGTTGTGACCGGTGTGGTCTTCCCAGCTGCCGTGCAGGTCATAGGTCATCACACTGATGAAGTCCAAGATCCTATGCAACATCAAAACACAACGTGATACAGAACGAGAATGAAGACTTGCTTGGATCAAGTCAATACAAACAACTTCATTACTTGTCACGTCTTGCCACGTTTGGAGTTAGTGACAACTCTTTTGGAACTGACAATTTTAGGTTCTACCATGGCTGGGTAGGATGAATTTTGAATATTGCACTTTTCATGACAATATGTTTGGTAACAAATCTGTTTGAAATGACTCCCCTTACGTGCTGTTGCCCCAATCGTAACATCTTCGCGTTCATGTGACTTCTACCCCTTACTGTGAAATTTTCGGGATGTCGTATGCAGTGTCAACGATGGATTTTTCCGCCGCCACGGCCGCCGTCAACATCAGTCGGGGTCTACCAGATTGTTGCGCTTCCACAACAAAGGCATCGTGCAATGCCTGAAAACAAGTCGTTTATCGGCTATTTCAAACCGAAGTTAACCTAGAAGGCATATAACATTGCTTTAACATTTCAGTATAAGAAAATAATGCCGAAATGTAAATTGTTTTTCCACATTCATTCAAAATTGGTATCTGGTGTTAATTCAATGTCCAGATTTATACATTACTTCAACGTTCAAACTGAACAAGAAATCGATATCCCTTTAACATTGAAGCACGTCATACATAATGATTCAACATTGAGTCAACATTTCTGTGCCAATGAATCCATTGTCTTTAGATTTCTAGTTTGACAGTGCAAGGCATTGGTTGATTTATGAACACCTCCTTACAAGACCATGTGTCAGGTGAAACAATATAAACTATATTGATTGGTCAGGTTGCCAGTGTCAGATGGACTATGATGGCCTTGTCTCCTGGGTGGAGTCGTCCCCTTATTGGGCAGCGTGGATTGACCACAAGGCGATAAGTAATAACCCCCCAAACCACACCACCAGTGCACATATTTTACAATCTTACCTCACACATAAATGTCGTTTTCTGATTGGCTAAGCACCCTTCTATTATTGCCAGTGTACCCCGCTTGCAAGCGAGTAATATTTTCTTTGTTACCCGCTGGGAATGCCGAACTGTGGGAATTCATTTAGTTAGTATTTTTTTTTATCTCGAATAACTAAGTCACGTATGATGTAAGGAAATTTCCGATGTTTTGCGAATGCAAATCGATTGAAGGGATATAACTCTAAATTTGTTTTTCTTTGTTGTCTGTAGATTTTATGTCATCTGAAAATCTAGTATTGGCTAATTGCCGGGCTCCTTATTATGATCCAATACCCGTGCTTTAAACAGTTCAAAATTGACATTGAGTTGTTCGGTAAGATAAATACGTTGTTCACTGGACCCTCGGGATCCATGGGTTGATGTACCCTTTATTTTTGTTGATGTTCCCCTCGCCCATCGGATGTAGTTAACATAAAGAAACAATGCGGGTACATCAGCCCGTATCTCCCTCGGGATCAGTGAACAAGTTATAATAAACACTCTTTCCATGCCGTGGTAACATTCACAATCGGTTTACATTATGTAATAACTACTGGTTATAAATGACGTTGAGTATGTATTCAGAAAACATCCATATAAACTCACAAATCAGTGGATGAAGTACAACAAGTGGACTATTTGTTTGGCCGTTCATGCGAAGACGGAACCAAGTTTGTAAAATGGTCACAAGACGTACGAGGTCAATCCGTATACCCCGGAATGACACGAGTTATCCCGGGATGACACGAGTTTTCCCGAACGAGATCTATTCTAACCCCGTTCATATGGTACCTTTAGCATCTCGGTATAGTGGTGTTTATCCTCTGGTGGACTGCCTCTGTTTGCCGGATACTCCCAGTCCACATCCACGCCATCGAACTTGTTTTCTCGGATGAATTTGACGACGGAGTCCGCAAACTCCTTCCTCCCTTTTGGAGTGTGAGACATCTGGTGGAACGGCCACGGCCCAAAATTCCATCCCCCGACAGCAAGCAAGGTCTTCATGTTGGGATTGACCGTTTTCAACGCTATGAAACGTTCGAACCTGCATGGTAAATATTAATCTGTTTGAGGACAGGTAAATGGTGCATAGCTGTGATTGAGCTTCCATCAAGGTTTGGCCCTAATAAGAAACATAACTATTGCGAACCGGTACTCGATCGTCAAAATTACAGAATATTTCCCAGTAAACGATGACATTATCCGCCTAAACGGTTACCGTACAAGACGAAAGTTCGATAGGTGTGAAAACTGTAACATGAACTTCTGAAAATCAGTGACGACATCCGTTTTCAGTCATTATTTCAATTTGAAGAACGCTCACATTCCTTTGCTCCACTGTGTTGAGAGATCATTCCATTCAAAGGCTTTGACCTTGTTCCCTAGCAAAATGGCAAAGGCGTATACGTAGTGTGTGCAGAGGTTAGGGTCTACATTCTCCGGTGTGAATTTCCCCTTCCCGGGACGGTACTGTGACCAGTTGGTGTAATAACACACTCTCCTGGGCTCTGAACCTGTAACATGGAGGATGGCATGTATGACAGTTGATGTAGTAACACACTCTCTTGGGCTCTGAACCTGTAACATCGGGGGCGACATGTATGACAATTGGTGTAGTAACACACTCTCCTGGGTTCTGAACCTGTAACATGGAGGATGACATGTATGACAATTGGTGTAGTAACACACTGTCCTGGGTTCTGAACCTGTAACATGGGGGGTGACATGTATGACAGTTGGTGACGTAACACAGTCACCCTCCCCGGCTCTGAACCTGTAACATGGTAGGTGACATGTATGACGGTGTAGTAACATTCTCCTGGGCTCTGAACCTGTAACATGGGGGGTGACATGTATGACGGTGTAGTAACATTCTCCTGGGCTCTGAACCTGTAACATGGTGGGTGACATGTATGACGGTGTAGTAACATTCTCCTGATCTCTGAACCTGTAACATGGTGGGTGATATGTATGACGGTGTAGTAACATTCTCCTGATCTCTGAACCTGTAACATGGTGGGTGATATGTATGACGGTGTAGTAACATTCTCCTGGGCTCTGAACCTGTAACATGGTGGATGACATGTATGACGGTGTAGTAACATTCTCCTGGGCTCTGAACCTGTAACATGGTGGATGACATGTATGACGGTGTAGTAACATTCTCCTGGGCTCTGAACCTGTAACATTGTGGATGACATGTATGACGGTGTAGTAACATTCTCCTGGGCTCTGAACCTGTAACATGGTGGGTGACATGTATGACGGTGTAGTAACATTCTCCTGGGCTCTGAACCTGTAACATGGTGGATGACATGTATGACGGTGTAGTAACATTCTCCTGATCTCTGAACCTTTAACATGAAGGATGACTCCGTGGAGGGAGAACATGTAGGAACACTCAAACCGGAAGTCGTCGCTACTGGTCATCGAGTCCTTGCCCAAGGTCTGTGACTGATTCATCTGCTGTCGCACTGGTTCTCCGAACTTATCCCTTATGTGTTCCATCAGGTTCAGGTCTGGGGAACGGGAAGGCAAATCCATGATGTCATAACTGGGGCGTTGTCATGTTGATGAAATATCAGCCCAGGATCCTATAACTGCATGAATGGCAGAATGACTTGGGTCAAAACTAGATCCCTATAATGTATGTCAGTAAGATTTCCCTGGATCGATTGCGATCGACCGTTGGCACTGAATACTGCCCAAACCATTACGCTGATCATCCCAAGTCGATCATTCTCAGGAACAAAAGACAGCGCCTGACACCCCCCTCTCCTGTCACGCCAGCAGCCTGTCTTCTGGATAGCGCAATGGACTGGTCACTCGTCACTAATCTGGACTCGTCACTGAAGATTCTCCTGTTCCACTGCCTCAGTTTTACTCTGGCATGTTAGCGGACCCGGCGTAAACGTTGAGCACGATGAGGAGAAGTGCTGTGTATGGTTATCAAACTCGGATACCTGAGATGTGCAGTCGATTCATGATGGTCTGTGCTGGCATTCTGCCTCTGAACAAAGTTCTGTCTGCTCGTTTGAACTGTAGTGATAAATTTTATGTGGAGATAGTGTAACCTCATTAGCACGACAACATATAACGGTGCCTGTCTGATGGGTTCGAAGACTGTGTATTTGTTGTGTAATAACAGTCCATTTCTCGTGCCACTGGTGCAACCCACTGTACAGCATTTAGCCAACCATGCATGTTCATGTTGCTGTTTTGTGAGAAGCCGCATACTCGTTCTTTCATTAAACTTGCAAACTTGCTGCGTTTTCCTGTAAAATGCACATGCGGTCTCTGGGGTGAACACATGCATCATGGTTGTTGTGTTTCACGCTTTTTCCACGCTTTACGACCAAATTTACACCTAGGTCGCCAAGATAATATTGAAACAGGGTACTTGTCATTACCCTCTGCATGGCACAACAAGAAGGAATTACACCCCATCCATCCCCAACCCTTATGGTTATTACTATATTTCTAATTTAGCTTATAATAAAACTTATAAAAGATGATAGTCATTGGTATGATCAAGTGTTCATCAAGTTATCTCACCTTGAACAGCATGCAGAGCCAGGAAGATGACTCCCGCTAGGGGGAGCAGCAACAGGGATGTTCGAGGGATCATCTGGAAGGATGAAAACAAGGAATTATGAAGTGACGTGGATTATATACCCAACTGCAGGTCAAAAGAGAAGATATCCTCAGGTAGCGTTGGTCATCGCGTTTTTCCGGTACGTAATTCCTGACAAAGGCCATTTCATCATCACAAGAAATCTTATCTATACACAAAGAACTTAGTTAAGCACCCGCTGACATATCTCACAGATGTTTTTTGTACGTGTTGAAAATCTATTATTGTAAATATACAGGGGTGCGATTCCACACTTGGGTACAATGTGTGAAGCCCATTTCTGGTGTCCCCCACCGTGATATTGCTGGAAAATTGCTAAAGGCGGCATACAACTCAACTCACTCACTCACTGTTGTTGCCTTGTTCAAACAACTTTTGAGCAAAAATCGCATGTCGTTCTTTTCAATCTTTGAAGAGAGAGCATGTACATTTATATCCCCTAAAGGCCCAATCGTAGACACCAAATGCTTGTGTTGCTTGAATATTGCAGGAGGTAAAGGGAGAAGATTGAATGTTGGAACGAGGAGGCCATTCCTCTTGCCATACAGCCCTATATGTTTTGTGACATTGTATTCTTGCTACACGTCGACAGCCTGTACACAATCCGTTCTGAACCAGATAAACCAGTGATTGATAATTCGAGCAAAGGTATATACTCCCGAGCTTCGATTCAATGTACCAAACCATCAAATTTATTAAATCGTCTCTTTTGGCAAGCATATATTTTCTGTTCTAATCTGGATTCAAAATGGGGCGCACGAAGGAATCACTTCGGTGTAAAATGTAATGAGTGTCAGATGTTATTAAAAGTAGAGGTTATGAAAATGAGGATAAAGAAAGAGAGGATAGTGTAAAGCATAAAGTAGATGAAGTCTTCAATGCAATTAGGAAGCCAAAAAGGCCACTTTAATCGCAAGATTCAGGATAAAAGGAGAGAGGATAGTGTAAAGGGGAAGAATTAAATGCAGTAGATGCCAAAGGGTGCCCCTTTTCCTAATACATTGAGTGAGTGAGTTAAACGCCGCTATGAACAGTATTCCCGAAGTCAGGAATGATTGCTAAATGTGAACGGAAACATTCATCAACCACGATGTGATTCAGGTCGAAGAGGTTCACAACCAAACTGAAACATGAGTCTCATTAACCTATTCAGACAATGATGTACTTTTCAACCGATCCGAATTTTCTCGTGTGAAAGTGAAAACAGACATCACAAAGAACTATGGTTACACTGAATTTCAATTTTCTGTTTCTTAAGAAAATGGTATTTACAAATGAATTTTAATTTTAAACTTTAATAAAATCGTATTTCTATATTTTATGGCGAGGTGTAGGCAGCATGACATTAACTAAGACGTCAGACTGCCCCTGTTTGATGAGGTCGTAAAATGATTCACAATTCATCTGGCTCACTGGTTACACCGGTTATGCGGATTTTTTGTGCTTAGTCAGTGTAGTTCTGCAAGGCACAATGTGATTGATATAATATCAAGTCCGTACCAGACCGCCAAACGTTTCTAACGGCAGAGCCTCGTTTTGAGATTTCCGCGATTTCAAGGTTTCTGTTTGTCAGAGCTCGCTGTACGACAGAGCACGCTGCACGACATGTTTGCAAGGATTATAAGGAGCGTAGTGTTGCAATATACAGGTGCTTAGATGTATCAAATAATACTGATAAATATTTATGTATCCTGTTAAATGAACTGGTCTCAAAATTCTGGACTGGTTATTGTACTAAGTTGCGCAATAGGACGGAACCCAGTCAGCAGAAAACGAGACTGTTGTGTAATCAATGTTTTGACTTGGTGGGGGAAGCCCACGAGTATTGGTACGGTGCTGGCAAACCGAGAACCATGAGCGAGGCGAAATGCCGATCAATGTCTAAAAGACGGAACTAATACACAGGACGAATGGGAACTCCGTCCTAATTGCGGAGCCTCTGACGACTGAGTCATTTGCGTATTGCGTATTTAAGGTCTTTCTGTATAAATATATACCGTCATCCAAGCATTCCTTATCATTATTATCATATACGTTTTCTTCCGGCTGCTCCAAATGGAAATGATATTTCAGAAGGCTTTAAAAATGTTTCGATATATGTCTTGGTAGTCCGTCGGTCCGACGATGACGTTTCCTCCTATGTTTGACTTCGTATGCTGTGGGCTCGGAGATGGCTTTGCAGCCCAATCCTCGAGTGGCATATGCGGGGACATTGGAGGCAGGGGAACTGGGGCGGTCTGATCCGTGGTTGAGGCTAGTTTTATTCTTGTTCTTGCTTCGGTGGTGTCTTGTCGTCTTCTCTCCTTCTTCTCTCTTCGATCGTCCCACCCACCGGAGCTAGTTCTTCAGTATCATGTCTTCTTCTTCAGTATCATGGCTTCGATGTCGATGGACGTCGAGATTTGTAGTAGCTCGGTCCTGCCATCGAACGTTCAGAATGAACCTCAGGCTGCACACGTGGAATCGCTCCAGTTGTTTCACATATTTTCAAGTGTAACGAGTTGATTCGAACCCGGGTCTTTGGAGTGACAGTCGACAACCTAACTAATACGCTACTCAAACGTAGTAGATACAGCGACTGGTTTTTCACTAGTCCAAACACCAGAATACAAATATCCAGAATTCCAGAGTTTCTCTAGGGAAATAATTTAAACGCCCAATGCTCATACTTTACTTGAAGTGAACCGTTGTATTGAGTACAAACCACGATAGGGAAACACGACAGTTTAGCTGTACTATCATGGTCGGAGCACGTTTCATGTAAACTACATAATATATCAAGTTTTCCAACGTAATACCAAGTCTAATCATTGTGAAAGCTGTTTTAGTAGCACGGCGTTGATATTACAAATATCACACGTACCTGTCCAATGTATTTCGGTGTCCTTACCTGTTGCCACGCTGCCATAACCAAATACTAAACCGGTCACAGTAAAACACAAGGACAGAATGCATCACCCGGTGCAACCCCTCGCTCGTGTCACCGCACATACGGAATATGTATCCTCTCGCCTCGTTATTCATGTTATGCATACAACCTAATCATATTAAAAACCTTTACAGCGGATATAACAAAATATCATACTGCCAAAAGGTGGATATAACACTGCTATCTCATCGGTGAATCCCATTTGCATAATGACAATATATTTAAGAGATAATGATAAAAAAGGACAATTTCAAATGCTATATTCTATATGTTTTCGTCATAGTTTTTCCCTAACCTGTGATATGCGTGTCATATGCCCGATAAAGTGAAGTATTTGCGTAACCTTAAAACCCGGACCTAAGCTCGCAGTAAGACTCCGCCGACTGAATAATATACTGTGAACATCCAACTGACTCACTGATAATATACACCATGTTGCACTGAGACAAACGGTCGACGCTGATATTTTGCTATTCAGAACAGTCAATCCCTATAAACGTGGTATTGTTGACATATTCACATTATAGTGTGCATCGTTACCGCCATTGTAAATTGACATTGGGAGGATATTGAGACACATCCGTGGGCTGGAAGACCAAGTGTAACACGTGGCCGAAACATTAAACTAGAAATCACATTCTTCACACACACTTAAAAGAAGTGTACGCAAACAAATGAATGCTAAAATGTACACCGTGTAATGTGTTGAAGCAGGGGTGAAATTATGCGTTCATGGCTGCTTTTAACAGTAGTGCTCTTTGCATTTGCTTCTTCGACATATTCACGGAGCTAGGCATATATAAGCATGTATCATCGACGTGAATTGGCAACAATAATTATAATGGCAGTAACACAGTGAATATCTGTGTAGGTGCCTACTGACAATCGTCTAAACAATGTAGAGACATCAAATGGACATTTCCCTAAACTTGTTTTGTCCCTTCCAACGTAGACAATATTGATCTTCGTTTCACCAAGGGAAGTAACACAAGAAATAGATATTGAAATATGAGAGTGATGAATACAAAGTGGTAAATGGTAAATACCATCCTCCTTCTCTGGGAGTGTAGACCAGGCATTCCAGTGATTGATAATAATATCAAAAGCAACGTTCTGCTCCAACGGGGTACTATGACCCGCCAACAACCACGTCCGCGATGCTCGGCACCTGATTTCGAGACTTCCCACGACGCGGTAAGGCTGCTGTGGATCTTATTCCCAATGGGTCAGTTCTAAACACGTTTATAGTCTGTTTACAGTGAAAACGTACCGATGAATTTCACCTTAAACACAAAAGTAAATCAAATGAAGTGAAATTAAGATTGCGAATCCTCATAACTTTACCTTCCCAATTGAACCATTAAAATCTCTGAAGTTTATTCAACTTAGGATAAAAGTTGTTTAACAAACGATCTTAGTATCAAATCGCCATTATTGGTTTGTATTACAGGGGGGTATGCACATTAAATGAAACCCCGAGAACAAGAGGAGTTGGTTTCTACGGTAGTCTAAGTTAACGCTCATCACGCACGGCACGTGCATTTGTTTCACTGTTCCAACTACTGCGCGTAATACAAACCAATAATAGCGATTTGAAACTATGATCATTTGTTAAACAACTTTCATCCTAAGTTGAATAAAATTCTGAGATTTAAATGTTCAGTTGGCAAGGTAAAAGTATATATACTATAGACGATGCAGGACTAGTCCATATAACAGCAGCCTGTAAATGACTGGGTACCTCACAATCCGAGGATTGATGGATATCAAAATACGAATCGGATGTAAGAATCAAATCCACAGACACCCATTTAGGGCACATACCTACCTCGCCTTGACAATCAACAATGAACTTTTTCAGAGTGCAGTCTGTCAACGATGGAGAGGGACTGGTCAGACTTTCTGGCTGCGTATGCTTATATGCTTTCCAACGTCTTATCTTTGAAGATTGTCTCCCGGTCATAGATTGTCTCCCACAGATAAGGACTTGTGGTGCGGGCTCGGCAGTTACTGTAATGTGATAGAAGACGAATAATCGGAATGTAAATTAATAGTGTGCTTCCGGCTGCTCCAAATGGAATTGATATTTCAGAAGACTTTGAAAATGTTTCGATATATGTCTTGGTTGTCCGTCGGTCCGACGATGACGTTTCCTCCTATGTTTGACTTCGTATGCTGTAGGCTCGGAGATGGCTTTGCAGCCCAATCCTCGAGTGGCATATGCGGGGACATTGGAGGCAGGGGAACTGGGGCGGTCTGATCCGTGGTTGAGGCTAGTTTTATTCTTGTTCTTGCTTCGGTGGTGTCTTGTCGTCTTCTCTCCTTCTCTCTTCGATCGTCCCACCCACCGGAGCTAGTTCTTCAGTATCATGTCTTCTTCTTCATTATCATGGCTTCGATGTCGATGGACGTCGAGATTTGTAGTAGCTAGGTCCTGCCATCGAACGTTCAGAATGAACCTCAGGCTGCACACGTGGAATCGCTCCAGTTGTTTGAGGTGTCATTTGTACACGGTCCATGACTCACACCCGTAGAGGAGGCTGGTGAGAACCACGGTCCTGTATACCTTCAGCTGGGTGGACAGCTTGATGTTGTGCTGTTTCAGGACACGTGCACGCAGACGACCGAGTGCTTGGCTTGCCTTGCCGATCTTGGAGCTGATGTCTTTGTCCAGGCTTCTGTCTGTACTGCCAAGGTGTTTAAAGTCGTCCACAGTGTTCAAATGAGTTCGCTTGGTGGAAATGGCGAGAGGGTGCAGGCGAGTGTTGTCTGGAACAGGACTTCGTTCTTGCCGAGTCTGATGGTGAGGCCAAAGAGACGGGAGGCTTCAGCAAACTTGCTCACAATTAGTTGGAGGTCGGACTTCTTATGGGCCATGAGGGCACAGCCATCGGCAAACAGCGCTGCTAGGATGAGTTTTTCCACAGTTTTTGTCTTGGCACTGAGCCGGAGGAGGTCGAACATGGATCCATCGAGCCTGTGCCGCGGGTACACTCCAAGGACCAGGTCCCTAACGGACTGGTTGAGTACACAGGCGAAAAACACGTTGAAGAGGACCGGGGCCAACACCCATCCCTGCTTGACGCCGTTGCTGATGTCGAACGGCTCCGACACCTCTCCACCAGAAAGAACCAGAGGCGTGGTGGGCGACCTGGCTAAGGCGCCAGGCTAGTAATTCAGCGAGCTTGAGGTGACGGGATCGAGCCCACTTGTGATCTGGTGTAAAAACCTTGGAGTCAACTTTGTTTCTTTCAGTGTTGTCACAACCCCAAGTGTACAGTACACAATCCTGTGCAATCCGTGAAACTGGCGTATGATATTCACGAATTTGTCATGATGAAAGCCCTTTCGGTTCACTTTGTTTATCAGGTCTATAAAGACCGCATACAAGTTCATGTTCTGCTCGAGGCATTTCTCCTGCACCAGACGGACAGTGAAGATCATGTCGACAGTGATACGGTTCGGCCGGAAACCACCCTAGGTCTCGGGCAGAATAGAAGAGAGATGCCCCAGTGATTGCCGCAGTCAGTCTTGCTGCCCTTCTTCTTGAACAGGGAGACGACCTCAGCATCCCTAAAGTCTTTGGGCAGTTCTTCTTCTTCCCACATGCTGGTGAGGAGGGAGTGGAAGGCTTCTAGAGCCACAGGATCGTCTGACTTCGCTGGGACTCCGTCCATACCAGAGCTTTGCCCGAGCTGGTCAGTCCAATTGCCTTCAAGACTTCGTCCTATGTAGGGGGAGGTTGAGGTAGTGGACAGTGGATTTTTGTGGGATCAGGTCAAGGGCAATGAGGGTCGACAGTGGAGGGCCTGTTAAGTAGGGCGCTGAAGTGCTCTCTCCATCGCGAATTGCTCTTCTCCTTCAGGAAAGTTGAGCCGTCTGCAGACAGGAGTGGGGTCCATATACTTCCTTGATGGCCCTGAAGAACATCTTGGACTTCTGCGAGTCAGTGTATCTCTGGACTTCGTCTGCCTCCTTCTCCCACCACTCGTCCTGCACCTTACGCAGCGCTTGGGCCCGTATCTGGACGTGCTTGAAGCGGCCACGCTTCGAGATGGAGGAGGTGTCATTCTGCCACTCAAGTAAAGCCTTCTGTTTGTCGTCTCATCAGACCAGAATATCAATGTGAACCGAGATATGTAAAGTGAACTTAACATACTTCTGCAATTACACCACACCTTTGTCATGGGCTACTTGTCACATGGGGATGGTGGGATAGCCTAGTGGTTAAGCGTTCTCTCGTCACGCCAAGAAGCCGGGTTCGATTCCCCACATGGGTTGCGTTCGGCATTAATGGGTACAACAAGGACTGGTCGGCTCGGAGTCAGTATAATGTGTCTGAGTGGGGTATTCATGCTTCACTGCGGCATGGTATCTCAGTGGGCTAGCACTATAAAATCAGCTTGAGTCTGGGCTAGTACAAGCAGCCGCACATACACATACACACGCATGCACGTCGTCATATGAGCGTAATGTTCTCAAGCACGACGTTAAACCCAATTTCACCTCACCTCACCTGACATAGATGGGTATATATCAGATAAGCATATATCATCGACGTGAATTAACAACAACAATCATAATGGCAGTAACACAATAACAATGTCCCTTATTATTCAAGATTCTGTCCTTTTTGCTACAAAAATAATCTTAATTTAATTGAAGATGAAATACATGTTTTACTTTATTGTAAAGCCTACTTAGATATAAGGAATAAGTTTCTGGGTAAATATTTGAAACATTCTATTTCACAACACAGTTTTATAAACATAATGACTTCAAAAAACATAAATGTTATAAATAATTTGTGCCTATTTTTATATAATGTTGGGAAAATAAGAGATTCTGATGTTTTTATGTAAAACCAGGGAAAATCTACAACATTATATAGTCTCCCTGGTAAAACGCATGTAACTTTTTATTATATTTATGAATGTATTTTGGGCCAGTGGCCTATTACTGAATAAATGTCCGTCTGTCTGTCTGTCTGTCTGTCTGTAACACAATGAATATCTGTGTTGTCTAAACAATGGAAGTCGTTGCATCCTGGTAACCGCATGGGTTTTTGATATGTTACTTCCTGCTGTTATTTCATTGGTTTGTGTATTAGATATAGATAAGCACCGGAATGGCACACGCGACCTACAGCATGTTTCAATCCAAAAAGGTCGAGTCATTACATCCTGGTGCTGATAATAAGGTGAGTGTGTTAAATCTCATCTGCATGCTAAAATGGGTTATCTTTCCCAGAAAGGATTCAAAGTATTAAAACAACACGCCTACCTAATTACATAAAACTGAACTTGGATAACATGTGTCCTTTGTGTCTGTCACTCTCCCAACTCTCTCCAAGTTGCTGGTGGTGACCGCCGCACAGAACAACAACAAATAACCATGTTAGAATTGCTGTTTTGACGGTTCACATCAGTGTGCGAAATAGCCACTGGCCCGTTAGCCCGTGGCTACTAAAAATCCAGTCGGGACAGTAAATCTCCACAGTCACTGACCCGTCTGGCTAGTGAATTTCATGGGGGTCATAGTATTGTAAATATATTAATGATGAAACCCGTGTCTAGATTCACATTTCGGGCTAGTGATCCATTGGACAAAGCATGCTGTGTGTTCCACACGCAAGGACCACCACCTATGGAGATCGATCCTTCGCCAGAGCAGCTCCACGACTCTGGAATGATCTGCCAATAAAACTGAGACTTATAAATAACTTGGCCACTTTTAAAACCAATCTCAAGACCCACCTTTTCTCAAAGACATACGCCTAGACCGAGTGGACCTTGCTGATACATGTGACATGCATCCTCTCAAAGCGCTTTTGAGCAGTTATACTGACTGGATTCTTGCGCTATATAAGTTCTTAGTTGATGATGATGATAGTGCATTATTTTGTGGGCTAGTCACTTTCAGTCATAGCTTCCCGACTGGCTAGCAAAATGTTGAAACTATTTCGCACACTGGTTCACATTCATTTTTCGGAGTACCAAAGTTGACACCTTCTTTCCATTGGAAATATTTGACGGACTATACCTCGCCACTATGGATTCCAATCAAGTTGGCATTGCCTTGACTATTGATATCCCACCTCCATCTCGAGGATTATACCAGCACCTGTCCACATTAGTGGGGTATAATCTCCCGCGTCTGGGTGTAGTTGTAACACGCTACGGCAGGAAGAAGAGGTAGACGAGAATCCGACTCTCTCGCTTGATACCTTCATCTCTTCAACGACCCGTGAAGGTCCGGGTTAGAATGAACCTTCAGTAACCCATGCTTGTCGTAAGAGGCGACTAACGGGATCGGGTGGTCAGGCTCGCTGGCTTGGTTAACACATGTCATCGGTTCCCAATTGCGCAGATCGATGCTCATGCTATTGATCACTGGATTGCCTGGTCCAGATTCGATTATTTACAGACCGCCACCATATAGCTGGAATATTGCTGAGTGTGGCGTAAAACTAAACTCACTCACCCGCTCATCTTTTCAAGTTTCTCAACCAAGACTTGCCACGATTGATGAAACAGAGTTGTGGAGCAGAGTTACGTTCAACTCGTCATGTTCTGTTTCACCAGTGCTACCGCAGACACTTATATCTCTTCTTGACCAGGTTGCTGTTGTACAACACAACCTTAGCGCTAAGGCTAAATTAAGTCCATGTTAAGGTATGGGAGTTACTGTCACCTTAGCGCTAAGATCTCTTTGTACAACGGCACCCTAGTCCGTACGTCCGAAGAGGTCGTCATGAGAACCACTGCACTATTTGGAGGTCTTCATTATTTCACTACCCGTCAGTCACTCACCCGTAAAAGAACCTAATCCTCAAATGTGTGCCCACTGCGTTAACAGTCAAGGGTACTAAGCCTGTCTGCCAGGCACTCACGGCATCAGCCAACTGCAGGGCCAAAACCTCCATACAGTCCCAGCCAAAATACTCGTTTCGCTACTAAACCACCCTTTACGGCGTGTCCGCAAAAAGAGATTGGAACGCCTGTGGTAATGATTTCTCAGATGTGTACTACATTGGTGAAGAACACAAGCTCGGGGATAGTGTTGACAAGCCTAGAAGCATAATCAGGGCTATCTATGACTCGTGCCGAAGATCATATAGGCTTCTGGCGTGCCCAAGGGACGGCAACTCGGTACTGCGGAGCCTCACATGACTGGGCCATTCGTACCTCCTAACAATTGCTTGGAAACATCGATACTCGTGAAAATCCAGGTTAGAATAGATCTTCAGTAACCCCATCCTCGATAATCTCCAGGGTATACGTTACGCTCACTCTCCATTATACCCTGGGAGGTAATAAAACCATCGGGCCAAGCCATGGATGCATCCAGGGTATAGTGGAGAGTGATTGCAACGTACACCCTGGAGATTATCGAGGATGCAGTAACTTTTGCTTGTGGAAATAGCGATTGACAGGATCGGTTGGTCAGACTTGGTTGACACATGTCATCGCACCCCAATTGCGTAGATCGGTGCTCATGATGTTGATCACTGGATTGTCTGGTCCAGACTCGATTAATTGCAGACCGCCACCATTTAGCTGGAATATTGCTGAGTGCGGCGTTAAACAACAAACAAACATACATACAAAACGTCAACATGGCAAGAAGAACTCAAAATTTGTTTCAACATTTATGAAAATATGTTTTTCAAAGTATAGAAAATGATACAAATATTTAATTAGTGTCATTTACATAAAATAAATAATGAAATGTATTAATGTGTTATTTTAGTAACAGCCGGGCACCCGCCATTTATAGTCACACATCTGCATATGTTCGCTGAAGGCTGTTCCGCGAGGGCAAGGCCGGTATATGCCTATTTGGAAGAAACACTCGCAATAGCGCTCACAGTCGAAGGGATCCCGATACAAACCATTGGCACGCCCAAAACACAGCGGATTCCGAAAGAGCAACACTGAAAAATATAAACAATTTACTTTGTTATACCACAGTGTTAATATCTAACCGTTTAGAAAACGACAGTCGCGGGAGATCTCCTATACCGGACCCAAGGAAACGATCTCAGCGCAATGACTGTCGTTAACAAGACTCATTTCTTCGTTTCGGGGTCCAGGTCAATTTAATTTAAAAAATGAGCACTTCCACTCCGAGGTGAGCTCTACCTCCAACTCACCTTATCAGGGGGTGGGGGTGGGGGTGGGGTGGGGGTGGGGTGGTTTTAGCCTGGGAGTTAAAGCGTTAACACGTCACGCCGAAGGCCCGGGTTCGATTCTTCACATGGGCACAATGTGAGAAGCCTATTTTTGGTGTCCCCCGCCGTGCTATTGCTGGAATATTGCTAAAAGCTGCGTAAAACCATACTCACTCACTCTCTCGCCTTATCAGAGCGTTCGTAGATGGCATTGTCACTTTAAATGTGTGTACTTGTAGGACCAAACAGGATTGGTGATTTACATTAACTGGACATATTGTTAGGATGTAGCAGATTAGAAGTAAATTTCACCACACCACGAGAACACTTGGTTTACCAGATATGTGTGTTTTACTCCTTTTATATTAAACCTGTCTTTCATTATCAAGATGTATGCAATACTTGACAGGACAAAAAGGTACCTATATTCTTAGTTTCAAATCAAATCTTTATTTTAATGTAGCTTGGCCACCTTTTCTGTCCCTGGGCTCGTCCAGTTTGTAAGCAACACTGTCATAGTGAACAACACCTTTGGCAAGCATGGATATTGAAGAATCACGGAAGGAGATCATGTTGGGCAAGGCCAAAGTTCGGGTTGGAGATCGAGATAGTCATTGTAAACATTCCTACTACCCCCTGTCCCAAAATTATTCTTACAATCAAAAGAATATTAACGGTTTGGAGTGTGCGTACAATCTGTATAGTACTTCAAAACATACATTAGTTTATTTTATCTGAAATTAATAAAACAGGACAATTAACTTTATTAATACAATTTGTGAGGACATCAAGCGCAAAACTTGAGGTAAAGGTATTCCTGTTCACCCTCAAGATGAAAATAATTATCAGCTGGTACCTGGGTGTCCTTGTACATGCCTTCATGTTCTATCAACTTGTGAGTGTCGGTAGGTTATAACTACGGCAATTCAACCACAAGAAGCAGAAGTACAATTGGTAAAAGTTTCTTGTTGAGAAAATTCATGCCTTCATGTTCTATCAACTTGTGAGTGTCAGTAGGTTATAACTACGGCAATTCTAACCACAATAAGCGGAAGTACATTTGGTAAAAGTTCCTTGTTGAGAAAATTCATGCCTTCATGTTCTATCAACTTGTGAGTGTCGGTAGGTTATAACTACGGCAATTCTAACCACAATAAGCGGAAGTACAATTGGTAAAAGTTCCTTGTTGAGAAGATTCATGCCTTCATGTTCTATCAACTTGTGAGTGTCAGTAGGTTATAACTACGGCAATTCTAACCACAATAAGCGGAAGTACAATTGGTAAAAGTTCCTTGTTGAGAAGATTCATGCCTTCATGTTCTATCAACTTGTGAGTGTCAGTAGGTTATAACTACGGCAATTCAACCACAAGAAGTACAATTGGTAAAAGTTCCTTGTTGAGAAGATTCATGCCTTCATGTTCTATCAACTTGTGAGTGTCAGTAGGTTATAACTACGGCAATTCAACCACAAGAAGTACAATTGGTAAAAGTTCCTTGTTGAGAAGATTCATGCCTTCATGTTCTATCAACTTGTGAGTGTCAGTAGGTTATAACTACGGCAATTCTAACCACAATAAGCGGAAGTACAATTGGTAAAAGTTCCTTGTTGAGAAGATTCATGCCTTCATGTTCTATCAATTTGTGAGTGTCAGTAGGTTATAACTACGGCAATTCTAACCACAAGAAGCGGAAGTACAATTGGTAAAAGTTCCTTGTTACGGAGATTCATGCCTTCATGTTCTACCAACTTGTGAGGGTGAGCGGGTATGCTTTCTCTTGCTCAGCAGTATTTAATATTGCTGTGGTTGTTTCTTTCAATGTTGCTTAACGCTGCAATCAGAAATTTACCCAACTATGTAACGGCGGTCTGTAAAAACTTGAGCCTGGACCAGACAATCAAATGATCAACAACATCTATCTACGCAATTTGCATACGATGACATGTGTCAACCAATTCAGCTTGTCTGACCACCCGATTCTATTAGTCGCCCATTGCCCACCCGGGATCTTCACGGGTAATATATAATGACTGGTGTTATCTATGCAATAAACAAATCCAATAATTGTGGTATCACGTTGAGATATATTTATGCAAATGAGTTAGCCAAGCCAAAGCCTCGCATTGTACAGTTTTTATTCCAATAAGTGTCAACACACTGGTCTACTACTGTTTCTTTCAAGCGTATTGTGCGACACACAATATCTCCATACAGTTTTAAAAACCATTTTAATTAGCCAAGAGACGTAGGGACGTGAGGAAGTCAAGAGGTTCGCTCAGTCTTGTCATATTCCCGGGATTGTTCCTGACATATAGGTACAATATGTGAAGCCTAGGCCTATTGCTCAAGCCTCGCCGTGATATTGCTGGAATGTTGCTAAAAGCGGCGTAAAACTATACTCCCTCTATCATCCAATAGACGTAGACAATGCAACACAACAGGTCACGTGACGCTGGTTTATTAGTACACAGACAGGTGTTAGTGATGACGTCAACATCCGGGCACTCTGTAGGGGTAGTCGCAGGCTTGGACGCGCGCGTTGAACGCCTCGTATGGGGGACAGTTCCTCACGAAGCCAAGCTGCATGAAGCACTGGTAGTACTTGGAGCAGCTGTAGGGGTCAGTGTAGAGGCCGTTGGCACGACCTTGACAGAAGTCGTCAATGTTTGTGGCTGAAGCTGAAGATGAGAGGTTAGTAGGGGTTAGAAGCGTTAGCAGCAGTTAGTAGGAGTTAAATGACACACAGCGACATTCAAAGCCCCAGTATGGTTAGGGTGAACATAGCATTAATACATCAGTTGAGCACTATTTCACTTAACTTACGCCGTACGTGTGAAACTTGTGTCAGAAGTATCAGACTAAGATTTCATGTCGCATTTCGAACCTACATTCCCCATAATATCATACTCACCAAACCAGTCCATTCATCGGGCTGGTTAACTAAAAGTACCATTTCCTAACGTATGACGCGACGAACCACAGACCCCTATCAGGCAGACGCTCTATCCACTGCGCCACAGAGACGGCTACCTGTTCAGGTCTGATCTATGTGATCATAGCTTGTATTTCTTAAGTGCAGCCAGATTTTGATTATTTTCTTTTTAGGGATTTCTCGACCATCATAGCCGGTCACAAGTGTCTAAGAAAACTAGCTTAAAAAATCAAACTAGATTAAGAGATCCAAGAATGGACAAATATAATAGCCCCTAGCATTTGCTATGCAAGTTTTAAGATTAGCCTTGAAGCAGAGAAATAGATTCGATGTGTACATTTGAAACCGAGTTTGCTCGTTGGATGTAAAAGGCTAAATATTGATACCGGGTAGCATCATAAAATCGCAAAGTCTGAAAGAGTATTACATATAGTAGCTTATACAATATCAATGATATGTACCATTTCCCCCTTAAAGAACATTCGAAAGCAATACATGCCAAATAAATTCAGTACAACAATTTATTTGCACAAAGTTAACCATCAACATTTATAATCTGTTACGTTATACTTAAATATACCTTCAAGTGCAGAAACGGATTGCAATGAAATGAAAATCTTTTGTTAGGTTGATCCTATGCTATATCATGCCAATGGCCTTTAAAACAATAGAGAATTGAATTTGAATTTTGAAATGTGTTTCAAATTTTGCTCAAAACCTTTATGAAACTAAAACGGTTGAAATCACCAGATACAAAACAGTATGACCAAAGTGGTAAGTAAACTGTATTCATTGTTGTACACTGATGGTTAAACAATAACAGAAATGACTGTGGTTTAGAATAATTATGCTGATCTGGTACTGTTAATGTTTGAACACCTGAAACTGCGTCGTTAGAAGGATAGTTCAATATTGATGACGGCATGAAGTTAGAATGTGAATACCTAAGGAACCCAAGGAATGTTAGAATGTTAGAGATGATAATGTAATATCCGTGTCTATTATTACATGGAGACCCAAACTAAATGTTACATATACGTGTTAGAGAAGCAAATCATCGTTACTACGTGGTACTGTCTGGCTAGATAGTTTTCGGTGTGTGGATCATGCACCGTGATCAGATAGAACACCGGCAGCTCGATGCAACATGGCTGCTGAACAGAACACCCTGGTTAGATAGTACACGCGGGGGATAGAACATTGTGGTTAGATAATTTACAGTTGGTAGATATGAGACAGTGTTCAGTGGTTAGAGAGTACACTTTGGCTAGATAGTACACATGGCTGGAGAGTACATAGTGGGTGGACAGAACACAAGGGTAGATAACAGTGCGGCAAGATAGTGCACAGTTGGTGGACTGAACACAAAGGGCAGATAACAATGCGGCTAGATAGTACACAGTTGGTGGACTGAACACAAAGGGCAGATAACAATGCTGCTAGATACTACACAGCTGTTGGACTGAACACAAAGGGTAGATATAAGATGGCTAGATACACACAGTTGGTGGACTGAACACAAAGGGAGATAACAGTGCAAAAGGGCTAGATAGATACAGTTGGTGGACTGAACACAAAGGACAGATAACCATGCGGCTAGATACTACACAGTTGGTGGACTGAACACAAAGGGAGATAACAATGCGGCTAGATAGTACACAGTTGGTGGACTGAACACAAAGGGCAGATAACAATGCGGCTAGATACTACACAGTTGGTGGACTGAACACAAAGGGAGATATACACATGCGGCTAGATAGATACACAGTTGGTGGACTGAACACAAAGGGTAGATAACACATGTGGCTAGATAGTACACAGTTGGTGGACTGAACACAAAGGGCAGATAACCATGTGGCTAGATAGCTACACAGTTGGTGGACTGAACACAAAGGGCAGATAACAATGCTGCTAGATAGTACACAGTTGGTGGACTGAACACAAAGGGTAGATAACAATGCGGCTAGATAGTACACAGTTGGTGGACTGAACACAAAGGGAGATAACAATGCGGCTAGATACTACACAGTTGGTGGACTGAACACAAAGGGAGATAACAATGCGGCTAGATACTACACAGTTGGTGGACTGAACACAAAGGGTAGATAACCATGCGGCTAGATAGCACACAGTTGGTGGACTGAACACAAAGGGAGACAACAACAGACTGAACACAAGGGTAGATAAGTTGGCTAGATACTACACAGTTGGTGGACTGAACACAAAGGGTAGATAACAGTGCGGCTAGATACTACACAGTTGGTGGACTGAACACAAAGGGTAGATAACAATGCGGCTAGATAGCACACAGTTGGTGGACTGAACACAAAGGGTAGATAACAATGCGGCTAGATACTACACAGTTGGTGGACTGAACACAAAGGGTAGATAACAATGCGGCTAAAGATACTACACAGCACAGATAACAATGCCACTAGGTGGTACACAGTTGGTGGACTGAACACAAAGGGTAGAGCGGCTAGATACTACACAGTTGGTGGACTGAACACAAAGGGTAGATAACATAGCGGCTAGGACAGACACACAGTGGGGTGGACTAGATACTACACAGTTGGTTGGTGGACTGAACACAAAGAATAACAATGCGGCTAGACAGCTAGATACACAGTTGGTGGACTGAACACAAAGGGTAGATAACAATGCGGCTAGATACTACACAGTTGGTGGACTGAACACAAAGGGTAGATAACAATGCGGCTAGATAGCACACAGTTGGTGGACTGAACACAAAGGGTAGATAACAATGCGGCTAGATACTGAACACAAAGGGTACACAGTGGGTGGACTGGAACACAAAGGGGATAGTAGCTAGATAGCACACAGTTGGTGGACTGAACACAAAGAGGGGTAGATAACAATGCGGCTAGATACTACACAGTTGGTGGACTGAACACAAAGGGTAGATAACAATGCGGCTAGATAGCACACAGTTGGTGGACTGAACACAAAGGGTAGATAACAGTGCGGCTAGATAGTACACAGTTGGTGGAACTGAACACAAAGGGAGATAACAATGCGGCTAGATAGCACACAGTTGGTGGACTGAACACAAAGGGTAGATAAGGGAGTGCGGCTAGATAGATACACAGTTGGTTGACTGAACACAGTTGGTGGACTGAACACAGAGGGTAGATAACAGTGCGGCTAGATAGCACACAGTTGGTGGACTGAACACAAAGGGTAGATAACAATGCGGCTACATAGCACACAGTTGGTGGACTGAACACAAAGGGAGATAACAATGCGGCTACATAGCACACAGTTGGTGGACTGAACACAAAGGGTAGATAACAGTGCGGCTAGATACTACACAGTGGGGGGACTGAACACAAAGGGAGATAACCATGCGACTAGATGCTACACAGTTCGTGGACTGAACACAAAGGGAGATAACAGTGCGGCTAGATAGTACACAGTTGATGGACTGAACACAAAGGGCAGATAACAATGCGGCTAGATACTACACAGTTGGTGGACTGAACACAGAGGGTAGATAACAGTGCGGCTAGATAGTACACAGTTGGTTGACTGAACACAAAGGGTAGATAACCATGTGGCTAGATAGTACACAGTTGGTGGACTGAACACAAAGGGTAGATAACAGTGCGGCTAAATAGTACACAGTTGGTTGACTGAACAGAAAGGGTAGATAAGCACGCCGCTAGATAGTACACAGTTGGTGGACTGAACACAAAGGGTAGATAACCATGCAGCTAGATACTACACAGTTGGTGGACTGAACACAAAGGGTAGATAATGCGGCTAGATACTACACAGTTGGTGGACTGAACACAAAGGGAGATAACAGTGCGGCTAAATAGCACACAGTTGGTGGACTGAACACAAAGGGTAGATAACAGTGCGGCTAGATAGCACACAGTTGGTGGACTGAACACAAAGGGTAGATAACAATGCGGCTAGATACTACACAGTTGGTGGACTGAACACAAAGGGTAGATAAGTGCGGCTAGATACACAGTTGGTGGACTGAACACAAAGGGTAGATAACCATGTGGCTAGATAGCACACAGTTGGTGGACTGAACACAAAGGGTAGATAACAATGCGGCTAGATACTACACAGTTGGTGGACTGAACACAAAGGGTACATAACAGTGCGGATAGATAGCACACAGTTGGTGGACTGAACACAAAGGGTAGATAACAATGTGGCCAGATACTACACAGTTGGTCGACTGAACACAGAGGGTAGATAACGATGTGGCTAGATAGTACACAGTTGGTGGACTGAACACAAAGGGCAGATAACAGTGCGGCTAGATACTTCACAGTTGGTGGACTGAACACAAAGGGTAGATAACCATGTGGCTAGATACTTCACAGTTGGTGGACAGAACACAGAGGGTAGATAACAGTGCGGCTAGATAGTACACGGAAGTGCAGTGAATACGTTGCTTTAAAGGGGGGCGGGGGCGGGGAGATACGAGACATACACGAGATATTTGAGCTGCATGACATGCTTGTATAGTATTACAAAGTATTGATGAATCCGAGTAATTTCTTTTCAGATGCTTTTCTACTGTACCAAGAGAAAGAACCTGGAATTAGCCGCCGTATAGTATTGCTACAGTCTGACAATCATTCATTGGCTGGCAAAACAGAAATGTCTACGTACTCCATCTCCTGAGGATCACCGTCAAACATCGAGTCATCCATACTTCGATACTCGTGGATGGTAATACATCACATCGCTTATGTGGATCCTGCTTGGAACAGCATACATCACTTTAAATAACATGTGACTATGACTTATGTGATTTCTCTCGAGAGTGTACACATACTTGAGTATGATCTGATAGGTCATAGTGTATAAACCTACAGCCGATAAATATAGTCGATAAAATATAGCAGGGCTGGTACTCACGGTTCCAAGTGGTTTGTTTGGGTGTGTACGGCCTCTGCGTGTGTACGGCTTCTGTGTGTAGGGCTTCTGTGTGGTAGGCTTCGGTGTGTAAGGCTTCTGCGTGGTAGGCTTCGGCGTTAAAGGGGCAGGTGTATATGGCTTAGCCGTTACAGGCTTCACAGTTGCCCTCGTTGTGCTGGTAGTCGTTGTGGTTGTAGTTGTAGGTGGTGGAGTTGTAGTGACCTGGGGCCTTTTGCTGATGGCGTGTGTGGTCCACTGTGTGTTGGTGCCGATGTTGCAAGGGACGTTGGCCGCACGGTCGCAGTATTTGGTCTGAGGGTTGAAGCGCAACCCCACGGCACAGTTAACGCGGAAGGACATACCATTGGCACAGATGAAGTACTCCGAGCAGCTGTAAGGACTTTGGTAGAAGTCGCTGACTCGACCATAGCAGGAGAAGTCCTTGCCGGGCTGAATGCGGGGCGGAGCTGGAACAATAGGGCATTACTTACAATCAAAACAGGATTTCACTTTCAGTGAATCTGTGAAGATCCGGGTTAGAATTTGTCTTCCAATGCTTGTCTTAAGAAGCGACTAACGGGATCGGGTGGTCAGGCTCGCTAACTCATTTGACATATGTCACCGTTTCCCAATTGGTTCGTCCAGAAACACCAGTGATCAACAACATTGAGCATCAAACTATAGTTTTGCATGAAATGCATGTGGATCCGGTTTTTTAAATATCTCTTCATCCAATGATCCAGTCGATCTCAAACTGTGCAAGTGGATGTTTTGTCAGACAACCTAATCACATTGTAAATCACCGATTTTATGCATTTGTATTAAAGTATCTGTCTATGTAACTGTCAACAAAATAAACAGCAGAACGCAGACTGCTTGCAGAGGGAGGGAGCCAATGACCTGTAACAGCGGCAGTGTTGGGTCATAAAGGTAAATGCACGTGCAGTTCATGATAGTTACCTATGCACTGCACAGTGATAGACCGTTTGGATCATTCACATTGACTACTTCTAGCTTCTAGAGATATTTACAAAAAACAGGGTCCACATGCATTTCAAGCCAAACTATACGCAACTGGAATACAATACGATGTGTCAACCAAGTCGGCGAGTCTGACCACCCGATCCCGTTAGTCGCCTCTTACGACAAGCATGGGTTGCTGAAGACCAATTCTAACCCGGGTCTACAGGGATGACACTGAAAGATTATCACAATCACGTTGATTAAACATACCTCACAAAACAAATAATTACTTATAAAGTGTACAAACCGCTTGTAAACTCGATGACTGTCTTTAAACAGAGACCTTATATATACCATATAGGTATACCGTCTCTGCTTTAAAGCTTACTAATGGTCCTATAACGGCCACTTACTGTTAACGGGACCGTTGGTGACGGGAGGTTGGTTCGTCACGACGACCGGCGGGGGAGTGTAGGCTTTCGTGGGGGTAGTCACGGGACGCTGGGTGGTGACAGAACCATGGTTAATATCCTGGTGCCTGGGGGTTGGGAGGTTTAGTGTCATTAAACACAGCCAACGGAGATTAGGGCAGACGTTTTATTTCACTAATATTACTGCTGGCTTGTAATATTGTTGTATATTCCAGCTATACAACCCAGTGATCAACGGCATGAGCATCGTTCTACGCAATTAGGATACGCTGGCATGTCCCAACCAAGTCAGCTAGCCTGTGCACCCGATTCCGTTAGTCGCCTCTTACGACAAGGTTGAGTTGCTGAAGACCGGGATCTTCCCGGCTGGTAATGATACATACAGGTGCTTACGAGCGTAAAAGGGTTGAACTTTTAATTGGTACAGTAGGTTGAAATGAAAAAGAAATTGACTGCACTGGTTTCATCTTTTGAATAATCCTGGATTATATCTGCACTGTTTCCGTTTTAAAGTTCAGAAAAAAGTTTTTCATTTCAGCATTTCTGTGGAAGCAAAAATAAATATTTTGATTTGTTTTAGTTACTCTCCTTACGAATCATACAGTCAGAGACATACAGAAGATCTCAACAATAACTACTTAGATTGTTCTTCAAAACAAATCTAAACTCTTACGGTCCTGGTCCTACACAGTTAGTTCTGTCTGGGCTGGCGAGTTCGTCCACGATAGCGTGGAGTAGGGGATAGCGGCCTTGGCCGCAGTCAGACCCCGAGAAGTCATCTAAGTCCAGGGCCCACACCATCACACCTCCAAAACCATTCGTCTTGATGTAGCACACCTGTAGCAGGAATATAAAGATAAATATAGAATGTTAGTGGGAAAGAAGATCTAGCCTTGTCCGTCCTCGGGAACAAATTCTTTTTTTGAGTAAAGGGAAAATAACTGTGTACATTATATGCACCCGCCATTGATTGAATTTGAATACAAATGGACGTCTGTTTTGTCTGACGCTGCACAGCAGTATTCCTACTATAACAGTAACAGGAGGTTCAGCTAGAAGATAACATTAAGTAAGACCGGTTCAGCTAGAAGATAACAGTAAGTAGACCGGTTCAGCTGGAAGATAACAGTAAGACAGGTTCAGCTAGAACATTACGGTAAGTAAGACTGGTTCAGCTAGAAGATAACAGTAAGTAGACCGGTTCAGCTGGAAGATAACAGTAAGACCGGTTCAGCTAGAAGATAACAGTAAGACAGGTTCAGCTAAAAGATTACAGTAAGTAAGACCGGTTCAGCTAGAAGATAACAGTAAGACAGGTTCAGCTAAAAGATTACAGAAGATAACAGTAAGACCGGTTCAGCTAGAAGATAACAGTAAGTAAGACCGGTTCAGCTAGAAGAAAACAGTAAGTAAGACCGGTTCAGCTAGAAGATAACAGTAAGACAGCTTCAGCTAAAAGATTACAGTAAGTAAGACCGGTTCAGCTAGAAGATAACATTAAGTAAGACCGGTTCAGCTAGAAGATAACAGTAAGTAGACCGGTTCAGCTGGAAGATAACAGTAAGACAGCTTCAGCTAAAAGATTACAGTAAGTAAGACCGGTTCAGCTAGAAGATAACAGTAAGTAAGACCGGTTCAGCTAGAAGATAACAGTAAGTAGACCGGTTCAGCTGGAAGATAACAGTAAGACAGGTTCAGCTAGAACATTACGGTAAATAAGACTGGTTCAGCTAGAAGATAACAGTAAGTAAGACCGGTTCAGCTGGAAGATAACAGTAAGACCGGTCAGCTAGAAGATAACAGTAAGACAGGTTCAGCTAAAAGATTACAGTAAGTAAGACCGGTTCAGCTAGAAGATTACAGTAAGTAAGACTGGTTCAACTAGAAGATAACAGTAAGTAAGACCGGTTCAGCTAGAAGAAAACAGTAAGTAAGACCGGTTCAGCTAGAAGATAACAGTAAGACAGGTTCAGCTAAAAGATTACAGTAAGTAAGACCGGTTCAGCTAGAAGATTACAGTAAGACAGGTTCAGCTAAAAGATTACAGCAAGTAAGACCGGTTCAGCTAGAAGATAACAGTAAGTAAGACCGGTTCAGCTAGAAGATAACAGTAAGTAAGAAAGGTTCAGCTAGAAGAAAACAGTAAGTAACACCGGTTCAGCTAGAAGATAACAGTAAGTAAGACCGATTGGCTAGAAGATAACAGTAAGTAAGACTTGTTCAGCTAGAAGAAAACAGTAAGTAAGACCGGTTCAGCTAGAAGATAACAGTAAGACCGGTTCAGCTAGAAGATAACAGTAAGTGAGACCGGTTCAGCTTGAAGATAATAGTAAGTAAGACCAGTTCAGCTAGAACATAAAAGTAAGTATGACAGGTTCAGCTGGAATATAACATTAAGACAGGTTCGGCTAAAAGATAACATTAAGTGAGACCGGTTCAGCTTGAAGATAATAGTAAGTAAGACCGGTTCAGCTAGAACATAAAAGTAAGTAAGACAGGTTCAGCTGGAATATAACATTAAGACAGGTTCAGCTAAAAGATAACATTAAGTGAGACCGGTTCAGCTTGAAGATAATAGTAAGTAAGACCGGTTCAGCTAGAACATAAAAGTAAGTAAGACAGGTTCAGCTGGAATATAACATTAAGGTTCATTGAAGACAGGTTCAGCATTGAAGATAACAGTATGTAAGACCCGTTCAGCTAGAAGATAACAGTAAGTAAGACCGGTTCAGATGGAGGATAACAGTATGTAAGACCGGTTCAGCTAGAAGATAAAAGTAAGTAAGACCGGTTCAGCTAGAAGATAACAGTATGTAAGACCCGTTCAGCTAGAAGATAACAGTAAGTAAGACCGGTTCAGCTAGAAGATAACAGTATGTAAGACCCGTTCAGCTAAGAGATAAAAGTAGGTAAGACCGGTTCAGCTGGAATATAACATCAAGACAGGTTCAGCTAAAAGATAACAGTAAGACAGGTTCAGCTAGAAGATATTAGTAAGTAAGACCGGTTCAGGTAGAAGATAACAGTATGTAAGACCGGTTCAGCTAGAAGATAACAGTAAGTAAGACCGGTTCAGCTAAAAGATAACAGTAAGTGAGACCGGTTCAACATGAAGATAACAGTAAGTGAGACCGGTTCAGCTAGAAGATAACAGTAAGTAAGACCGGTTCAGCTAGAAGATAACAGTAAGTAAGACTGGTTCAGCTAGAAGATAACAGTAAGTGAGACCGGTTCAACATGAAGATAACAGTAATTGAGACCGGTTCAGCTAGAAGATAACAGTAAGTGAGACCGGTTCAACATGAAGATAACAGTAAGTGAGACCGGTTCAGCTAGAAGATAACAGTAAGACAGGTTCAGCTGGAGGATAACAGTAAGTGAGACCGGTTCAGCTAGAATGTAACAGTGAGTATGTCCGGTTCAGGAAGCAAACACCAGTAAGTCAGACGGTAAAATAAGCGAGAGCGGTTCAGCTAGGCGATAGCAGTAAGTTATTCAGCTGGAAAATATTGTCGGAGGCTACTTTCCTTATGTTAAATGTTACCCAGCTCTATTCACGTGAACAGTTGACTAGCCTTCCAAAAGTTCGTGACGGATGCCACTGGTGGGGCAGGTTGCATTCACCTGTTCGCGAACGCCTTCAATCGTCAGTTTTCGAGAGTGACTTGCTTATGATAAGTTTGGATTTCTACAGGTGACCTTTGTGGCTATATCAGCCGGAGACATAAACGCTCGCACATGCATGTGAGTGTTCCCTTCTGACACGGCCATTGTCAACCCTGTTCACCCTGCTCCCAAGATGTGTTCACCTTCTGACGGAGACTCAGTTTGACGTCACTGCCCACCCTCTTCACCCTGCACCCAACATGTGTTCACCTTCTGGCGGAGACTCAGTTTGACGTCATTGTCCACCCTCTTCACCCTGCACCCAACATGTGTTCACCTTCTGACGGAGACTCAGTTTGACGTCGTTGCCCACCCTCTTCACCCTGCTCCAAACATGTGTTCACCTTCTGACCGAGACTCAGTTTGACGTCATTGCCCACCCTCTTCACCCTGCTCCAAACATGTGTTCACCTTCTGACCGAGACTCAGTTTGACATCATTGCTAATACCTCTTCGCCCTGCTCCAAACCTGTGTTCACCTTCTGGGACAACTCACTTTGACGCCATTGCCCACCCACTTTACGATGCATCCAACAAGTGCTTTTACCTTCTGACAGACACTCACTTTGATGCCATTGTCCACCCTCCTAACATGTGTTCACCTTCTGGGAGAGACACAGTTTCACGTCATTTACCCACCCTCTTCACACCTGCACCCAAACATGTGTTCACCTTCTGACGGTGACTCAGTTTGACGTCGTTGCCCACCCTCTTCACCCTGCACCCAACATGTGTTCACCTTCTGGGAGAGACTCAGTTTGTCGTCATGCACCCAACATGTGTTCACCTTCTGACGGAGACTCAGTTTGACGTCGTTGCCCACCCTCTTCCCACCCTGCACCCAACATGTGTTTGTTCACCTTCTTCACCCCTGCACCCCCTGCACCCAACATGTGTTCACCTTCTGACGGAGATACTCAGTTTGACGTCATTGCCCACCCTCTTCACCCTGCACCCAACATGTGTTCACCTTCTGACGGAGACTCAGTTTGACGTCGTTGTCCACCCTCTTCACCCTGCACCCAACATGTGTTCACCTTCTGGGAGAGACTCAGTTTGACGTCATAGCCCACCCTCTTCACCCTGCATCCAACATGTTCTTACCTTCTCACGGAGACTCAGTTTGTCGTCATAGCCCACCCACTGGTCACCCCGGGTAATATAGCGGACGCGCTGTTCGGGGATATCTACAATTGTGCCACCATTTTGCTCCATTTCACAGATCTGAAACGAGAACAATTTACACTTTGGTCTTTTCACTCAAGTACCTTAAAACATATTTGATTAACTTATAAACTACTTCGGTAGAAAATATATGAAATATAAACAGTTTTTCAAACATCATGATTTATGATCCTGATTGTCACAGATATTGGAATACACTGACGGCCAAATATGGAATTGCAAATTTTATATGCATCAAGTTCAAACTTAATCAGTGTAAAACATATTGTCCAAACACAACAAATGTCCTGTGCGGAAAGCGGTACACGTCCGAGGCACATTTGCTGATAGAAAAAGTAGCAAACAAGGTGACAAACGTCATGGGTCGTCCACGTCCACATCGACCACATCCTCCATTCAATCCACAAAGAACTTATCCAGGTCCTCCAAGAAGAAGAGCTACGAATCCCATGTGACGTGATCAGACAACTGAACTTTTTCTGAGCGCCGGACTGGATTTTGGGTGTCTTTATGTGACACGCTATTTATGTGACATATCATTGAACTTGAGTGATTTTAGATGCTCAGTGTCTACTACGCTAAAAACATGCCTTTGCTATTTCACCTCTATTCGAGCAACTGCCACTACAATATCGCTATTTGCATAACATTTAAATGGTGATGTGGTTGAGATTTTATGTCCGCTTCTCTCACCTCCTGATAAGAAAGGAAGCCCTTCTCGCGTGTGTACGGGCCTTTTGTGCCGGGGCCACTGGCAGGTGCACCTAGGGTGTTGTCGCCAGTTGACAGGGTAAACGTGCGTCCATACAACGCCAAGCCTATGTTTAGTTTCTCTCTGGGTGCGCCCATCTTCACCCAGTATTCAGCTGCCCAATGCTGAAACCAAATTTAACGAAATCCCAAGTAAATCATTTGCTATGTTATGAGAGTGGGTACAACAAGTGGGGTAATTCTATGGATATGAAACAATATATACGACGTTCCGATGTAGATCCGAAAACCGTTCTCAGGCAGGCGAAGTACAGTGATGTAGGTAAAGGATTTATATACACGAGTAAAGAGATGTTTATACAGTTGATATACAGGCTGATATTCTCGTTTACACAATAGACTAGGCAGATTTACAAAGAGTGGTGGTTGTTTACACAACAAGGATAATGTTTACACATTGAAAAATTAACAAGGGAGAGATTAAAGAGGAATCCTGTTGTGTGATGAACTCTGCTTCATCTCTCCGACAACGCTATTAACAATATCAAGCCAAGATCCTGCTGGTGTATAACTGTGATACAGTACAGGGTTAGAGTGCATCCATCTACCTAGTGTATAACTGTGATACAGTACAGGGTTAGAGTGCATCCATCTACCAGGTGTATATCTGTGATACAGTACAGGGTTAGAGTGCATCCATCTACCAGGTGTATAACTGTGATACAGTACAGGGTTAGAGTGCATCCATCTACCAGGTGTATAACTGTGATACAGTACAGGGTTAGAGTGCATCCATCTACCAGTGTATAACTGTGATACAGTACAGGGTTAGAGTGCATCCATCTACCTAGTGTATAACTGTGATACAGTACAGGGTTAGAGTGCATCCATCTACCAGGTGTATAACTGTGATACAGTACAGGGTTAGAGTGCATCCATCTACCTAGTGTATGCATCCACTGTATAACTGTGATACAGTACAGGGTTAGAGTGCATCCATCTGTATAACTGTGATACAGTACAGGGTTAGAGTGCATCCATCTACCAGGTGTATAACTGTGATACAGTACAGGGTTAGAGTGCATCCATCTACCAGGTGTATAACAGGGTTGATACAGTACAGGGTTAGAGTGCATCCATCTACCAGGGTTAGTGTATATATCTGTGATACAGTACAGGGTTAGAGTGCATCCATCTACCAGTACAGGGTACAGGGTTAGAGTGCATCCATCTACCAGGTATATAACTGTGATACAGTACAGGTTTAGAGCGCATCCATCTACCAGGTGTATAACTTTGATACAGTACAGGGTTAGAGTGCATCCATCTACCAGGTGTATAACTGTGATACAGTACAGGGGGAGAGTGCATCCCTCTACCAGGGGTATATCTGTGATACAGTACAGGATTAGAGTGCACCCATCTACCAGGTGTATAACTGTGATACAGTACAGGGTTACCAGGTGTATAACTGTGATACAGTACAGGGGAGAGTGCACCCATCCATCTAGTGTATAACTGTGGTACACTAAAGGGTTAAAGTGCATCCATCTACCAGGTGTATATGTGTGATACAGTACACGGTTAGAGTGCATCCATCTACCAGGATTATATCTGTGATACCGCAATGGGTAATAGTGCATCCATCTACCAGGTGTATAACTGTGATGCAGTACAGGGTTAAAGTGCATCCATCTTCAAGGTGTATATCTGTGATACAGTACAGGGTTAGAGTGCATCCATCTACCAGGTGTATAACTGTGATACAGTACAGGGTTAGAGTGCACACATCTACCAGGTGCATAACTGTGATACAGTACAGGGTTATAGTGCATCCATCTACCTAGTGTATAACTGTGATACAGTACAGGGTTAGACTGCACTCATGTACCAGTTGTATAACTGTGATACAGTACAGGGTTAGAGTGCACCCATCTACCAGTTGTATAACTGTAGTGTTAGAGTGCACCCATCTACCAGTTGTATAACTGTAATACAGTACAGGGTTAGAGTGCATCCATCTGCCAGGGGTATGTCTGTGATACAGTACAGGGTTAGAGTGCATCCATCTACCAGGTGTATAACTGTGATACAGTACAGTGTTAGAGTGCACCTATCTACCAGGTGTATAACTGTGATACAGTACAGGGTTAGAGTGCATCCATCTACCAGTGTATGCATCCATCTACCAGGTGATACAGTACAGGGTTAGAGTGCATCCATCTACCAGGTGTATAACTGTGATACAGTACAGGGTTAGGGAGTGCACCCATCTACCTAGTGTATAACTGTGATACAGTACAGGGTTAGAGTGCATCTACCAGGGGTATGTCTGTGATACTATCCAGGTGTATATACAGTACAGGGTTAGAGTGATACACAGTACAGGGTTAGAGTGCATCCATCCACCTAGTGTATAACTGTGATACAGTACAGGGTTAGAGTGCATCCATCTAGGGATTACAGAGTTGTGCATCCATCTACCATACCTAGTGTATAGGGTATACTGTGATGCAGTACAGGGTTAAAGTGCATCCATCTACCAGGTGTATATCTGTGATACAGTACAGGGTTAGAGTGCATCCATCTACCAGGATTATATCTGTGATACCGCAATGGGTAACAGTGCATCCATCTACCAGGTGTATAACTGTGATACAGTACAGGGTTAGAGTGCACCCATCTACCAGTTGTATAACTGTAATACAGTACAGGGTTAGAGTGCATCCATCTACCAGGGGTATGTCTGTGATACAGTACAGGGTTAGAGTGCATCCATCTACCAGGTGTATAACTGTGATACAGTACAGGGTGTAAAGTGCATCCATCTGCCTAGTCTATAACTGTGATACAGTACAGGGGGAGAGTGCAATCCTCTACCTAGTGTATAACTGTGATACAATACAGGGTTAGAGTGCATCCATCTACCTAGTGTATATCTGTGATACAGTACAGGGTTTCAGTGCACCCATGTACCAGTTGTATAACTGTGATACAGTACAGGGTTAGAGTGCACCCATCTACCTTGTGTTTAACTGTGATACAGTACAGGGTTATTGTGCACCCATCTACCAGCAGTATAACTGTGATACAGTACAGAGTTAGAGTGCACCCATGTACCAGTTGTATAAGTGTCATACAGTACAGGGTTAGAGTGCATCCATCTACCAGGTGTATAACTGTGATACAGTAGAGGGTTAGAGCGCATCCATCTACCTAGTGTATAAATGTTATACAGTACAGGTTTAGAGTGCATCATCTACCTAGTGTATAACTGTGATACAGTACAGGGTTAGAGTGCATCCATCTACCTAGTGTATATCTGTGATACAGTACAGCATTAGAGTGCACCCATCTACCTAGTGTATAACTGTGATACAGTACAGGGTTAGAGTGCACCCATCTTCCTTATGTATAACTGTGATGTAGTTTTAGGGTGAGAGTGCATCCATCTACCAGGTGTATAACTGTAATACAGTACAGGGTTGGAGTGCACGCATCTACCAGTTGTATAACTGTGATACAGTACAGGGTTAAAGTGCATCCATCTACCAGGTGTATAACTGTGGTAGAGTATAGGGTTAGAGTGCATCCATCTACCTAGTGTATAACTGTGATACAGTACAGGGTTAGAGTGCACCCATCTACCAGGTGTATAACTGTGGTACAGTACAGGGTTAGAGTGGATCTATCTGTGATACAGTTCATGATTACAGTTGATCATGAACTTTATAACTGCGGTACAATCCAGAAGTGCAATCGGCTTTTAGGTGTAGAGAGCCCTGATACCATAAAGGGTTAGACTGAACCCGTCTTCTGGTTGTATGTGTTAGAGCACAAGGCAAGGGATACAGCATACATGACACTCACCAGGTTAAGGTACTTGTCGTCTTGACTCTCGTCAATACGTGAATACAGGGGGCTGTTGTGACCGGTGTGGTCTTCCCAGCTGCCGTGCAGGTCATAGGTCATCACACTGATGAAGTCCAAGATCCTATGCAGCATCAAAACACAACGTGATACAGAACGAGAATGAAGAGTTGCTTGGATCAAGTCAATACAACTTCATTACTTGTCACGTCTTGCCACATTTGGGAACTGACGATTTAAGGTTGTAGGATGGATGGCTAGACTACATTTTGAATATATCATTTTTATAACAATATGTTTTGTAACCAACTTGTTTGAAAAGAAATTACTTCCCCTTACTTGAGTGTTGTTCTCTCAGTCATACCATCTTCGCGTACATGTGACTTATACCACTTACTGTGAAATTTCCGGGATGTCGTATGCAGTGTCAATATTTGGTTTTCCCGCCGCCACTGCCGCCGTCAACATCAGTCGGGGTCTACCAGATTGCTGCGCTTCCACCACAAAGGCATCGTACACTGCCTGAAACAAGTCCCTTGTTAACACAGAAGCATTGCTTTAACATAATGGTATTTCAATATAAGAAAAAATGCCGAAATGTGAATTGTTTTCCACATTGATTCAAAATTTGTATCTGGTGTTAATTCAATGACCAGATTATACATTACTTCAACGTTCAAACCGAACAAGAAATCGATGTCCCTTTAACATTGAAGCAGGTCATACATTTAGCATTGAGTCAACATTTCTGTGCCTGTGTGTTTCTGAGTCACGTGTCCTTTCTAAAATGAATCCACGACTGTATTTTCTTTAGATTTCTAGTCTGACAATGAAAAGCATTGGTTGATATTATGAACATCTCCTTACAAGACCACGTGTCAGGTGAAACAATATATATTATATTGATTGGTCAGGCGGTTGAGTCTGGACCAGACAATCCAGTGATCAACAGCATGAGCATCGATCTACGCAATTGCGATACGATGACATGTGTTAAACAAGTCAGCGAGCCTGACTACCCGACCCCGTTAGTCGCCTTTTACGACAGGCATGGATGGCTGAAGACCAGTTCTAACCCGGCTCGTCACGGTTAGCGAATCGGATTGCGCACAAGACGATAAGTTCTCCAGTCAAAGACCCCAACACCACACCACAAGTGTCACTCTCCTACCCAGAGTTCCATGCGGCAAGCCAGCACAGTACCTCTGCCACAGACCACAAAATTGTGACGATTCGTCACATCTTGCAATGTCCATTCAGTATAATGTACAGATTTCTTTTACTCTTTTATTTTTGACGAGTCTACACACCTAACTAAACATATTTAATAGAATGGTTTAGTTTCACTGGGAAAATATCCAAAAACACGTAACACTATTTCGATTTGCGTAGCGATCCTTTGTTTACATAGGTTGTACGGCTCCACGTGCTGTCATCGAAGCTGATGGAGAGCAAACGATGCAGCCAGTTTGATATCTAAATATGTACTGTCATAGACCTTACTGTCGCAGTTGTGGAAGAATATTTATGTAACAATGTAAAACATTATGAAGAGAGCGCCGAAAAGCTTTCGTGAGTCCAGTCTCTTCTTATTATGAATATGCGCGTTTGATTACAAACAAGAGAAAAGTCCGGTCACGTGATATGCAAATTAGCCTGTGGCAGTGATGTTATGTTAAGTCATCGCTGTGCCGGAGTGTGCACAAGTGCATATATTTCAGTATGCACTCTTTCTTTCTTTCTTTCTATACCAGGGTGATATTCACAATTCTGTCACATTATTTGATAAGCTAGCGGTTATTAATGACAATCGGTATGTATTTAGAAAACATTCATACAAGCTCACAAATCAGTGGATGAAGTACAACGAGTGGACTATTTCTTGGACTGTTTGCGCTAAGACGGAACCAAGATTATGAAATGGTCACAAACCAAGTTTGTAAAATGGTCACAAGGCGTACGAGGTCAATGATACGAGGTTTCCCGAACGAGATCTATTCTAACCCCGTTCATATGGTACCTTTAGCATCTCGGTATAGTGTTGTCTATCCTCTGGTGGACTGCCTCTGTTTGCCGGATACTCCCAGTCCACATCCACGCCATCGAACTTGTTTTCTCGGATGAATTTGACGACGGAGTCCGCAAACTCCTTCCTTCCTTCTGGGGTGTGAGACATCTGGTGGAACGGCCCCGACCCAAGATTCCATCCCCCGACAGCAAGCAAGGTCTTCATGTTTGGATTGACGTTCTTCATCGCCATAAAACGTTCGAACCTGCGGGTGAATATTAGGTTTTTGAATACAGGTGCATAACTGATAGGAGCAAGCGAGTGAGTGAGGAGGGAGATATAGGGAAGGGAAGAAGAGAGTGAACGAGAGAGGGACGGAGTAAGGCTGGATTTCATGCTACTTTGTTCAGAATTCCGGTTCTATTCCGATGTGTGTTAGCATGTGCTAGGAAGAGGTAAGGTTTTGAAGTTTACCAATTTGTGTACACACGAATGTGACATTGCGTACCTAGAAACACTATCAGCGCGACCCGGGATTCGAACCCACTAGAATATACCCAACTCGAAACAGATGTCTATGCCAACCTATGAAAAATAAGAAACACAAATATTCAAGAAGACTGTTTCACAGAATTATGTTTCTCGTGATAAACATAATTTGAGTCTTCTAAATACAGGTGTACGTAAAACGTGTGTACACGCAAGAGAATATCCAGGATCGTGTTTCCACCTGGGAAAAATATATGAATGGGTCACGGAAGGTCAGTGATGACACAGGTATGAGTGAGTGAGTGAGTGAGTTTAGTTTTACGCCGCACTCAGCAATATTCCAGCTATATGGTGGCGGTCTGTAAATAATCGAGTCTGGACCAGACAATCCAGGAATCAACATCATGAACATCGATCTGCGCAACTGGGATACGATGACATGTGTCAACCAAGTCAGCAAGCCTGACCACCCGATCCCGTTAGTCGCCTCTTACGACAAGCATCGGTTGCTGAAGACCAATTCTAACCCGGACCTTCACGGGTCCACAGGTATGAAGCAGTCTATAAACAAACCAGACAATCATGTGATTGATGGAACAGAAAGTCCAGCTATACGATAGTGCAAGCAGCATTTACTGATTTGGGAGAAACTGAAAACGATGTTTGTTAAAAGAGTCAGTTCTGAGTAGTGTGCGACACTCTGTAGTGGTAGTGAGAGAGTTTGTTGACTAACGCTAAGACTAACGTTATATATAAGTTCGACAGAAACGAATAACGCCCTTTATATTGAAAAGGAGTCCTAGTGAAGTGACAGATTGAGAACCTGAAGAAAACTAAATCTGTTTCATTTTGGGCTTTAACATTGCCAAAAGGGCTGGGTGGAAGGGAAAATATTACGGTTCAGGGAGTGTGAGACTAGTATTTCAGCTACCATACGGCGTAGAAACGTGCTGTGGAAGTTGGCAAAACATTGTCGCTTGATGATACACTGGATGGGAATGATGATGACATGCTGACAAAAGATGATGACAAAACAAGTTTCAAAGTCGGGAAGAATCTAATGTTCGAATCCGCGATTTGTTGATTGAATGAATATAATGCTTTGAGCAAAATGTAGCTCTCAGGACAATCTCATTAATCGTTACCTGGAGAAGGAGGTCGGTTTCAGTCATAATTTGAGAGCCAGTTACACTCACATTCCTTTGTTCCAAGACGTTAGTTTAATAGTTGTGAAAATGACACGAACTTATCCATGAAATTCAGTGACGATACCCGATTTCAGAATAATACTCACATTCCTTTGCTCCACTGTGTTGAGAGATCATTCCATTCAAAGGCTTTGATCCTGTTGCCTAGCAGCGTGGCAAAGGCGTATACGTAGTGTGTGCAGAGGTTAGGGTCGACATTCTCCGGCGTGTATTTCCCCTTCCCGGGACGGTACTGTGACCAGTTGGTGTAGTAACACACTCTCCTGGGCTCTGAACCTGTAATATGGAGGATGGCATGTATGACAGCTGGTGTAGTAACACATTCTCCTGGGCTCTGAACCTGTAACATGAGTGAGTGAGTGAGTATGGTTTTACGCCGCTTTGAGCAATATTCCAGCAATATCACGGCGGGGGACACCAGAAATGAGCTTCACACAGTGTGCCCCCTGTAACATGGAGGATGACATGTATCACAGTTTGTGCAGCAATACACTGTTCTGAATCCTGAATCTATAACATGACGGATTAAATATAAAATGTCATAAAATTATGCAGTGTATATTTCTGATTTTGCAACAAAGATGAGTCCATCTTATACACATGGTGACTGTTATTACTAAATGGACATACAAGTGTTTCTCAAGGCACAGTTATCTCACCTTGAACAGCATGCACAGCCAGGAAGATGACTCCCGCCAGGGGGAGCAGTAATAGGGATGCTCGGGGGATCATCTGGAAGAGAAACGAAGATTAAGGTAACATCTTGAAATGGACTATAGACTATATATAAAATATAGATAAAACATCAGATAACGTTGGCCATTACGTCTTTCATCATTAGATTCATGCCTAGTGATTGTGTCGGGTAAATAACAGAAAGCCCTTTATCATAATCACAAGAAATCAAATGTACAATATATGATGAGCATGTGTTCATGAATCAAATAGCGATGACACCAGGTGTTCAAGAAAAGGCCAGCAACCGCAGACGCGCATGTTCACAGGCAGTTGGAATATTCACCTGGCAAAAAACACGGGAAATTATGACAAGTAGGGCATTGCATTGGAATTTATGTTTGTCACTGTTGCGTCAAAATGGGAATTTGGGGGATAACAACTTCTTGTTTATTGCATACAGCGAGATTCTTGCACAGTTATCAAGCTTTATTATCAACTTCTAGAATGCGAATCAAACAATTACAATTTGTAAATGCCCTCCGCGTGTCTTCTATAAAAATTTCTGAAAAATTGACTGCAGGACTAGAATGTTGTGACCAACAGAAAGACTTTGAGAAAGAGTCAAATGACGCTCTTCATAGGAAGAACATGTTCGGCGGTATCTCAAACGTTGTGAAACGTAGAGGCCAACGACAGCTACTCCTCGCTCTCTGACCTTATTGAAGCATGTCATCGCGTCCCAACTGATCGTTACTAATGAAGTCAATTCCTGATTTGTCTGGTCCATTCGATCATTTAGAGACATTCTTCACAAAGATGGATATCAACTTCTGTAATATGAGGAACTCGACGTTTCGGAGTATATTATTACCCCTTCATCACTCACCATATTTTCCCAGTCTGGCAGCAGTGCCCTTGTTCTCTACAGCATGTACAAGACGATATATTTATATATGGAAAGAATTATCGCATAGTTTTCACAGTAACAATATGTTACTATTATCCATAACTTATCCAAACCTCTATTTAACCTACTATCAGGGTAAACTGACTTCCAAGGAATAATTAAATGGCAAAACTAAACGCAAAAATAACTGTATTTTTTCAGAGAAGGAAACATGACAAAAGATAGCGGTCATTGTCTAGACCCTGGATAGGATGACAGTTATGTACCGTTGTCTGATTGTCACAAGGTCAAATCGACAGGCATGTGAGAGGCACCCCCACACCATGAATGAACCCCCGTCAAACGGTACTTGCTCCAAGATATTCCGTTGTGCATATGCAGTATTTCTGCTGCGCCAAAAGGAACAAAAGAAATCGAATTTCGTCCGACCAGTGGGCCCCTATGACAACAAACGAAAGTGACGTCGAGCTTGACACCAAGCTGGTGGTGTTTCTTTGTGCTCGAGGAAAAAGGGTGTCTGATCGGTCACCTCCGCCTCCTCTCCCTCTATACCCAACCGACTTTAGGCGGTGATAAACGACGATGTGGAAGGCCCCTTTAAACACGCCACTGGAATGAATGGATGAAATCTTGTGATTTTGAAAAAGGGCTCTACCCTCCCAAGGTCGACCAAAATGCTGGCGGTTCTTAAGGACATTAGTTTGATGATGTTTTCTGGACAATCGGTTGAGAATCGATGGATAACAACCAACATCTCTTCCAAGAGCCTTCAGTGACATGCCAATATTCCAATAACTTGCCATCTTTGAGCAGTTGTCAGTTGAGGAGGCTCAAAACATTTGCTTATCAGCAACACAATCAATTGGTTTTGCAAGTTATCGAGGTGTAAGCACAGTTTACTGAAACTTGGTATTTGGTTAATGACTCGTACATGGACGTGATGCTGCCCTTTGAGCGTAGCAGGTGCATATCTGTAATCAATGTATAGGTCAGAATAATCATACAAATAAATAAAAGTATGGTATAAATAATAAATTGCTATATGGGGGTTAAAAATCAAAGGTGTTGCGATATGTTTTCAGTGTGTATATTTACCCTTTGTTCCCGCCAGACACGGCAGTGCCCACGTGCCTTAAGCATGGGTACCACAATCTGCTATATTTGTCCTTTGTTACAGCTGGACATACTACTGACTATATCCTAAGCATATGTACAGAATTTGGCGTTTTTGCCCGTTGTTAAGCCAGACATACAAATGATCACATGTCTAAAGCACGTGTACAACAATCTTGCGCATTCACCCTGTGTTAAGCCAGACATACAAATGATCACATGTCTAAAGCACGTGTACAACAATCTTGCGCATTCACCCTTTGTTAAGCCAGACAAAGTAACTGATCATGTGTCTCTAAAGCACGTGTATAACGATCTGATGAATTTACCCTTTGTTAAGCCAATATACAAGTGATCACATGTCTAAGTCACGTGTACAGTAAACTGGCTTATTTACCGTTTGTTAAGCCAGACAAACAACTGTTCACACATCTAAAACAGCTGCATACCATATCCTTTTTTAAATGTGTTTGTATCCATAACAGTGAATCGAGGTCCGGTGACTGGTTATTGTATGACGTAAGCAGTCAGCAACATTAAAGCCATAGTACGCAAAAAGTTAAGTACTTCTTTCCTTTTAACATGCTTAATCTTTCCTGGTAATTGTAGAGGTATAGGACGTAATAACATTGTAAAACAAGATGGGACTTGATAGGAGAGTCCTAGATTCATACACATTTCAGGAACTGGGTGTATTTCACATCTTGTCATAAAAGGTATTTGCCTAAGATTTAAGGTATGATTTTAAGATTCGAATTAATTTAACTGTCACGGACCTTCACTCTTTGGCTGGACAACAATGATACATATAGTTCTGCGCTATGGCTGCATCCAGGTTAAAATTTAATTACTGGGAAAATGGGTTCTACTGGTACGTTACAAGGTACGAGTGTAGGCGGAGACACTTCACATAACATTGGCGCCATCTATTGGCGAAGTGATAAAGGGGAATAACAGGGATTTTTACCCATTGACCTATTTTCTCGTTGCAGTTGGGGTAATGGCGTTGCTAAATTTGGGTCGCCTGAACGATGGAGCTGTTCAATCCACCAAGTTTACCGAAGAAACAATCAAATATGCAAATTTCTTAAGCTCCAGTAGAGATGAAAGGCTTTTAGCTCATTAAACTATTGTTGGAATGACTTATGTGAACACTAACCACCCCCACCCTCTCTCTCTCTCTCCTCTCTCTCTCTCTCTCTCTCTCTCTCTCTCTCTCTCTCTCTCTCTCTCTCTCTCTCTCTCTCTCTCTCTCTCTCAGATAAATACAGAGATTCTGCATGTTCACGACAGAACCGGGTCCTACAACAATTTCATTACAAACGTCATCCTTCCAATCTCAAGGTTCAAGGCTACGTTCGATCTTCTGCAGTGATGATATTAAACCAAACATTATCCCCGTTGATTCTTTATACAAGAAAGTAGCCTCTTGAAATTAATCCCCCTTCTTACCATAATAAAATGATTACTTCATCCTTGTGGAAGCCGCATACAAGAAAACGTAGAATAAATCTCTGAAGATCGCACACGGGCCATCGTGTCAGCTGCATTATGAAGTCTGGTTTATATTTAGAAAGCATAAAATAGATAATATCGCTTCTCGTCGCCCCTGCTTGTCACTGTTCCCCTCAAGTGTGTCAGTAGAAGGAATCTACATTGCAAATACGATGCCATGAATAACCGTTATCTCGAAGTCTTTTAATCGCAAGATTCCGTTTGTCTCGAAATACGGATAATTCCATACATTTTCGAGTAAATTAATATGTTTTATAGAACAGTGTTCCAGTTATACCATGACGTGACGGCTAAATGTGGGAGGAAAACCCGAAGTAAGGACGTTTACAACTTCGGTGAAACCCACGTGCAGAAGTGTGGTGCTTACAAACCAAGTAACACGATCTAGGATTTAAACCCACAAACCGCAAGAAAGGTGAACTAAGGGACACAACTCTGCAATTGCGGCGCATTTGACAACTGTTCTACCCGAGTCCCCAGATATATTTCAAATGTTATTTCGGACTTTCTATTCAGATATACATTTCTGCGGGTATAGCAACGTGCAGTAAACCTGGACAAAGTATAGCGACTATGTGTCCCAGTCCACCCAGCTATGGATGGGTACCTCGTAGGATGGGAAAGCCGCAATACCTTGGTGCGCCAAGTGGCTGCAAGAGTTATATGTACCCAGGGAGTTGAGATTGATGATACGATGCGCCGTTGAGATTGACATCCAGTGAACGATTATTTACAGACCGCCGCCCTATAGCTAGAATTAAATTCACTTACTCACCCAATGATCGAGGGGGGAAAACAGCGCCTTGGGCATGTACTAGAATTAATATATGAGTGCTACATTGCGGAAATCTAAATAAACGGAAAACTGTTCTAAGTTTTGACATAACGTGAAACGTTAGGTTGAATACTCGTCACGATAGGGAAACACGACAGTAACTGCCATGCCGTAGAAACTACAAAGATGTCATGAAAGAAGAAATAGAACGTTACCTTGTATAACCATTGTGACACCTGTTATAGCTCCACGACGTCGATACCACATATTCTCACACATGTATGATGTATTTAGGTATCCTTACCTGTTGCCACGCTGCCATAACCAAAAACTAAGCCGGTCACAGTAAAACACAGGGGAAGAATACATCACCCGGTGCAACCCCTCGCTCGTACGCGTGTCACCGCACATACGGAATATGTATCCTCTCGCCTCGGTATTCATGTTATGCATACAACCAAATCATATGAAAAACCTTTACAGGTTATATAACATTATATACATACTGTAACTAGGTAGGTGTAAACTTGCTATCCCACCGGTGAATCCTATTTGCATTATTGACATTTGATACCTTGATAAATGATAAGAAAAAATAAAATAAAACATTTCAAACGCTTGATTCTGTATATTTTAATAATAGTTTTGCATGATATGTGATATGCATGTCACATGAGTGATAAAGTGAGGGATTGGCGTACCCTTTGACCGCCAGGCCTGTGCACGCAGCCAGCTTAGTAAAACCCCTTGGGCATAGTTAAATTTTTATTACATTCAAATGACCCGTTTTTCAAAGGTAGTGACACACGCATACCAGTGAGACAAACGGTCGCGACTGATGGCGCTCTTGCTGTCCAGAACAGCTTTTGCCTACACCTTTATGAACTGGGATTTCTTTTACGCATGTAGTGTGCATTGTCACTACATGTTTAATTTGATTTTAAGGAAGACACTGACTGACTGAGTTTGGTTTAACGCCGCTTTTAGCAATATTCGAATGTGGGGATTCGAACCCGGATCTTCGGCGTGACGAGCCAACGCTTTAACCATTAGGCTACCCCACCGCCCCAGGAAGACACTGAGTGATGCCACGAGGCACTTGACCCAAATACGTCATAATGGAAATCCCATTCTTCACACAACAGTACGAAGATAATAGTGTGCGTGCTTGCGTGTGTGCGTGCATGGGTGCGTGCGTGCGAGTGTGTGTGTGAGAGAGAGAGAGAGAGAGAGAGAGAGAGAGAGAGAGAGAGAGAGAGAGAGAGAGAGAGAGAGAGAGTGTGTGTGTGTGTGTGTGTGTGTGTGTTTTCAAGTCGCACTCATCAATATTTCAGTTATTTGACAGCGGTCAGTAAATAATATGCCTTCAAAAGTCAAGAAAGTGCCTGCCAGAGGTATTATGAGCAACGATCTTCGATAATGCCAGCTGTGCCATCGAGATTGACAGTCGCTTTTACGACTAGCAAAGATTACTGTGTACCTCTTCTAACCGAAATTTTCTTACTGTGTGTAAATGAATATTAGAAGGCACTGTGGGATATTCGCTGCCGTAAGTTAGCTATAACAATACTGACGCATATATACTGCCGTTCAAA